ACATTTCTTTCACTTTTTAAACATTTTATTTCTAGTAATTTTCCCCGTTTCTCTTTCTCTCTTGCTCTCTCTCTCTCTCTCTCTCTCTCTCACTCTCTTTCTCTCTCTCCCTGTCTCTCTCTCTCCATCTCTCTATTACAATCCCCCTTCTCTTCCCACCCCTCTCTCCCTCCCTCTTTCTCCCTCTTTCTCTCTTCTCTTTCTTTCTCTCGCATATCTCCACACATCCTATGTAATAATAATAATAATACATAACATTTATTAGGCGCTTAATACTGATGTTTCTAAGCGCACAGTGTTCTGATTAAGAGAAGACTATAACCCGTAGAATTAAATTAGAAGAAAAAGCAAAAATACAAAAGTAACATAGATAAGGTAAGAAAAACAGTGGCAATCAACTAAAAAAAGACAAATATGGTGCGCACCTCCATTGACCGACGCACAACTGCAATTTAATATCCCAACTCATGCATATGACATGACGAAACAGAACTTCATGTATTAGTTGGCGCCTAGTTTTATCTCATGAAATCCGGCCCTCATTACGTAACGGGTCCATAATTATTATTAAGGTTTGTGACGGACAGGGCGTTAATTGCACCAGCTGATTGCACTGATAGGGCTCATTATCAAGAAGAGTATAAAACGAAACAACTATTTCGAGATACTCGCTAATTTTTACATTTTGTTTGAAAGTCGAAGCTAGGTCAAATAATTAACTTGAACATCTACTTCTTCGGCTGCATGATAACCGAATTAGGATCCATAGACAGATAGAATTTTAAAAATACTGAAAATCAAGAATTCAACACAGTTACAAGTTGATCATTCTTAACGACAAAAATTACTATACGGTGGAATACTCAGTATACTCGGTATACGTAGTCCAAAAAAGGTAAAAATAGCCGTTTTTAAAACAAATTATCAACGGATTATAATGAAATGTACGAACATGAAAATGAGGTATTACGTAATCCGAACAAGATTTATATGGAACATACAATAGAGTATTGAAATCGACCTTTTAAGTTGATATGTTGAAAATAGATTACATTTTAGGGATAAAGTAAGTGGGCACATTTTCGCAGGGGGCGGGCCAACCGTGGCATATGTGTACAAGCCATAGAGTAAACATTTATTGTCGTAAATATGTAGTAAAATTAACGAATGATTGATATAAATACCCGTATATGTGAATAATTACAAAACACTTGGGGCTATAGTGTACGCGTCCCCACTTGTTTTGGTCTATTCGCTAAGTTGAAGTCTTTATTAAGATGCAAACCTGTACATGTATGCCTATCAATACACTAATCTTGTCATGCTTGTATAAATTTCGTTATCAAGGAGAATTACAACGAAAGATAATTGAAAATTGGAGAGTGAAAAGTGTAAAATTCAAACACCCTAAAATCTTTGCCATATTGCAATAGTAGAACGTATGTGATCTGAAGACATAAATAGACTTCAGATGGAACATAATATTATATGCCCATAAATGCAAGGGCGTTCATTTTTGCTTCGTTAATTGTAATAAGTTACGGATTATGACCACAGACCAACGCATTCCAAATTTCAGAAGTAAGCCTAAAATGCATAATACAGATCGACGGTTGTTGATGATCATGTGATAGTTCGTGAAGAATAACAGATTATTGTCTTCCCCGTTTCACTTTGGTTGTTGCATGCTGCCCTCTCTTGGCAAGAAACATGAATGATGAACTTATGAAGAACGAATAAGGGAAATAAATGAGTTAGCAATGGAACCAGAAAACAGTGTAAACTAAAAATGCCTGTATAAGACCTGACGGTATCCATACTGTTCATGAGGGCACACTCATAAACAAAAATCGGGACACAACAGAAGCCGTTTGGCTTTTCCAACCCCATAATTATCTATTGCCACTCATTTCTCTCTCCGTACATTATAAGTATGTGATGTCCATCAACGTCTTAAAAGTATATTTTGGTTAAAAGAAAGATGACATGCATAGATAGAAATATATTCTAAAATATGATTTTTATTCTTGATGATGAATTATGCATGTGAGCTAGTGTAAAGACGAATGACAAGAGGCTGATCGATAGAAAGATTATGATGTGCAGAAGTAAAATCTTCAATGGAGATAAAATTTCAGTTTTTCATTATTTGTAATTCATTTTTTTATACAGATCATATTAATTCAACTCAGATGCCCTTGGCAGATTTTTGAGGTAGAGTGAAGACGATGATTTGAAGACTTTCAAGAATCATACATGGTTTAGGGCAAACTCGGTGAACAGTGTTTATTTACTATATAAAGGAGCACTAATTTTTTGTTGTTGCCCAATTCGTGAGAATTGATTTTAGCGGCGAATCAGCCAGCCGGCGAATAAGTGGGTGGGGGGGGGGGGGGGGAACACTCCTTTTATTTCTTCTCTCTCTCTCTCTCTCTCAATATATATATATATATATATATATATATATATATATATATATATGTAATTTTTTTAAAAAAATCCTTTTTTAAAAACACTTATTTATTTCAGTAGTAATTAGAGGCTTAGAAAAAGAAAAAAGTTTTTGATAGATTGCATTGTATGTAATCAGACAGAACCATATCCATAGCTTATGCAAGGCATGAATACAGTGTCCTTCATCATTCCTGAAGCCCCTCACTTTGACAGACATGGACAATTAACAACAGCCAAGTTTCAGTAAACTAAAGATCAAATGCTTCTATACAGGGGGGCCTACACCTTACAAGCTCTGCTTTTTAGTCGGCCCTCCTTCCCTTTCAATTTCATGTTTATTTTTGTAATGTATTGTATTGTGCAAATTGATCTACATGTATATGTTTATGAATAAGTTAAAATGTACCATTATTGTAAAATTGAAAGAGGAAAAATAAATGAATTGAATTGAATTGCATGTGGAAATGGATGAGTAACTTTATTTAATGGATTCTAGGGACCCGATGGAACCATATGGAAGACGAAAAGTGACCCAGAGTAGAAGCCCAAGAATATACCCTTATAGTTCAAGAAGGAAAGAGATGATCTTGAAATGCAAAAAATACCAACAAGGCATACAATGTGATCACGAAGAAAAGGCTGCAAAATATTCTTTTACAAAAGTAAAGAACAAAAGAGAACCAAAGAAATACGTGTCTGTTTTAAATGACAATAAATATATTTACATATTCACAAATTATTGAGAAATTGCAAAACAGAGGAATTTATATGTATAAAAGCTTTACAATATACACTATAAACACTATACCTTTCATTTAAAAATGGAATGCACTACATATTTACATGGACAAGAGGGAAATTGCAACAACAAAAACACATTCACAATAGAATCATTTACTTTAAATCCATAGCTAGGTAGACATACATGTACTAAACTGCACTAACTTTGATTCTTTTTACAAATAGAAACAGCACAGCCATTCTTAGAAAAATACTAGAAGCCCCTGATTGTGTAACATATGACAGTTAATTGCATTAAATAAACTCAATATTATGACTTGTAAGTCAGCTTGTTGACTGCATTTATAAGCTATGGAAGAGCATTGAAGACAGTCTTAGCATGTATAGTATAAACAACGCCTGCTTACATTCCGATTCCAATACAAACTGCACTTTTCAAAATAAAATCACACAGAGCTGCCAACTATCACTATAACACTTCAGTTAAATTTCTACATTAATGGCTTTAACAGAAATCAGTATTTTCAGGAGGAAATTCTAGTCTAAGGCACAAGTTGAGGACAAGTATCAAAGGCTTTATTAAGGACACATATCCAATCAAGGCTGTTCATACTTTTTTAATGATTTGGAGAGTTTGTTTTTATATTTGAGGCACCGTAGGTTGCTGTGAATACACTCATTTTTATCAATTCCTAACTGGTGAACTGTATTGCAAAAAACTACCATGAAGCCAAATGATTAGTCTGGAATAGATGATCATACTGCACAGTATCCAACAATAGTAAGTATACCCTTAACAAAAAATGGAATATTCAAAATATACATTTTTGTAAAGTGGTATTATAAATGCAAATCTGAAAGCCTTGATAACATTGACATTCTGCGATACTTTTGTAGGTAAACAATGTACAAAATATTAATTCCATTTCAAAAGTATCACGTTTAAAGAATAATTGTGAGAAAGAGTAGCAACAAAGATGAGTACACTCCTGTACTAATAAACATATTGGAATAAATGTCAATTTTAATAGATGTCAAAAGTTTATATGGTCATCATTGCTTCCTATCACTATATAAGGCCTATAAAAAACATGCTATTGCCCTTTAGGTGCCAAAACATGGGTCGGTCGGTCGGAAATCTTTTTCTTAATACTTTTTTTAAAACTTTTTTTTTGTACTCCCTCTTTGGGTTGATATTTCTCAGTTTTGAATGCTTGAATACATTTTTTTTCTAAAAAACGGTAAAAAAAGCAGACCATAGATTTCAAGATTTTTTGGTCGGTCACAAAGGGCAATACAACATCTTTTTTTTAAAGGCCTAATTGTAATCAGTGTAAAGATAACATATACTAGTAAATGACTTTGATTTTTTTCCTGTTCCACTCCTCAGTATTGACTTTTAAAGGGGGTCAAAAGTTTGACATTTTGTCTTCCTCCAATTTGTGTGTTATAGAATGAGGCCCAGAGGAGCCCAGAGGAGCCTCAGTGGGTTGAGGTTATTTGACATGTTATGTAACTCAAACTTATCCACCTGTTACTTCTTCTGAAAGGAATTTCTGCTAAAATAAAACTAGGGATCACTGTCATTCAGAAGTACAGATTATTGACCAGGGTGGTGTTTCACAAAGATCCTAGTTGAACTTATCTCTATGGAAAGCCATTAGCATCCTTGAAAATATTTTGTAAAAGTTATTTCAAAAGGCATAAAATGTTGATTCAAATCATTCATATTTTCTATTATCATAGCAGATTTCATGTTCTTGATGTGGAATTTATGAAAAGCCTAAAATAATTGAATTTTTGCTTTTGAATAATTCATTATAAGGCTACAAATGGCTCTCCATAATATTTAAGTCCAATTTAGAGTTAAGTTCGACTTAGAATCTTTGTGAAACACCCCCAGTTCTCAAATATGAAAATACCCTTTTTTCACTTCAAGATGATACCTGCCAGCCTTTCACAGCAAAAATTAGGAATCTCTCAACTCAAAATTAGGAATACAACATAATTTGTATTTTTTCACACAGAATATTTCAGAAAATGAGTGGAATCTAGGTAATTAAACAAAATAATATAACACTGTAAAATCCAATGACAATCCACATACAAAACCTGGGGTGTACCGATATGTTGTGTTCCGATACACATATCACATAATGTCTACTCTATCATTGCTGTAAGGCACCGTTTAATAATGTCAAATCTGAGATGCATGGCCCTACATGTTATCAGTGTCTGTGATATGGTGTAATATTAAGCCCTTACAAAAATTGCATGGGGTTCCTGGCTGACCTAAAGGGTAATAATTATCATTGCAGCATGAGCTAAATCCAGGATATTGTTTCAGAATCTGAGACAAAGTTAGCCAATCCCTTTATTTAAGTACATTTTTGGGACAGGTTACTTTAGAATTTTTAACTTTTTGTAAGGGGTGTGCTTAATTTTGTTGTATACTGTATATTAGTTCCTAGCTCACAGACTCTAGCAATGTACTCGTTGCTCAAGACAATTTTGTTCTGTCAACAAGGTAAATTGGATTGGACCTCAAGGACAGAACTGAAGCTTCTTATACTTCTAAACACACACACAGACAGACAGACAGACGAGATCATTAATTGTATCAATTCCTGGTTGGTGAGAATCTTGCAATGTGTTTGTTCCTCAAATCGATTTCCTCCTGAACAACCAACAGTCTCTGTTGCAGTGTGTTAACCTGAGACTTCAGAGACAAGATGGTGCCATCTAACTCCTGCAAACACAAAGAAATATAACACATTGCAATGAAAACATTACTGGGTAAACTGCATACAAAAATCTAAGGTCAATTCAAAATATGATTGGCAAGAGACAATGTTATAGGGGAAAGAAAATACCAGGCCATTTTACAGCAGGGGGCAAATTCAACTTCCCCCCTCCCTCTGATCTCAATCATGGAGCAGCTATATTTAGGTCTTGAAATTTGGTGTGTAAATAGACTCAATACACATAAAAATATGAAATTTTGTTAACATAACTTGAAGCATTTTTGAATATTTATCTACTAATCATTCATATATAAGATCAGGGTAGGGGCAAGTCTGTGGAGCTATCTTCAAAGTATAAAACACTGTTAAGTTGCAAAACAGCCATTGGAGTAGTAACTTTAAACATGTATAGTTTGATAAGAGAGAAGTAGCACGCCATTTTTGGATGCTGCGCGGTAGCCCATCATCTGAATTTTATGAAATTTGATGTTCTTTTCACCTCTGATAAGAGCCCCTTTTCCTTACTATATAGTGTCCCTTTTCCTTGTGATAAGTGCCCCCATTTTATTTTCAAAAAGAGACCTATCCCCTACTCATAAATGCCCCTTATAATTTGACACGTGCCCGTTTTCCTTCAACAAGTTCCTCATTTCCTTTGCAAGAAGTGTCCATTTTCCATTCTCATAAGTGCCCTTTTTCATCTCTAGTAAGTGCCCCTTTACAGCTATGAGAAGTGCCCCTATCAACTAGCAACATGTTGATGCAGCCTAAGGGGAGGAGCTGTACTCACATCTTTGATGGATGCAGGCAGTAGACCGCGATTCCTCTGCTCAAAATCATGCTGTAACTGTAAGGCCTAAGATGAATATTCAATAGAAAAACATTTCTAACATTCAATTCTACTAAAGGTAAAGACCGGTAGTGGTAAAATTGTGTTTCAAGGGTTTTGGGTGCAAAATATCCATTCAATGTTGTTTTATTGCCTTCAGAGGTTTAGAAGCCAATACTTCAACCTAAATTTGCATAACAGCAGAAATATATGCCCAAATGTTCAATGTTGAAGTGCATTCGCGATATCTATCCATGCTGGATCGATATGATAATTTACCAAATATATCAATTAGTAGGCGGTTTCCCAGCAAAATTTGTATCATCATGTATCGAGTCAAATGATTGGTAATAAAAGAGCTTCCATTTCATTTTTTAAGATGGGGGCATTTCCAAAACTGGTCTATACCTTTAAATTCAATAGAAAAAGGAAGCAGTCCTGGAGACCACCAGATGGTCTCCTTGGTACAGTTCCATCATTAATTTAAACATGTCTGCTTTTTGGTATCTACTTTATTTAGTTACTTTGACAATATATTAAAGATTTTGAAGACTTGAGTTTGACATATTTCGGAAAACACTTGAGCAAATTTCCTCCACTGACTTTTAGGAAGAGCATTAGGAAGAGAATATGCATGTATACTTATGATTAGTGAGGACGATGCAGGGAAAAGTGCATGATGGTAACACAGATATAGAGAAACAAGCCCATATTCCTCGAAAGGCACCCTTTTAAAACCCTGCCTAAGTGCATAGAGTCCACCTCTTCCAATCACATCAACTCTGAAACTACAGAAATACAAACAAAAAATGAAGTATAAAATTACTCTCTCATTAGTAACTAAGTTAATTTTGTTTGACACGTATCCATTTAATTAAAAATATTAGAGCATTTTTCTTAGGGAATGGAGAGGATGACACTTGTTCTTCCATATAACCAGTAGACTTAAGGGAGGCTAGGATTAGCTTGGGCCTAGGGGAGCAAAGCACAGAGATACAGATGGATAAGGGACATGCACAATGTGGAACAGAATAGACGCAGGAGACATATGCAGAGAAAGAGTGAAATTGACAAGGAGATGAACACAAAGAACAAATAGAGAGGAAAAGAAGAAAAAAAGAAAGACCAAAGATGCAGGGTGTACAAGCCAGGACACAGAGACGGAGCAACCTCTACATAGATTTAGAAAAGAAAAACAGTCAGATTGCAGCGCATATACCAATGAGACTTTAATACAGTGAAGATTTATTCAGCATCTCGTTACAAACTTGACTGACTTGCGTGGGCTGAATTGAGCGTGATATTAAGGGTCATTTTGCAGCATCGCTCTTTCATGATAGAGAGCATTATCTTCACTTGTCATGGCAGAATGCTGTACTTTCCAATTCTTCAGAATTTGTTCTTCATTTCTATACCCAATTTAACATAAGCCATAAATTTTAAAGTATCATTTTCATAATATGAAAATATTATGAAATAATTTCAACATTGATTTTGCGTGGTGATTTGTGTTTGAGGTTCCAGACCCAACTACGAAAGCGAATCGTATAATTTGAATGGTTTACAAAAGAATTAATCTAGTAAATAAAATATGTCAAATTGAACTTGATGCAAAGTCGTATTCTTGTACCGGGTAATTTTTTAGATATGGATTTAGCCTAAAAACACAAAATATTAAGGTTTAACCCGTTTTAAACACCTTTATAATGCTAAGCTGGCTCAAACAAATCTAAATATCCATTCCAAACACCTCATATTATTGAATTATCACTTGCTGCGGATTAACTGAAAAGAGAAAAGGAAAAGTGGAGAAAATGTCCAAAGTGTGAGTGTGTTTATTAGCGAGCTGTACCTTTTCTTGATGATTTAGTTCTTCTTCTTGTAGTCTTCTGTCCAGCTGTTTAATCCTTTGTCTCTGATCATCCAGTTCTCTTTGAACAGCCTAGACAAATCATCATCAGATCATTTACAGATTAAAGGGCCTCGATAAAAACTATATCATTCACCTGTTACAAAATAAATATATCTCACTAATAGTCAGAATTCAAATTGCATACATTCTTTGTTGCTAGGTAGGACAAACATTATGGCTTTCCCTACCTAATATCACATGTCATGCACTCTGCATTCTGACTAACAGGTGAATCAAATAATTTGCATCAAGGCACTTACCAGGTAAGTATAAATTTGGTTATATTACGAAAATGGCGAAATTGAGAGTGCATGATATGAACTGTTAATCACATATTCTATATCAGCTTTTTTTCAATCAGAGTACTGCATGACATCTGCAGGGAGGCAGCCAGAGAAATTTAGCTATATCAAAAATATTCCTTGGAACAACGTCAATTTCATAAAAAACAAATATTATAAACCGCTATATTAATCTTATGTAAAAAAAAAAGCATCCTTAATAAAATAAAGTGTACTTCTCCCTTCCCTTGCTCTCAACAATTACAATGTAAATCGCTTTGAAAAAAGTATAAAGCGCTATAAAAATGCAAATATTATTATAATATAGAAACAGGATGATTTCAGGCAGCGAAGTGCCTAATTACAGTACAGCCAAAAATCTCTGCAACACGACTACACAATATATTGACTTCTGCACAACCTCTAATGGCAAGTGCCATTTCTCCTAGTTTCCCTAACATAAAAGACAACATTGTTTTCAGAATACAGCCTGTGGCTCATAATAACTCTGTACTTGTACTCTTCTACTCACACTATGTACATTCAATGCTGTTAGATTTACAGGTTTGCAAAGGCACATTGCTGAATGGAAAGACAGAAAAGTTGAGTGAATTGTAGAAATGCTTTCTATTAACTGAGCTGAGTCCGACTGAGCATACCTTGTTGTAGGCTCCATGTTGTTTTCTTAAAAGCTCTTTCTCATCTTCAAGTTTAGACACTGTCTCAGTCAGCTGTAGCTCCATGTTCGATTTAGCTCTGATACATTGAGAAATATGAGAAAAGCAATTTATTAAAGATGGAGAAAACTATTACCAGTAGTAGTACAGTCAAACCTGCTTTAGTGACCCACCTGTCTATAAAGACCAATTTTTTTGTTTCCCTTGAAAATGGTTTCTCATTGAAACATGTACTAAAGGAACCTGTCTACGAAGACCTTTTTTTGTGTTTCCCTTGGGTGGCCGCTATAGACAGGTTTGACTGTAATATATCTTTTTAATATACAAAATTCAATCTATAATGTATAGGTGAACATAATGGCACAGAAGGGTTCGAACAAATGCATGTATAGTGGACGAATCAATGCCTAACAGTAGATACTTACATTTGATTTTCTTCTCTCAGCTGATGGACTGTTTCCTGGTGCTCTTTGATAGTCTGTAAACAAAGCAGCAATACAAAACAAAAATTAAATAATCGAAATAAATATACACATTTATTGCCAATACACCCCATTCCAACTTTGGAGTATAATTGGAGATGATTGATAATTAAATTTAATTTTCATTTCACATCTCTTTAAAAACACATCAGAAGATATACAAACAAATAAGTATTAATTAAACAATATAAATATAACAACAATTATGTACATGATTCTATGAAAGAAGGATGAAGGGTGGTGGATGCGAGGGATCAACAAAGGCCATTGGCCTGTCAAGGCTGATCCCCTATATTACCACCCTTCAATAGAAATACATTAAAAAAACATTAAAAAAACAATCAAACAAACAGATAAATAACATAGCATAATCACATAAAACACACAAAGCACATGTAAATGAAGATGTACGTACCTTATTTGCTTGGTCCAGTCTGTTAGAGTAGTCTCTCTCAATATCCTTCAGCCTTTCATTAGTCTGAAGAGAAACAATCATCAAAATGAGTTTAGTAAAAAGACATGCAGCACAGTATTGGTACATGTGATAGCTAGGGCTCCTATTTATTTTGTGTCACTGGTAAGGGTATTTATTTGTCATTATTTTTGTATACAGACTGCTAATTAGGGATCCCAAGGCAGCATGTACACTCCAATAGCCTTTCTTTCTCACAAATTCACATAAACTAGTAGCGAATCTCCCATGGCCTCCTCCCTCCCCGCGGACACATGTATATTTGGGCATGCATAATACGTGCACTGCACACGCACTGCCATACACCAGGGGTATGTAAGTCCTGGAAGTGGCTCGAAATCACGTCCAAGTAGCTACATCCAGGCATTTTGGGCAAATCGGCTACAGCAAGAATTGCTAAAACTCAAGAGCTTTATAGCAATCTAAATTTCTATGACAAAATTGCTCTCAACTAATCAAATGCCACAATTAGAGTACCGTTAGCTTATAACAGTTATTGAAAACAAATTAAATGAAACAGGGCACAAAATTGCTAAAACTCAATATTGCACACTGTGGCTTCGCCCCCCCCCCCCCCCCCCCCCTTTGGTAAATCCTGGATCCCTTGCTGTATACTATGTTTGAACAAGCTCTTTTTACTAAAAATTACAAAAATTCAATACAAATGGTATTGGGTAAATCATGATAAATTTGTTTGATTTATTGTACAAGTAGGTAATAACTCGGAAAGAATTTTTTCTATGGCACGCTTTCAAAATAGTAGTTGAACTACGTAATTTTTAATACGCTTCGTATATTCATGATTGGAGTGATAATTCTATTCCAATTTAAACACAAGAGCCTGCAGATGTTTTCATTTTAAAAATAAATCAAAGCCTTTTCACACATGTTACTAGACAGTACATGTTTATCAAAATCCTTCATTTGTGTATACCAAGTTCAGTGTAAAAAACTAGTATCTGACCTGCGTCATGGCTTGTTCCATTTGGGTACTGTTTTCTTTGTGCAATGTTGTCCTGTATTGGTCCATCTCAGATCTCAGTTGTCTCACCTGGCAAAACATGGATCATGCACAATTAAATTTGATCTTGATCTCATTATCTGTTATAGAGTTGTAAACATTCACAAAGACAGTTTTATGAAAATCAGTAAATATGTGTTTTCTCAGAATAACATATATCGGTAAACATGACTTTCAAAAATCAGTATCATGTCTTTAACCTTAAACACTCAGTTAGAGTGCCACTCGCACAAAGAAATCTGCCCTATGTGATACTGTGGTATTTCACAAAAACTTGCATTGGCATATTTGCTCACGTAGAGGGCTACAGTGAGACAACTAGCTTGACTCTCGTGATATAAGCATTAAGGGACCTAATCCAACACCTACCAACGTTTACAGTCATAATCTAAAGAAATGACTGCTTCAGTGGTCAATTCGATTCAACATGGCCGATGTAAAAACACACATATGGGACTTGCGATAACATACTTAACGAACCTCACCCAAGTGACTAGAATAATCATGGTCAGAATGATATAAGACACTGGTTTTTGATTATTCGAAAGTAATATTATACATTCATACATGTATCTAAAGATTTAATTTACATATGTCATAGGAATAAATGAATGTGAAAGTCCTCCAAAAAAAGAAGGTCTCATTACGTCTTCATAATCAGGACAGCCATGAAAATGAGCTGAAACTAGATGGAATTCGACTGCGCGCAGTCGAAAATGATGCCTCCGTCATAGAGCAATTTTACAAACCAAAACAGAAGACATTTTTCGAATTCAAGTTCAATTGTAATCCATTAACAGGTTCTCAGAATATCGTGATTACAAGCAATTTCTCATATACATATATGACCCTTTGATCTTTGACCTCATGACCCTAAAATCTACTCAGTTCATTGGCTCTGCAAGATGTCCTGAGTTAAATAGTAATCCATCTGTCAGTTCTAATGAGAATGTGTTCACAAGCTATTTTTGCATACATAATGAGCCCATGACCTTTGACCTCATGACCCAAGAATCTACTCAGTTCATTGGCTCTGCAAGATACATACATGATCTATGTTTGGCAGGAATCCATCAATCTGTTCTAATGATAATGCGATCACAAGCTATTTTTGCATACATGAGCCGCATGACCTTTGACCTTAACCTCATGACCCCAAAATCTAATCAGTTCATTGGCTATGCAAGTAACATACACGACCTAATTTTGGCAGGAATCCATCAATCGGTTCTTGAGAACGCGATCACGAGCTGTTTTTGCATACATAATGTGCGTTGTGGCCTTTGACCTTTGACCTCGTGACCCCAAAATCTAATCACTTCATCGGTTCTGCAAGTAACATACATGACCTAAGTTTGGCAGCAATCCATCAATCGGTTCTTGAGATAATGCGATCACGAGCTGTTTTTGCATACATAATGAGTCCTGTGACCTTTGACCTTTAACCTCATGACCCCCAAATCTAATCAGTTCTTTGACTTTGCAAGATACATACATGACCAAAGTTTGGCAGGAATCCATCAATCGGTTCTTCAGATAACGCGATCACGAGCTGTTTTTGCATACATAATGAGCCCTGTGACCTTTGACCTTTGACCTCGTAACCCCAAAAACTAATCAGTTCATCGGCTCTGCAAGATACATACATGACCAAAGTTTGGCAGGAATCCATCAATCGGTTCTTCAGATAACGCGATCACGAGAACGGGACGTACGTACGTACGTACAGACGTACGTACAGACGTACGTACAGACGGACGGACGGACAACCCGAAAACATAATGCCTCCGGCTACTTCGTAACGGAGGCATAAAAAAGATTTGCAAGTTTGTGCACTCTTATAATTTCAGTGAAAGAGCAGCTAATAATCAATACACATAGTAATGCTCAGCAATTCTGCTAGTCATGTGCAAGTAAGACAAATAAAAGTGACCATGGATGTAAATGAGAAGAAGTTCACTAGTATCATACAAAATATGAGTATATATTCAATAAATAAACCTACCCTTCCATTTTTATTTTTTTAGAGAATTTTGCTTGAGCAGAAAGTAAGACCAGCATCCCACGATGAACACTGATATTCATCATCTCTTTTTAAGTACTGCATGTTCATTGTTCCTTTGGTCAGAACTTTTGTTAAGGGCCCAGCTGTTGTCTCCTCAATTAATTACTGTGTATTAACAACTCTTCTCTCCTCATCTTTCACAAACCATTTTGTTCATTAATCTAAACACTTGGGTGGCTTTTGCATCTGAATATTTTGTTTATTATGATGAAAACCTAATTCTCACCTCTGTTTCATGTTCTCTCTGTACTTTATTTCTCTCTTCTTCTCTGAGTAGACCTAATTCAACCAGTTGTTGTTTCCTCAATGAATCGCTCTGTAACATCTCTTCTTTAACATCACGCAGCTGCTGCTCCAGATCAAAGATAACCTGCAAAATAATTGAAAATGCACATTTTATAATGAAGTGACTTTGTCAGAGAAAACATGTACTTGGTTCAGTCTTATTATTCATCCCTTTGTCAGCTCACTCAGGAAGCTATACTGGGATGATAGGTGAGGCGAGTAACCACAAGGAGTGTCATGAATTAAGTACAAGAGTAATTAAAAAATATGAGCATATTGTGACCATGTACCACAAAAGCACACAAAATTGTACAGATTAATTTTCAGTTAAAGCTCAGTGAGGGAATATATATATTTGTTTGCAATACGAAGATTTTAGTAATATTATCTGAAATATATTTCATTCTGCATTATTCCAAAATATTCAAGCATAAATCATTGTAAAGGTGGTATTTTAGCAGTTTTTGGAGACTTTGACTTGTCTGGTTTGAATTACTTTCTAACATGATTTCATGTTTGATGTAAATTGTACTTTTTAAAATGTTGATGTCTGTAACAAATGTTGAATTGAATTGAATTTAGCTGAAATTGATTGTGTTAGTGTTCATCTTTTTATGGCCATAGACATAGGTATTCCTTACTTTCCAATAACTTGTAAAAAGACAAAGTTGATACAGTCAAACCTGCTTTAGTGACCACTTGTCTACAACGACCATGCACCTGTCTACGACAAGCACATTTTTTGTTTCCCTTGAATATGGTTTCTCATTGAAACATGTACTAAAGGAACCTGTCTACAAAGACCACCTGTCTACACAGACCATTTTTTGTGTTTCCCTTGGGCGGTCGCTGTAGACAGGATTAACTGTATATTGATGCTTGGACATAACATTGAACAGGATGAGCTTTTATTTGAGCCCAGTGTTAGGACAATATGATCCTCAATTCACAACTTTTCAATTGAGTTCTAATCCTTCTTTAGTCCATTTACTAAATACCACTGGTGTCAGGGTGCTTCAATAGACTCTAAACTGTCAATAAGCCCTTTTCTCAAAGATTACAATCCTGGGAAGTGGATACTGTTTTGTCTCTTCCTTTGATATTCTCAGCAAAACCAACTCTGACGAGTAAAGGTCAACAATAACTGCCACGATATCACCTTTAAAATGTTTGATGCTTTCAAATTTTGAACAGGATAAATATATAGTAAAAATAATACTTTTGATGTCAATTTATGTTGAAAATAAATGAACCTCATACTACATAATGCATAGGACACAAAATGATCAAATACCTTGGATTTACCCATATTTTAACATGTGCATGTACATTACATGTACCGGTACTAGCATTTGATGCAAGTGATATTTTCTTAACCCCACATGCCATTATGTACAAGAATAGACATTATTTTTTATTTTGCTGCAGCTTTTGTTTGGACGTGTTAAACAGAGTTATAGATACGAACAGGATTTGCACTCTGCACATGGCCTTATGAGCCTGTACACATCACCATAATTATACATAAGATATCGTCATGCAGACCTTTGCGTCTTTAGTCTGCTGCTCCTGTGAGCGTGATTCCAGTACCCTAATCTTCTGCTCCAGGTGCTCCCTGGTGGACTCTAGGAGCTGCTCCTGTTCCTCCTGGAGCTGATCCTTCCCCTCCTGACATTGCTCCAGGAGCCTGGATCTCTCTCTCTGGTGGCTAAGCTCAAGCTCAGACAGCTACAGGTGGTAATGTTTAAAGGAAACATTTTGTACAATGTGAAATTTGTTCATTTTTACTGCGTGCTTTCTGAATTTGCAAAGCAGGGGGGTGTTTCACAAAGATCCTAAGTTGAACTTAACAATTATGGAAAGCCGTTAGCATCCTTGAAAATATTTTGTAAAAGTTATTTTAAATGGCAGAAAATGTTATTCAAATCATTCATATTTTATATTATCATGGGAGATTTCATGTTCTTGATTTGGAATTTATGAAAAGTCTAAAATACTTCAATTTTTGCTTTTGAATATATATTTCAAAATATGGCTACAAAAGGCTCTCCACAATATTCAAGTCCAGCTTAGAGTTAAGTTTGACTTTGAATCTTTGTGAAGCACCCCCCTTGCATTCCATCTTTCTTTCTTTCTCTCTACCTCTCTCTCTGATCTTGTTCTTCCTGTAACCTAACCTTCTCCTCCTGAAGCTGTACCGAGAGCCTAGCTCTCTCTCCCTCTCAGGCTCTGCATGGTGGGTGAGCTCTTGCTCAACCTCAGAGGTTTATGAACGAGAGCAGGTTTTGTGAAATACCTTTTTTAAGAATGTGAACTATGAATCATTTTCACTCCTTTATGGTGTCATCAGAAGCCCATACTTTCTCTCTGTCTCTTTTTTTGCCCTATATTGCTCTCATTGTCATGATAGGATAAAATATGTTTCTTTTTACTCCTATATTTGTAAAAGATTGACACCCTCCTACCCTTGTCAGCCCGCTCCCTCTCCTCTCCTCTCCCGCTTTCACCTTCTCTTTCTCTCTCCCCTACTGTGATTATATATTTATACATCAGATAATCATAAACAAGAAACATCCCCTACATGAAACTTCTCAAAATGTTGCAATAAAGAATTGCAATAAATTATGGCACTAAACTTTTGCAGATTGTAAAATCTTCCATGTTGCGATAAAATCTGATTTTAATATTTTGAAGCCTTAACTTCCACAAATCTGGATTACTCAAGAAATGTGCGAAAGTTTCATGAAAGCTAATTTGTGGCTTTACAGGAGGTGGGACTAAGCCATAAGGTAGATATCTAACCTGTTGTTGGTGTGTTTTCCTTGCCTCTTCACTCTGTCTCTTGTATTCCTTTGATTGCTTCTCTCTCAGCTCCTTAGACTTGGTCAGATCAACTTCTACCCTTGCCATCTGAAGAAATAAGAACAAGACATATATATAGCAGCTCTCAATACTACTAAGATTTCGCCCGCCCCCCGCCCCCCCCCCCCCCCCCCTGGTTTGAAGCTTGGTCTACAGTAGAATCTAATGAAGGAAATTAAATACAGGTTTAAAGCCCCTTTAAAGTGTTGTGAGCCCCAAATTTGCTAAAAAATGGGATGGCAAAATTTCACTTAAGTTATGTAATGATGTGAAAGAGGATGTTATTTAACACTCAACTCTGCACGTATTTTCAAAACAAATGTGTTTGAAGATGAATTTTGATCAAAGAATACAACACTTGGGTTTTGTGCTGTACGCAGAAAACCTAAATTTTGTATTCTTTCATCAATGCTCGTCTTCAAACACATTTGTTTTGAAAATCTTTGCAGAAGTCAGTGTTATACAAGAAAATAAACAGACTTCTCCCCAGCAAAAAAAAAACAGACATATTTTCCACAATACCACCCTAGAAGTTTTTGATGTTGTTGCTAACCTGTGTCTTCATGTCGTCAAACATTCTTCCTGAGTTGGTTTCCACCTGATTCTTAAAGTCCTCTAGTGCTCTCTCTGCCTGCTGGGCTTGCAGTCTCTGTAACTCCTTCAGTCGCTTGATCTGCTCATCTTTATCACTGTGAACATTCAACACAGGTGGACAAGTATGCATGCTATCATATCATACTGCTACTACCACTACTCCTACCATTACTACTACTACTACTACTACTACTACTTCTACTTCTACTAATTCTACTCCTCCTACTACTCCTACACCTACTACTACTCCTATTCCTACTCCTACCGGTACTACTTCTACTACTACTACTACTACTAATCTTGTAATCCGGCGACCGGGTTCGAAACCAAGGCGATGCGCTAGTGCCCTTTGGTAAGGCATTAATCCTCATTATAAGATGATTATGTGGATCCTAATCAAATGATTGGTTGAAAGTGTACACGTGACCAGGCATTTATTTTGCCTAACGCGTAATTTGGGTAATGACCGGTCATTATCAAAATCATGTTAGAAAACATCATTTTATAAAACAAATAAAACCTAATCTTATAAAACAAATAATACACATCATTTTGTTCGGGCATTAGTAAAATTACCCACACTTGGTACCTTCAAAACAGTCCTAACGCCCTCGGCTATTGCTTCAGGAGTGTTAGACTGTTCCAAAGGTGCCTCGTGTGGGTAATTCTTACTAATGCCCTCACTGATGTGTATTATTTGTATATTATCAGTTCTCTCGGAGAGGACCTAAAGCCGTCAGTCCTCTGGTTGCTTACTGACAAGCATTTATGCTTTCTTAGCAGTCAGGTAAAATAAGCGCTACCACTACTACCACTCCTACTCCTACTACTACCCCATTCTTGTATACCGGTAGTGCATATTACGTTATGACATAACCTCTCTATCCACCTCCAAACAACTTTGGACATTATTACCCAGGCTGCTCTAACTCTGGCAACCTGCAGTTCACCCTGCAGCTCAGTGCATTCAGTGAGTGAATCCCACCAGTGACAGTGTACCAACCTCTACACCTGGGTTGAGTGCTGTCAAAGTAGACTAATGCAGAGATGCCAACTTTTGGAAAACAGAAATAGGGAGGATTTGTAACCGACACCAAATAATGTGCACGTAGCGCCCGACACATGCGGCCGGGGTCCAGGGCCCGCCTTAGGACCCTGGAAGCTCTGGGGTTTCTAGACGCTCTCTGGTGAAATCTGAGCCTTATTTTGCAGCATTTTACATGTGTATTTAGTTAAATAATTCCCACTTTTTTTTAAAATAACATACAAATTGTACAAAATGCATGATGAATTCCTTTCAGACTTCCGAATACACAGGTACTTGATACTGTATTCGGTCTTATACTTCTGAGACCATTTCTTGGTCTTCTTTTGCTGATTTTCCGCCATTTGGATTCGGTGTCAATATCCACGCATTGGTTACGGTGATCTATATGCTGAAACAATCTTTCGCTTCTCTTAATTTGTCTTTTAACATAGTGGAATTACTACATGCTAAAGTTTTTTTAGTTTTTTTTTAAATGGGAGGATTAGGATGGTGATCGTAAGGTCAGGAGTTGGGGTGAATTATCGGGAGCCTCCCGATGAAATCGGGAGGGTTGGCATCTCTGCTAATGTCTTGCCAAAAAATTTCTAAGTGCCATGGCTGGGAATTGAACCTCATACTTTGTGATCTACAGTTCAGTGATTTGTCCTATACGCCACAGGTCTACTGTGCTTTACATGTACTTCAGTCACTGTGTTAAATTCATGTCAATGTGGATAATAAATAGAGTTTTAGATGAGGTTGTGGTACCATTCTAATTGGGCGTTGCAAGAAAGTTGCAATCAATTGCAGAAATCAGTTGCAGAAATCAGTTGCAAATTTTGCGCATATCCCCAAATTTTTATTGCAAAGTTGTCCTTGATCTACGATTGATTGCAAGACTTACGCTAGATATTTGGGCTTGATATCAAGCGCAACTCTTTCTTGCAACAGGATTGAACGTAACTTGCGTACAATTGCTAATTTGCAATTAAACGCAAGACTTGCACTTGATTTTAGGGATTTGCAATCAAACGCAACTTACTTGCAACGCCCCACTGGAGGTACTTACTGGTTGGCATTGTGAGCTTGCCTGAGCTGTCTTTCTAGATCCTCCTTCTCTACACCCATCTGTGAACGGAGCCCCTGGAGCTTCCTCTCACTCAGCTGCTCCTGGTGGAGCTTGTCTTGCTTGTACTCACTCTCTAGCTCCTGGTAGAAAGCAAGGACAAACCACATATATACATGCAGGGATGTGCAAGCAGCGTCAATTCCAATTTCAATATGTGAATCACACCTTTTTTTATATAAGGATTGTCTCCCTATCTAGCTATCAGGGTTGGCTGTTAGAAATGATCAGAGGGCCTGAAAATCACCTAGAATGAGCTATTTTGTAAACAAAAAAGCCTAAACTATGGTCTGAAAAATAACTTGCCAGGGCCTGAAAACTGGCATCCCTGATCTATCTCTTTGTAAATCAGAACCTCACTCTCTCTATCATTTTTTTATCTTCCCTTTCTCTCTCTCTCTCTCTCTCTCTCTCTCTCTCTCTGTTTCTGTCTGTCTCCCTCTGTCTCTCTCTTTCTGTCTCTGTCTCTCTTTCTCTACACCCATGTATGAATGGAGTCCTCGGAGCTTTGTCTTCCTCAGCTGCTCCTGATTGAGCTTCCTGATAGCAAGAAGGAGAAATCACATTATCTAGTTCAAACTCTGGAATATACTGAACTCATCAGAATTATACTTGTCCAACTTCAATCACAGCTTATTAACTTTCTGAATTAGGCTTTCTCTCTCTCTCTCTCTCTCTCTCTCTCTCTCTCTCTCTCTCTCTCTTGTGTCTTTTTCTTGGCTTCTCTCCATATCTCTGTCAGTCTGCTTCTTGTAACTCTGTCTACCGGTATTTCCCTTTTCCTGTATCAGTCTACCACTCCTGGTCTCCCTTTCTCTCTCTCCAATCTTTCTATTTTCAACTATAGAAGAAAGTATTGTGTTCTGCTCAGAGTTCAAGAAAATACTCAAGAAATACATTAGGGCATTGTGAACTGATTTTATCTGAATTTGAAAATTGTTATGCTATAAATTATGCACATCCTAATCCCTATAAAATGTGGCAAGACACAGATTAGAGAGAAGACACAAATAACTATGTCACCAAGAAATAAGACAGCAGGAAAGAGGTATGATGTATTAATAGGAGGCACGATAGCTCAGTCGGTAGAGCAGTGGTCTCATAATCCGGTGACCTGGGTTCGAAACCAAAGCGATGCGCTAGTGCCCATTGGTAAGGCATTAACCCTCATTACCAGGTCCCTCAGAGTGGACCTACAGCCGTCGGCCGCCTGGTTGCTTACTTACAAGCATTTATGCTTTCTTAGCGGTCAGGTAAAATAACCACCACCAATATGTGATAAAGAAACCAAAGGAAAACAGAGAAGGAAAGCATAGGGGAGAGGACATGAATAAACATGTCAGTACAGTTGTTTATTCAGGTCCTTTCTCCTGTGCCCCCCCCCCATCCCCCTTTGGTCTGTCCACTACTCACTACCACATCATAACTCCTTCCCACACGCCCCTCCTACCTCCTGTCCTCCTACTTCCCTGCGATGCAATTACTTGTGTCTAACTAAATGTATAAACATTAATCTTAAATATGTAAAAAAAAAAAAAAATTTGTGATTACAAAAACAGTACATGTGATTTAAACTGAACTATCAAATTCCTTCCCCACATTCACAATATTGAGGTCATATCCTATTATACTCACTCTAACTTGTCTCTGTCTGTTGAGTTCACTATCTTGCAGTGCCTGTCTCAGCTCATGTACCCTGTCTTCAAATTCGTTATTGCTTTCACTAAGCTGCAAGGGGAGAGTTCAATATTAAGAAATACAGCACTTTATGACAATATTCTTGGGCAGAATTCCCGTTTTTCACATGTCTGAAAACAATCTAAACTAGCATTACTGGATCCCAATCCCTTGTTGAGGAAGATCCAAGGCAGTTTCGCACTTAAAAATTAATTAACCAGGAAAAGAAGACTATTAGGAACTTAACATAAAGAGAGGGCTCCTCGGAAAAGTAGTCAGTGTAAAACTAGGGGGTAGTGGGAGCACCCTAGCAGCACAGATAATTGAAAGTCAAATGGAAGGAAAGAGAAGAAGAGGCAGACAGAGAAAGCATCAAGGCATGGACTGGCCTCACATACATAGAAACCAAGAGATTAGCACAGAAAAGACAGAAGTAGAGAGAAATGATCAGAAGGTGTGCAGATATGGATGCCAATCGCCAGTTAATTATGGAGGCAGCTACGTGGCCAGGTAGGTAGGTATGCTGTTTACTAAAATACATCAAATCATAATTTCTCAAAATAACCTCAACTGATTTTATCCATAGTACTATTTCATCATGAGGAAAGGGCTTCTACACTGGAGAGGCATGAATTGTGTTTTTCATATTGTTGTTTAATATTGTACCTTTGCAAGAGAAGTTGCATGTTCGTCCTTCAAGAATTCCACCCTGGCTTCAGACTTTCCTCTCAAGTTTTTCAGCTCTCTCTCATAATCTATCTTTTTCAGGTCATAATCTTTCTCCAAGGCAATGTATCTGCATTGGATGACAAAAAAAACAAGATATTTAAGACTTTCATTGACAGGAATATCCTGTTCACTACCAAGGGTTTGTTTCATACCATACATCCTCCATTCCAGTGGCGTAGCAACAGGGCCCCCAATCAAATGAAAAAAAAGAAGAAAATAAGTTGAGAGCAAGGGGAGAGATGAAGGAAAAGCAAAAAGAATGTGAGATAATATAAGGAGATGGATATCTGGAAAACATTCTTCAAAGATTACAATATTGTGTGAATCAGTAATGTGGGAACAACATGAGAAGTCCTAAATGAAATCTGTTGTACGAGGAGCATTAAACGGTTATCAAGAAATGCTTTGAGGTGATCTGATCTGCATCCTTGGTGTATCGTATAGCACAGAAGAAACAAATGGAGATAGGAGTGAAAGATAGAAGAAATACAGGCAAAAAGACAAAAGAGAGTATGTATGTGTGTCCTTTTCACTTTGAAATGTAAAATTTTCCCACTCTAGAGTAGCAAGAGGTATATCCCCTTTCCAGTCTACCGGTAGTCAATCTGCCCCCTCAAATTTTGACCATCTAGTACAGCGTATTTTTTTCTTGAACTGGAGTTCTACGAGAGGACCTTAGTTATATCAAAAATATATTTTGGAAAAATGTCATCTTCATGGAAACAAAGTATTAGAATAATAACATTGCTCAAGCCTTTGAAAATAAGAAGGGTATCATTGGTCCTTTCTCAGATTTATCGAAAGTATTTGACTGTGTTGACCATCAAATTCTAATGTAATCAGATGGATGTCCTCGTAACATATTGCTTAGAGCCGTCGATGTATGTTGTGTAAGTTGGACCACAGCGCAAGGCACTCTAATAGGCGAGCACACAGCTGAACCTGAGTTGGCCTGACTATGTGTATAATGGGCTCTGTTGATAATTAGCCTTTATTTTTTTATTTTTCAACATTTTCAACTATTTGGATAGTTTAAAACTGTAGAAAATAATGAAATATTTTCTTTAACAATTATATTCAATTGAATTTAGAGAACACTAAAAAACTAGTAATTTTTTATGTAAAGCAATGACTTTGAAATGATTACCTTTTAGTAATGTTCTCTAGCTCTACATTGAGAAGTTCTGCCTGTCTCTCTATCTTGGACTTCTCTTCTGAGAGGCGTATCTGTCCTGCTTGTTGATTGGTCAGTTCTTGACCTAGTTGATGAAGCTTAGCTTCAAGCTCTCTGATCACTTCAGCCTATACAAAGACATATACATGTAGATCAAATCAGATTTCAATTTCCTTGTACAAATACATTGTATATATGTTTGGTCATGTATTGATATCTTATCTCATTAAATAATTTTGTATCATAATTTCAGTTATCTTACGAAAAAAATGTTCTTGAATATTCATATTGTTACTTAATTCACAACATTATACAACATCAGTGCATAAATTCCTATGTATCACACAAAGCTGGGGAAAATATTACATATGTAAGCCACCGCATATAAAGGAAGTAAGAATCCAAATACAACTGTTGATTTGTCTATGTACTGGTCTGGTACTAGGTGTAAATCATTTGTTCAGAGCCAGAAGGGTGTTAGCTATGTTGTAAGTATATGAGTAAATGCTCTTCTGGTTCCAAACAGACAAAATATGAACTACAAGTACTTGTATTGATCCAATGAAATGCATATTGCTGAGCTGCTTTAAACCACTGAAAGTATATAAGACGATTCTTCCAACAAAGTGCCCATCTACTACATCTGGGTTGACAGTGACAGATGTTGATTAATGGCTTATCACAGGATTTAAGTGCCAAGGCTGGAATTCTAAAAGCTACCCATTTGATCTATGGCATACCTGCCAACATTTGAAAATGAGAATTAAGAATTTTTAGCACGGTATGTCTTCGAAAATTAGAAATCTGTACCCTTAACAGGCGTTCGCACATGCAGCGGCAGTGTAACTGGCAATACGCGGTAAATCTGTGCAAAAAAGCGAATACAAAATCGCTGCTCAATCATGCAGCCCTTCAACGCACGCAATACGTGAACTCTCACATCGCGGCATATGATAAAACAAGCTTAATTTGGCTTAAGCAACAACAACACACAAAACGGAATATTCCAGATTTTGGGGTCCTAAAAATCCAGAAAAATGGAATATTCCGGATTATTCGGAAGGGTTGGCAGGTATGTTATGGTACTGCCATTTATCCATTAGACCACAACACCTCTATGTGATAAAACGTGTTTATGAGATGCACCTAAATGGTGTAAGAAATATAAAAGAATATAGAAACAAGAATATAATATACAAAATATACAAGATGTGTAAAATTTACTGACTTTATTCCTACTTCAAGATTAAGAAATAGCTTACATGACTCTCGACCTGAGCATTATATTCCATCTCCATCTTCTGTAGCTTGTCATTGGTATCTTCTAAGATGTCTTGGATAGCACTAGTCTGTTTCTTCTGCATCTCAAACTTCTCCTGTTCATAGTCTGCTACAGCATCATGGAGCTGAGCATTAGTAGTGACAAACAAGATCATTGCATTATAATGGAAATGTCATTTTGTTGAATTACAAGCCTCCGCCACAGTAGGTGATGGAGAAGGTTGTTATTTTACCTGACTGCTAAGAAAGCATAAATGCTTGTAAGTAAGCAACCAGACGGCCGATGGCTTTAGGTCCTCTCTGAGGGACCTGGTAATGAGGATTAATGCCTTACCAAAGGGCACTAGCGCATCGACTTGGTTTCGAACCCAGGTCACCGGATTACGAGACCACTGCTCTACCGACTGAGCTATCACACCTCCTCTAGGTGGTGCTGGAGGTACTATTTTTGTTACTGTTATTTTTAACGTTATCTGTCCAGTACAGTATGTATGAGCATACAAAGATGAACTGAGTAGATGTTGGGTATATTAGAGGTCAAAGGTCACAGGATTACAAAAATGTCAAAAATAACAGAAAATATCTTGATATGACAATGACTTGAACATTAATAAAGAAATTCAAAGCATTTGATGAAGTATTTATGAGGATGCAAGGATGATTAGATTTTGTTTTAACTATAAATAGATCATAATGGTGACTCCCTGCAATGTGTCTGGTACAGCATATCCTGTATCCATTAGAGATACCAGAAAGAACCTTTAGTCAATAGTCATATCAAGGGATTTTCATATAAGGATGTGGATAAAAGACATATGTCCATGTTGTAAAAGACACATCTCATGGAAACGTCAGTAACTGGGATATTGGTATTTTAAGTCAGTGGTTCTGAACCTCTTTGGCCTCATGAATTGCATAGACATTTTATGTCAGAAACTAACCTCCAAAATTAAAACCAAATGTGAAGACTATTAAATCAGTCGTATTATGAAAACATGTACATGCAGGTGCTTGTGCAACTCAAGTCTTCACGTTTACATAATTTGGATTGATTTTATGAACTTAATGACCCCAACTCCGACCACCCCCCCCCCCAAAAAAAAGAGGGAAAACAGAAGAAGAAAAGACCCAAATGGGGGCCTCAAAAGAAATATAAATTATCCATTATTTCAGGCTCTGATGCTATTATAAATGTATTCATGTCAGATATTCAGTACAATTCATAATTTCAAAGCTTTATCTACATAGCAACAGGATCTGTACACAGGGTACAATAAGCCTTCATTTCAAATAATCTGTACCCACCTTCTTTTCATAACCATTAAGAGTTGTCTGACTGCTATGTTCCACCATCTTTCTCAGCTCAGAGATCTGTTTATCTCTACTCTCCTTGGCATGGCTAAACTCCTTGCTGAGTGCTTGTACTACAATTGGCAACAAAAAATGTGGGGATTTTCATCCGCCAGCAATATCAAGGTACACTGTCCAAATTGTTAGGAGAGATGTTTATGTAAAACAAAAGATTTTCCAAACAAGACCTCCCCCCCCCGCCAAAAAAAAAAAAGAAAAAAAAAGAAAAAAAAAAGGAATGTTTGAATACTTCTGATAGGTACAAATTGATTTATGTTAAGTAAATCTAAAAGCCTGTACCGACTACACAATAATCGAACTCATGATGGGAGATAAGGTCTAAATTCTGCAACATTCATGCTGACTATTGAGTGCACATCTGATGATATACAAAGCTCTCACTTACATTTTTGGGGGTTTGCTAGCCGTTCAACCTGGATCATTGTTCAAGTTGCCAACTTCCGGTAATCGTTCACAATCAGTGAACAGCATAACATTCACACAACATAAAAGTAACACTGACAATTTAAAAGGTTTTTTTAGCAATGTTTTTAAGCTGTAAAGAAAGATTTTATTTGGTTAATGGCACCAGGGTAACTGCTCATGCATTTCAAGCCCTCAATCACTTACATTTCTTATCTAACTTGGAGTTAGTTTCCTCCAAGTCTGCCACCTTCTTTCTGTAATGTATCTTCATCTCGTCCATCTCGGTATTCTTTCTGTCCAGGATCTGAAAAAGGACAAGATGAATGCAATTGCATCTCTCAATGCCTCAGCCTATATATGTTCGTAGGTCAAAGTTCATGTGACCTTTTTGCATCTGATCTCACAAACCAAAAACCTTTTCCATTCAAACTTTTCATGCTCACACATGCATGTATTTGAGCTAAGTTTGGTTGACATGATCACTTTTGGTGAGTTATCACAGCAATAAAATATTTTGGGGGATTGTTAACACTTTCCTGACTCTGTGATTTTTCACATGTACCTGCACATATACATGCACGTGTACACCCACAATGCAATCAATTTATCCTTGCACACACATACATTCATTAAACAAGTTTGGTTTGAACTGCTTCACAAGTTAATGAGGTAACAAGATATTTTCTGGTATCTTTTTACACTTGTATGACCTTCTGACCCATGACCTTTGCCCTCTAATATCCAAAATCTAATCAGGGAATACAAATAAAATGAGGGGAAATGTCTGATCATTGCATGCCATGGTACACACAAAGGAGCTTCCATGGAATGCATATTTTAACATTTTAAAATCAAACTCTTGAGATGACATGAAACCTTACCTTCTGAATTGCTTCATCATGCCTCTGCTGGATAAGGAGTTTCTCCTCGTGAAACTTGGCCTCCAGTAGCTTTGTCCTCATCTCAAGATGCTGCTTCTCCTGTCTCGTCTCCATGGAAACATCATCAAACATCATCGACGATGCAACGGTCGGGCCGCTCGGGATTCCAGTCCCAGTGGTTGTGACCTGATGGGTTCTTGCAGCAACAGGACTGAGTTCAAATCTTGGCCAGTCAAACCGGGTGGAAGCTTGCTTGGTGGTAGAAACCTGGAGAAGGAGAAAATATTGTTCAAAGTAGTTGCTTCACATGTTAAAGTGACTCTCACACTCTGCTGTGTAGGCCTACCGTGTGCCACCGTGCGCGAAAATGTCTGCGGACGGTGGAGAACGGCGAGGGCAAACGGTGGTTCGTTATCAAAGCGGGCAACACGTTAATAGGGCGTTGGCGCCTATTTACACCCGGTGGGACCCGGCGAAAGTTTTGGGCATGTTCAAAATTTTGGCCGGCTGGCACCAGCCGCAAGTAAGCGGCAAGAGGACGGTGTTGAACAGTATGAGGACGGTATGAATACGTTATGAAAACGGTCACACTGTATGAACACGTTCACAACACGCTCATAACCCGTTACAGAACGGTGATGAAAAATGGAGAGCGGACTGACCGTTGCCGTTCAAATCGGGGTATTTATGGCAGTCGTGTCATGACGTCAGCAGTCCGGGGACTCGCTCACAGGATGCTCCGAGCGGTGAGGGGACACTAAGTGACTGGTAGGTGGCTGCTACAAACCCGGTGCACACGTTCGAGACCCGGTATGGGCCCGGTATGGAAACGGCCAAAATTTTCAACAAAAGTCAATCTGGGCGGTGAAGACGGTAGAAGCATGTTCAACACCCGGTATGCGCCCGGTGAGAACGGTCAGAAGATGGCAACGAACGGTGAAAAGATTAATTTTATGAATTTTTTTTTGCGGCCGGGGACAATTTCGCTCAAAACCCAACGTTCTGGACTCTGTTTTTTTTTTAATAGCCCGGCAGGTGGACGGTAGGCTTACACGGCAGAGTGTGAGAGCTCCATTACCTATGGCAGCTGTATAGTCCCTGAGTGCTACTCCCAAGCCTTGAAATATTTTTTACATTTTATATGATACTATATGACTCTTGTGTACAAGATTCATGAATACTGAACACATATTTTCAAGAAGAAAGAATTTCTTAAAATGTTGATGTCACCATTACCCGCACCTCTGCCGTCAGAAAAGTGTTACCTTTGTCTCACTTCTGCTACTCAGGTGAGAACAAAAGTTTTCTTTGAACCTTTTGCTAAACACGACAATGACTTTACATGCACATGCATTAAAGCCCGTCTGCACTAGTTTGGCCAGGGAGATTACACCTCCCTGCAATGTCACTGACAGGTGGTTATCTCATCAAATCAGCTCTCAATTAACATAAGAAAAAGGGCATTATGGGGGATTAACAGCTTAGGCATTGCTGGCTGTATAGAGGGCGCAAGTAGCCATAAGTAGTGCAGTCGGGCTTTAAAAGTACCGCGATGCAGGCTCTATCTTACCCTATTATTTGAGGATGATCTTGCCTCCTTCCTCCTTGGATTGGGATCCTCATCTTCATCTGAGGAATAAGTGAAAGATACTTTGTGCCTGTTCCGGATTTCTACCTGAAAGAAATTTTGATGAAAAAATAGTTAGGCTTGGAGTTTACCTGGGTTGCTTGAAAGAAAGCAATGTTTGATTGACCAGGTGACATACAGCTGGTTATGAATTAACCATGCACAATGCCTGGAGTTCCTGTGTTGTGCATAGTAAATACATGATCGGCTGGCCCTACCAGCTAAGGCATGCATGAACATTAATTACTGCTGAACGCCCTTAAATCTACAATCCAACTTATGAACATTCTTGGTGAATAATAAATACAAAAGGTAATTGGAAGCAAGTTTACATATATCTATGAATGTAGTATTGTTTTATTATTTCAAGGTTCCTTTCTTATTATTCAATCTGAAAATGAAGAATAATTTTCACCCATCACATATTGGTAAAAATCTTAAAATATGAGGGGATGTTAAAGGTGAAATTCAAAGAAAATCACAAATATGTCAACCAGTATCACCAGAAACTGGTAAGCTAACAGATAGCCATCGTACAAGTTTTAGGTCAACTACATATCGGGTGGTTTATAAAAATACAAATACAACCACCTCCATAGCAGATGGGATATACAAGAGATTCGCCAGAAAAATAAAGATGTTTTAATGACGTCACAATATGGACCAATACTGCCCAAGCAGACGACATCCCATAAAGAATGAACATAATTGCAAAGCTATTATTTGTCCAATTATAATGAGTTTAGTGTAAATAAATGTAATGGGATGTCAAACCATTCAAAACGGGATATAACTCGATTCTGATAACTAAAATCTTTTGCTTGTAAATACACAGGATAGGGGTTAATTAACAATCAAAGAAACCAGACTTTCAAATTGAAAAACCCCCGGAATGATATTAAGGACGGTATTTGTTCCCTCTTGAAACGCCGAACATGCCGCGGTGTGTGTAGCTAAATATACAATGGCGTCTTATTTTGTTTACAAGCGACAGATTCCTTTATTTTTGTATTGCTGCATTTACCATCAAAATAAAACCATGCGCGGGTTTAGAGTGAGGCAATATATTAAACATTTCGCATGAGGGTATTGAAGTAAGAGAAATAACTGAAGAAAAGATGACAAAACAGGCACTGAAATTGTGTGAGATGTCATGAGACATCGTCTGCTTGTGCAAATCATGTCCATACTGTGACCTCACACATCTCAGCAGCATTCGAAGAGCTCTTCAGGTGCTATGCCGGGGGTGTATTTAAGCGTGTTGTAATTTATAACAATCATTACTTTGAATGTTTCCAAGCATTGAATTTTGATAACCTTGTTGAATCAAAGTTTCAACTTTGCAATAATGAAAATAAAGTTAGTTTTTAAAATCAATGAATATCTACTTTAAAGAAAAAGCTAAAGGAAATTAAAGTACAGAGAAAATGCGATCCTTACCCTAGCTGCCTCAAGTTGTGACTGGTAACCAGATGCAGGGACAGCTTGCTGGAGTCTATCACCTTCACCTTCATTGCGTAGCTTTTGTTGCCTTTAGAAGAGAGAAAAAATGGTATTATCAATTAAAAAGTGTAAATAATACTAATAATAGGCATTTGTGTTGCGTCATCTCTCTAGAATTTCTATTCCGAGGTGCACAAGGAAAACTTGATAAATACTGTTAAACAAAAAGCTTGGGTAAAAATCTTTCAAATTGTGGAACGTTGTGAAAATAGGTGTGGTTGAAATCATTGAAATTATTGGGGTAACAGTATTCGGTTCACCTGCTAGGTCATAGGGCTAAAGATGAGTAGTGATCATACCTTGTCTCAACATTGAGATGACGCTCCTGTAGCACATTGGTTGATCTGACCTTTGACCTGACTGAGGATGACCTGAGGTCCTTGGAGTCCTGACCGGACCACAGTTCACCACTGACCCAGTCTGGGAGTGAATGACCTCTGACCTCCTCTTGTCTCAGGGCTTTGGACTGAGTAGGCTCATCAAAATAGATTGACTGGAGTGGATGGTATAGCAAGGGGGAGATATTGTGGATGAAAAATTCAGGAGAGGCAAAAAAAAAAAAAGGAGAGAAAATGTTTATGCCAGTCATATAAATGGCCAGGCCTGTTGACATCATTGATCATGTTGCTCTGAATATACAATCAGTTAATTCAAGAAAAGAGAATTGGAAATAAAAATGGTCATGAAATTTAACTTGTAAGCAGGCCTGTGTCTTAAAGGCCATCTGTACTAGTTGGGCCGGAAGGGATTAGACCACCCAGCGTGGTTACTGACAGGTGGCTATCCCATCAACTCAGCTCTCAAATAACATAAGAAAAAGAGGATCATGGAGGACCAAGAGGCACCGATTGGGGAAGTTTTCTATATAGAGGGAGCAAGTAGCTACAAGTAGAACAGTGGGGCTTTAAGGAGCTAAGTACTGCTACATTGTGCAACATGCTTTTGACAAAACTATACAACAAAATTATAAAAACAGCTGGCTTCACCGTTATTCTTGCGTCCCACACCGTATTTTACTCACTTCCAGGCATTAACATTTTCACGGTTAGCACAAACAATCAACACTACATTCAATTCATCATGTTCCCTGTATAGAGACACAAACACAAATTTTGCCCATATTTCCCATCTTTAGTTTGTTTAGGAAAGGAGAAAGAATTCATATGATGTACTGACTAGAATGTGAAAGGTCAAAGAAAGGTCAAATCTTTTAAAATGCACATTACAATATACATGCATACACTGGGTAAGGAATTCATTTGCATCCTTCTACCAGAAACACCATAATAAAATGTTCTTGTATTTAAATCATTCTTACTGTGTAAGAGGGAAGAGTTGGTAGCGGACCAGGGTCAGGTCGACTGCTGAATGGTCCTTCCAGTAAGGATTTCTTCAGCATATGCAGAAGCAGTTTACTGTACATATTACGATTTTTCCTGCAGACCAAAACAAAAATTGAAATTGTAATTACAATAAGTATCATGAAATGTTTCTGTGATTAAACTATTGCTGCTCACTCTTCTTTTACAGTGACTCCATTTAGCCTGGTTTTTAGTGCAAAATATTGATCTAAACTACCAATTTGCAGAGAGAATAATAATAAGTAATAATGACATATTATATACAACATGTATGGCTCTGTTTTAGAAATCAGTTGTCACCTTTTATTGTGGCAAGATGGACCTAGATTGATCTCCCATAGCTTTAAAACAAAGAGTTTTAACTTTTTTTATGAGCATGAAGTATCACTGAACAGCATATTGTTTACAGAATTTTGTAACCTGAATCGACATATATCATTTTGGCTGGAGTTGAAAAATACTCACTTTTGAATGTCCTACACTACAGTGTATCAGATACAATTTCTTGGGAAACTATTCTATATTTTAAAACATATCTATATTATTCAATTAAAGTAAGCAAATGTATGTGAGGTTATTTGTATTCATCTAAGGAACATAGACAAGCATGCTGAATCAGTGGGCAACTTGAGAGCATATTACCCTTCATCTCACACCCAGGAACTTGTATGAGTTTATACAGCATACTTAAAATCATAGAAAAGGGATACATACATGTACAATACCATAATAATATCGGCTGATTTTGGGGTGATAAAAGAGACTGCACTGCCATTACCATATTGCCCTCAAAGCAAGTCAATAATCAGGGAATAATTTTCCTGGTATCGCATCGCAATTTGCTATGCATTTTTGCATGACTGCTATACAAAATATTGTTTGTGTAGCAGTTTTCTTCCATAGAAATGTACAGAATTTCATTTGAAATATTTATCCATCAGCTGAAATTGCTAATCAAAATATTTGAGGAAAATTATTCCCTGATAATACTGTTCATTATTTTAACATTCTACGATGCATGGTAAAAATGAGTATTTACCTTCCAACCACTCCATGACCTGGCGCTTCACACAGCTTTTTAATCCACAGAGCACAGCGTTGTCTTTCTGAAATCCAATATACAGATAAACATGTACTTGTAGAAGAACTTTTATAAATTAAATACCTTCTAGTTGGAACTTGACCATCAGATCATGACAATTTAACAATCCATGACAAATAATACTCACTTTTAGTTTTATCCTCTCAATTGTTAAAATCATCTGACTGACTGCTCAGTATGAATCACTATTCCTACTGAATTGTAAAATGTTAAAGAGCTCACAGCAAGTCAAAACACTAAATTTAGCAAAATAAATATTGGTATCCATTAACTCACCTGATTTATGAGGCAACTTGAGCATATACGGCTTCATTTCAGCCAGGAAACCATCAAATTCATTATCCAGCTCTCCACTCTCATCTGCCATGGTTGAGACCTGGGAAACCTTCAAGTGAACATTTAAAAATTAACCAGTTGACTCCTGAATTCATTCATTCAACAGAGGCTCAAGGAAGACCAACAATATTGGCCAAAATGTGCTACTTTGTATTCATGTCAGAATTAAATACAATTTTCAAGGATAAATTCAGCTCAGGGACTTCTTTGTCACCCCAGCAGCAGTCGCACCCCAGCAGCAGTCGCACCCCTTTTAAATCATGACCATTATAATCTGAACAATTGATCAAGCTGTATTTTATTTTGGTATGTTATAGGGGAGCCAGGCTAACTCCGACCAAAGACAACTCGGCCCAGCTGCAAAAATGGTAATTTTTTGCAGGTTTAGGGTAAGATTTAGGGTTAGGGTTAGGTTTAGGGTTAAGGTTAGGGTTAGGGTTAGGATTAGGGTAAAATGACAAAAACTGACTGTTTTTGTAGCTGGGCCGAGTTGTCTTTGGTCCGAGTTAGCCCAGATTTGTTATAGGATTAGGGGGGGATCTCCAAGCTACACCAAAAATTTCTGTCTCTTTCGTTCGTTAGCCTCGGCTCCTAAACTAAGTAAAGAGAGGAGCTAGCCGACCCTACCCAAATAAGACTAAGACTGAGGCTAACGAACGAAAGACACATACATTTTCGGTCTTTCTCCATGCCAGCTCTAGCAGAGTTACGGGTCAAAGTGTGGATTAATTATTCTGAATTAGTCTAGACTAGATCTACTACTTACTAGTGCCAAAAAACCTAACAGAAATGGCATAAATATTCACTCCTGAATGCTATAAACCCACAGCAGATCCGACTCGACTCCTCTCTGACCTACCCAAATCAGAGGCTAACGAACGAAAGAGACACAAATATTCGGTCTAGCACTGGCCTGGCCTGGAGCAGTGACAGTCCAGTGCGGTCCGTTCCTCCACTGTATAGCTGCCCTGCCACTGCACCGTGAATACCCGGCCCGCGCCCGACCAGCTGGCGTACAACTACAACATCGTCCTGATCGATGCAATCATCTACAGAAGAATCCTGAAAATGAAAGCTTAGCCTTATAACTCATATCAATCATATGACGTGAAATCATCATTCAGAGCATAATCATAAATACATAGACATGTATGACATAACAACTTACGCTTTGACTTCTGGACTTTATTTTCCTCGAAAACAAGCTAGATTGATGGTCCTTCCGATCCTCGCTCCTTGAAACTGGCGCCGTTATTAGTCGGCTAGTGTAGTAGTGTATACGGTCGGTCGAGTACGAGTCGCCTTTTTCAAATAGGAAGTGTAAATAATAATTGAGCCATCGAGTCACACTGAGATAACGTGAAATTGGTAAGTAAATAATAGCGATAATAAGGATTCATGTCTGTATTCTATCTTTTCGTCACCCTTCCACAACTTTAGGCTTGGTATTTTAGGTAAAATGCACGGTCGGGCTTAGCTTTAATAGCCTTACTTAGGTTAGACTTAGGCTTTTTAGTTTATTAGGCCCAGTTATTCGAGTTGCGGCAATGACCGAGTTTATGGCCTCGGCCTGGGCCGCCCGGCCGGGCTGGCGAGCCGGCTATTGGAGCTGGGGTGGCGCGAGAAGCTGCTTTGACGTCGACCGAGTTGGACTCGGGAGCTTTATAGAGATGAGAGTTGATACTACTGCGGTACAGATAATCGGTTATCGCAACTTATTTCGTCTCCTGGCTGGCAGAAGGGCATTATCGATTTTCAGGTAAAAATGAAGCGTTAAGCAGGAGGGCGTTAGCAACTTAGCACTAAAAAAAATTGTGGCAGTGACCAGTGTATTATTACATTTCTATTACTTTTTAGTCTAGGGTCTAGTCTTTTAAATTTTAAACCAACTTTCGGGACAGAAAGCAGTTTAAATATAAAACAAATCTTTAAATGTGAATAATTCGAAAAGTAGCTCGCACGTTAACGCCATTCTGCCAGCCAGCCAGCCGACGATTGGCGATTGATGTAAATCGCAACTAGATCTATGTATAATGGGGAGGGGGTGTCCGGACAAGTAACAAACATATAATTAAGGACTTCTCTTTTGCCTACGGCTTCATCACTCTTCAGATTGAATTAAAACTTACCAAGAAGCAAGAAGAAGACACCCACCTAGTGCTATTTGATATTGTTTGTTCAATCTGAAGGCAAAAGAGAAATTTATGTTTATAACATGTCCGGTCACGCAACCCACAGCTATCATACGTACATGTAGTGATGCAATGGACATTCTTTTCTTTCTTTTTTCTTTTTTCTTTTCCTCTTTTGGGTTAAAAAAAAGAGAAGAAATTACTGTGTTCTGTTGATGTCATCCTTCTTCATTTCATTTTCATTTATTTTTTTGTGTTCTCCATATTGCATGCATCCTTGAAACATTTTATGTCGTAGGTTCTAAATAAAACACAACTCAAAATAGAGACACAAAAAATAAGGGTTTGGTTGCTGTGAAGGTTTAATCAAGACTCACTGATTTAATGCACATGCAGTGTATACATACATGATGAACTCAACCAAATCAACAGGGCCAGGCAGGGTATCAAGGAAGGTGATCATGTGCTAGTGGCTATGGGCAAAATCAATAGCAATGGCATCTAAACATAAGAGCATGCATGCATAACAATCGGACTTGGGCAGGGACTTGACTTAATTAGCATTACATTAAATAAGATTAAGGTTCTCAATGTCTATAAACACAACGAAACACATCAAGTCTTTTGTGCTGACTCTTTAGTCTGCATTTTTATCATTTTTGCAGGTTACCAAAAGCTTCAGTCTCTGATATATCGACGGATGTTCCGCTGAGACTAAAGTCTATACGAACCAAAGAGCTTTAACCTGCAAAAAAAGGAGTAGAACCTACATGTACAATGTACTATGTTTTGTTTTCATAGTTTTTTTATTTGAAAAAGAAGCATAGCTATTGTGATCAGACATTACAAGGGTAGATCCTTCTCTTCTATTCTTTTACATGCAGGTCTTGTTCATTGGGAGAGAAAAAAGAAAACGAATCGTATGGAACAAAAGCCATGGCTGCAAGAAGAAGATCTCAGTAAGTTTTTTTTCTTCTTCATTATGTATGTTCATCCCACTATAGCTTGGGAAAGCTGCTTCAGGGATTATACTCGCCAAGTATTTTGATTTAATGATATTTTTCATCCTGTAAAATAAGAGAAGATTCAGGCTCGTAAGTGTTTGGTATGTAATAAAACTGTTTGTGAATATAATATGCTACTAACTTATGCTATTGATAATTTTTGTATAGTCTACAGTATTAAACCTTTATACAGCAGAAGCCATTATAATGTGTACGGTAGATGATTTTTAGATCTTCTACTACAAATTCAATTTTCTCAACAGTTACGTAAAGTGATAGGAGTAATCTACCTGCTCTATTGTGTCTCTTTATAATATATATTTTATTATCTACAATTTTTATTAGACAGTTAGGCACCGTTGACATGCAGAAATTTCTGAGAAATTATTTGCTGCTGTCTAGGCCAATGCCGGAAAAAGTGGCTAGAATTATTTTTAACGGCTTTGTTGATATTCATTCCGTAATTTGTGGAAAATTCATTTCTTGAAATACTTTATAGGCCACTCCCAGATGAGGACTTCTACAGTACTCTGGCTGCGGATTTCGATGAGAGTGAAGAGGTAAGCTACAAAAAGATAAGATGATATAAGTAAATTTGTTTTTAACTTTCAGAACTTGCCTTTATGAAGTCTCATATCTGCATTCAGATGATTTGATAGAGACCTGTTTTTGTTTGTTAATGTCCCATAGTCTGTCTCTCTCAATGTCATTTTGTAATTTTATTTCACATTTTGCATCATTCTTTTCTTCTACTGTACCTTCTATTAATAGGGTGTTGAAATTGCCCATGAATTGATTTTTCAAATGTAGTTGCAATTGAGTATTTGATATTATCCCTGTAGATGGAAACCACCTTACATGCCTAAATATGTGTTGCTTTGTTGACAAACCTCAGGCAAACTTTAGGGTTGTGGAGATCAAGGTATTTTGAGAAAAGCACAAACAAGCGAAAAATAACAAGTCAATAGTTAAGCTTGCCTATTGAGTATGAATTGACATGAGAATACAGCAATTGTTTTCAAAGTGACCATATTCTAAATTTCTTCTTTTTTCTTTCTTCAGAATTCAAGTGTATCAGATGCTGATGTAAATGCTCTCACAAAGGCATTGGCAGTAAGTACCAATATTTTATGTGTTTTGACTAGGCTAGTTTGGAACAAACTTGCTCTCCTGTTTTTGTCTCTCTATTTATGTGTCTGTGACTTATTCTCTCTCTCTTTCTCTCTTTCTCTCATACATTGTAGATACCCAACGGTTAATCATAACATAGCAGCATTTAATGGAGAAAAACCCCAGTAATTAGTTACCCTCCAGTTCCTACTATACACAATAAAATAGCCGACATGTGTACATGACTTGATCAAAGAATATTTTCTCATATTCAACATCCTGCGATGAATTGATGATTATAAACATGTTTGCAGCATTAAGTTGATTTGCACATGTACATGTTTATATATACAAGATAGAAAAAATTATGGTATGCAGATTATATCCTGAAGGTGAAATGTTGAAATGCCTTCATCTTTGTGCAGGGTATGGATGACATGGATGATGCTCTCTTCAGCTCCTCCCTCAAGCCAAAGAAGACCCCCAGCAAGGAGAGTGCAGCTCCTCCTCCCAAGAGGAAGGGGTCAGTGAAGGGTGCCACCCAGAGTCCTGCTGCCACGCCTAGTCCTGCCACGCCTAGTCCTGGGTTGAGTAGGAAAGGAACATATAACATCAGCGATGATCTGGACGGCGACATGTCCAAGACTTATGACTTAGGAAAGAAAGCAGATAAAGGTAAAGCCCACTGCACGCTAAGTGTGGGATATCTTCAGAAAAGTGGCAATTTGACATCAAAGATGCAGTCATAAAGGTTTATTCAAAGATTAGATGAAACAGCTATGGTCGTTCAAGGGTTTAGCTACATGTATTACTATGAAACACAAAACTTTTGCGCTGTTATACTGTTGAAGATACTATGTCCCTTTTGCAGCCAACCTCAAATTCTGTAGAACTTTGCAGGAATTATGAATATGTCATGTATATCCTATCTGTGAAATTTAAACGTTAGCAGTGTCCTATTCAAATTATGCAAGAAAACCTGTTTACTTGCTAGACTTCACTGTCAGACACTGTCAGTATTGAGTGACTGACTGGCTTTTTCTTCTTCTTTGGTAATAACATACATAACATGAGCTGTAAAGGGGACATGAGCATTTGTCTACATCAATAACCCACTTCTTATGATGGCCAAAATTAACCTGATTGAATCTTTGCGTATGACCATTCGGTACATTGGTCTAAAAATCAAGACTATTACTTATTGGCTGGCTCTATAGCTCCTAAGTCGATTTGACAACTAATAGTCATTATTTTCCCACTTGAAGACATTTTCAAGCCCCACCTTTTTTAGGGAAGTTCTAAATTAGTATTATTTTTCAAATGCCGTTGGAATTTAACCTTTTCATTTTTTGGCCTGCAAATAGGACATAGTACCTTTAAGGCTCGTTCAGACATGACACAGCAAACTTTTTGTTATGATGATGTTAAGTGTAATACATGTATCTTATAACACAGAGCTCAGTGAATATGCGCTAGTCCTTCGTTGCGTGCAGTTACCATTCATTTTCACATTTAAAAAATTGCGGTTTTGGGTTGTTGTTTTTTGCAGCCGTCTAGCACACCATATCTGAACAAGCCTTTAGAGTGCTTAATAAATGACAATATTGTATTGTATTGTATTGAATTGTGGCTCAGCAGAAGAAACTTTTGTGACTTGCAAAACTGAAATGAGTGTGTGCTGACAAGGATTTGAAGAGGCATAACAATACATATATAGCTCCATCTTATCTCAGATGATGCCTTTGCCTGGCTCTCCAACTTTCATGTGTCACTATCAGCGTGTTTCCACAGAAAAAGAGTGGAACATGGATTATTTTTTCCGGAATTGAAATCGCGGCGACACAGTATTAAACCAATCTGTTTCCACAGAGCGCAGCATTCCGATTAGCCCTGATTCCGTGTTTCAAGTCAGACAAATACCGTGTCAATCGGAAGTCAAGATTCAACCTTTGACCTCGATTGTGGATCCAGATCTACACAGGATTCCACGCTATTCTATTGTGACGTATATTTTTCATTGTTACGTACAGCACGTATATAAACATATTATTGTATTCGCGTATTTCAAAGTATTTTTCAACCAATCATGCTGTAGTGGTGATTGGGGCTTCGCGCGCTCTGATGACCGCCAGACACGTCCATGTTTTTCAGTATATTTTGGGTGAATTTAGGGCTGATTTTAACATATTTTTTTTGGCCGGGGGGGGGGGGGGGGGGGGGGGGGTAGGAGGGCACGTGCCCCCTGTGCCCCCCCCCCCCCCCCCGGATCCGCCCCTGGATCCGCCACTGATACCATGTCGATGTTTTCTGTGGAAACACGCTGTATAACTGCAAAATGGTACTCAAAACAAAAAAATTGTCATTAATCCATTTAAAAAAAAAAAAGAATTGAGCAAATCTGGACAAAAGTTCAGTGCAGTTGAAAGATTCTAGTTAAAGTTTCTGGTTTTAGTACCGTGAAAATGTTTGATGAATGGAATAAAAAAAAATCAACTATCATTTTTAATATGTGGTTCACAGATTCTCAACCTGAAGCAGCAGAAGGTAAAAAGTCTCCTGCCCTCTCCAAGACCTACCCTGGTAGATCTAAACCTGAATCAACTTCTTTTGACTTCGGAGGTGAGTTGATAATGATCATATTGATTTCCAATTAGTTATACCATAGATGCATTTTCTCTCTCTCTCTCTCTCTCTCTGTCGCTCCATCTCTCACTCACTCTCCCGTTCCTCTCTGTCCTAAATACCGCTGTAAACTGACACAGTCTGTGTGTGTGTGTCTGTAGTGTACTACATGTATTCAAATGAATTGCAAGTGGGGATGAAAAAAGTAGCAATGCGCAATGAAGGTCCTATGTGTAGTCAGTTATTTGTATGATAAAAGATACAAAAATGTGGAGCGCAGAATGCCTGTAGTAAACCTGGTTCTCCCTCGGAGTGGACCTAAAGCCGTCAGTCCTCTGGTTGCTAACTAACAAGCATTTATGCTTTCTTAGCAGTCAGGTAAAATAACCACCACTAACCACCACTGTTCTGGTTCTCTGTTATTGTCAGAGTTTGATGAAGATGACCCTCTTGCTGGTCTTCTCTCTGATGATGAGGATGCTGTGAAGCCTAAGAACAAGAAGCCCGTCACTAAGGCTACAAAAGCTGCTGCTTCAGGACCAGCTGTAAAACAGGACCCACCAGCAAGTAAACAAACAAAAAAGCATGTCCATGATGTTATAAAGTAGATAATTATTACTTTGTTTATCAATGTTTTATGCCATTGCTTCTGTAAGACAAATTTCAACAGTGATACACTAACCATAACGATGAGACCGACAATAGACCAAACTCAAAAGTATATTACCCCAAATGACAACAAATTGGGCTTGGGTTTTTGAGTCAGATAACTGTAAACCTGACATTTCTCTGGTGATAATTACTCTGGAATTTATTTTTTCAAAGATTTTAGGGCAAGGGTTGAGATTGGATGTTTAGGATTAGGTTTATGCTTAGGTGTTGAGGCTGATCCAATGTTAAAAATGGAAATGTGGGTAGAGTAAATTATTGAACACAGAGCAATTGCAGCGGAGCATTGTGTCATAGAAGGTGCATTGCTGTTTCATCTACTTTACCGGTGTGTTGGCTCAGTCAGTAGAGCGTCCGCCTCACAACTGGGAGGTCGTGGGTTCAAACCCCGGCCGCGTCATACCAAAACACGTTAAAAGACGGGAGTTGCTGCTATACCTACATACCTCAAATTAAATTTGGGTCAACAATTTGTTACATTCTCAGTTTTATTATTTCGTGGTAGGAAGTTAACATTAATAGGAAATAAGTCTACAGATCCACTATTATCACACACACACCATGCATACATGATATTCACAGGCAGTTCATAAAGTATAAGCAGACCGTTCAAAGATTGACCTGTTTCTTGACTTTATTCTGTATAGATCCAGCTCCTGCTTCTATGAAAGAGACTCTAGGTGCCAGTCAAAGTGAAGACAGTCTTCTCGATACAACACCAAGAGGTGGGCTTTGTCTCATTGAAAATCTGTGCCCCATCTTATAAATAACTGCCATTGTTACCCGTATCAGACATCTGAGCCGTGGTTTTACAAAATCATATTACACTTGTTGTAATCCTAAAAGAGCTAATCAGTAAATATAAGACCATATTACCCTCTCATGAAAAAGCCTATGGACTTTGCATGTTAAAAAAGCAGTAAATATAGTCTCATATTGACCGCGCCGTATTTTGTCATCTTCATTGCGCATCTATTATGCGTACGAGAACCTGCGCACTTTGCGCGCTCTCTATTGTGACGTAATACTCACACCAAATTAGGCACAATGTTTGCAGTGTATCGAAAAGTGCTGGTTTTTACAAAGTTTGTTCAGTTCTTTGAGATTGTCATGGTTGATTTATGTATTTGCTCTAGATGTCTGATTTGGATAACAATAAACATATTGACTGGCTTAACTTTCGGGGGTATACCACATACCGGTATATTGCCCTCACAAGACCCATATTGCCCTCGTCTTTGACTCGGGGCAATATGAGTCTAGTTTAGGAAATATACATGTATGTGGTATCTCCCTCAAGGCCAGTCAATATTATATAATTGTTCAAAAACAATTAAAAACTCAAATGTTGATTGATGTCAATCATATAATTATTTCTGTACATACGAGATGATATTCATAGGTTTCTAGGAGTTCATTTCATTGAAGCAGGGCCCCCAAGTATAACAGTATTTTAATTACTGATGGGGCTACCCTGTTAAAATAAAACAAAATAAATAAATAAATAAAATAAATAAATAAAAATGTATTAGTTTGAAACAAAAAGAAACTAATACTTATCTTTTATTTACCAATCAGGAACCTGTGTGCCAAATATTGAACACCTAATACATGTATATTGATTTTATCATCTACAATGTGTATCATCAAAAAATTGACAGTGAAGCAGAAAGAAAGAAGAGCAGAGACATGCTTATACCTTATTTGGAGTGCTTAATATTCGAAACCATGACGTAATTTTTATCCCAATCTATTTTGTTTGTTATGTTGATGCGTATTTGTGTTATTTTTGTTCCTATTCTTGTTCCTGTGTATTTCTGCTTCAGAGAAATATGTGCAGTGGGAAGCAATTCTAATCAGAGGAAGAGACAAAAGCAAAGTTTTACGACATTGATTTACTGTGTGTGTTTGCTGTGTTAGAGCCCCTCTAAAGTGTTAGGAGCCCCAAAAATTTGATAGCAAAATTTCACTTACATATTGTATCATAATGTGAAAGAGGATGTAATTTAAGACACATTTCTGCAAGGATTTTCATAACAAATGTGTTTGAAGGGGAATATTTATGAAAGAATTCAAATTTAGGTTTTTCTGCGTATAACAGAAAAACCCAAATTATGTATTTTTTTATCAATATTTGTCTTCAAACACATTTTATTTGGGGAAATCTTTTCAGAAATGTGTCTTAAATGACGTGCTCTTTCACATTATGATACAATTTAAGTGAAATTTTGCAATCAAATTTTTGGCGAATTTGGAGCTCCCAAAACTTTACAGGGGCTTTAATTTAGACAACATAATGCACCCGCAAGCCTGCTGTATATCTACATCACCATGCAAGCCGACACTTACAAGCAGCATCTAACATAATAATGCCAATAAATCTGCTATACAGCAATACGTTCAATTGCAGTTCATTTGTTATTCTATGTCATTACCTGAATGCAGAGAGAGACAAAAGCAAAGGTCCACCTGCAAGCAAATCTCGTGCAAAGCCGAGTACCAAGAGATCAGATGATATTGATTTTGGTGATGATGATGATGGGATCTTGGATGGATTGGGTTTCGATGACACACCTAGAGGTATATACACATACATTTACAATGAGAGGGAGATGTGTGTTTGATCATTTATACAATACTTGTTTGTACTCGGAAGGGGGTTGTGAAACAAGAAATTTATATGCAATTTTTATGAAATACTGATTATAGCGAGTACAATGTACATGTATTTAGACACTTGTGATAAAATTTACTATTTCAGAGAAAAACCATTGTGGAAAATAATTTAAGTCTTGCATGAATTGGACATGCAATATAAATTTACCCTTCCTAGATGCTACACTAAACTGTTGCACTTTTAATATGTATTTTATTATTTTCTTGTTATGTAATACTTGTGATATTAGAATTCCAAAGGGAATGAAATTCTCTCTTTCATATAAATAATATTCTTGATTTTGGATCAAGTGTTTGTACTTTCCAGAATTAAGGCTGTCCAAAAAGAGATTCACACTATAGAAAGTTCATCAGATGTGTGTATCAAATTGATTGATTGATTGATCCATTTTATTTCAAATTCAGTAAAAACTTTAACAGGGTTATAAATATTTACAATGTAGATATAAAAATCAACTTAAATATGTGAAACAAATTAATAACATTTAGAGCTCCACTGTCCTACTTGTAGCTACTTGCTCTCTCTCTATATTATATAATAGAAAACTTCCCTAATCTGTGCCTGTTCGTCCCCTATGATCCTCTTTTTCTTATGTTAATTGAGAGCTGAGTTAATGAGATAGCCACCTGTCACAGTGACCTCGCTGGCTAGCTGGGTGGTCTAATCCCTTCTGGCTAAACTAGTACAGCCGGCCTTTAAATACAAATTGTTGGAAAATGAAAAAGGTGTATCAGTAAAAGCCTATGTGGCGTGACAAGTTGATACACCCATTACAAAGAATGAAAAACATCAATTTCAGGTAGCTGACATCTACATTTTAGACAAAAATGTATATTTTGTCTTCTTCTAACTAATGGTGTATTTTCATTTTTTCAGACCTACCAAAGATGGATAAAGAGCAAGAGGCAGCGAAAGCTAAGGTCAGTGACCTGTTTGGAAAGACCAGTATCCTTGACAAACCACCTGCTAGTAAAGGTCGATCAAAGGAGTTCACCTTAGATAGCAAGTACAAGAAGCCACAAACAGGTATGGAGCAATCAACAAACAGGTGTAGACCCTAATCATATGTTTAATGTTTAATGCTGATACAGTACATAGAAGATGAGATTGATTAATTTCTCTTTTTTTAACAAGTATTTTTCAGTGAAAATGATGGAAATTCTAGGAGACAAAGTATACCATATCTATAGTTTTGTGGACAGGATGTGTTTCAACTCTTTGGCATTTGGTTGGAAAAGGCCCAGTCTGAGGTTGTCATAGAAAAAAAATGTAATTATATGGAAACACACATGTCTGCATATGATTTTTGTAATAGTATATGAACATTCATTGCTTTGACTGCTTTGCCTGTAACTTGTAAGTATTAAAAGCATCTTTTATAATTTGCTAATAATTGCATGAGCAGGGTTACTCATCTCATGGTATAACCTCATGTTAAAGATAAACTTGAGTTCTGGTAAAAAAAAGAAAATGAATTCTCACAGAATCAAACGAAACTTACACTGAGTGTTCAAGATCACAAATAAATGTCATTCGCCAAACAATTTTGGTAGAAAATGTATACCGGCTGAGTAATGAGCATAGAAAGATAAGGAAATCAAGGTAACCCGACACCATTTGTGTAGTCCCATATACATCTTTCTGTGTATAGTGCTTGTAACTTTAACAAAACTGGGTCACATTTCTTATCATTTTGATGATTTCAGAACATTGCAGTGCACACCAATACATATATGCTAGAGGATCAAACTTTTCTGATCGATTCCACAATGTTTCTTTCACAAAGCAATCAGATGACCAGTACTTAACTTTATCTTTAAAGTTTCCATTTGAATAAATATTACATTTTATACCTGACCTTTGACCTCTCTACAGCTCCATCTGCACCGAAAGAGGAAGACTTTACCTTTGGTGGCTACACCCCATCCTCTGTGACGTCCAAACGGCCCGACTCTGCCCCTCCTGGTAGGAGAGGTGTAAGGTATATACAGTCAAACCTGTCTATAAAGGTCACCCATAGGAAACAGGAAAGCTGGTTACTGTAGCCTGGTGGCCTTTCTAGACAGGTTCTACAACATATATTTCTTCCTGGAGGGAGGCACTATGGGTAGACACTGTGGGTAGACACTGCAGACCATGGGATGGCCACTGAAATTCTTACTTTGTTTTTCGTGGTCCTTGATTTCGCCCCACCGAATAATAGCTTGCAAATATTACTAAAAAATAATACTTAAATGAAGAATGTATGAGCATGCAAGGACGAACTGATCAGATTTTGGGTGGAAGAAGTAAGAAGTCAAAGGTCACAAAAGCGTTAAAGATTAGAGAAAATACTTTAGTACTTTGTGGTTTTGGGGTTGAATTTTGAATGAATTGAATTTAGTTTCATGAGATCAGATGTTCAAGAACACAGGATCACTGATAAATGAATAAACACATAGGCTAAGGTATTAGAAATGCAGTCTTATTCATCTTGTTTTGTTTTTTATTACTGTTAGTTCCACCAAGAAAAACTCATATTCTCTAAATCCATAACATTGAACAACACCGTGAATGTCTAGCCTTCCTACGTATTTAACATACTGGTACATTGTATCTGTTAAATCACTTCAGTAAAGAAAATATGCGCAGGAACTGAGACCAATTTAGCTCTGGAATCTTCAGAAGAGATATCGTAAAGAAAACATAATAATAATGATATTGAAAAAGCATAAAATCTTGCAAGGGAATCTCACTTTTACAATACAGGTCTGTAGCTTATCCAAAAAGAGCTCCCTTGAACAAAAGTATACTGGATCACATCGTAATGATAATTCTTCTGCCCATAACAATTCCAACACAGATTTGCTGACGAAGCTGATGATGACGATGACATCTTTGGTAACTCGACGATGGATCGACCCCGTAGACCAGGTCTATCTCACCAGTCATCGGTCTCCGCTAGCCCAAACAAGCAGGCTGCACCGGGAGCAGATAGCAATGATTGGCTGAACGAAGCTGTAGGATTGAGTGGAACAAAGAAAGAGATGCCGAAATCAGATTCTAATAAACAGGTAAACATGTGCATTGGATATCAATTATGGGATCTAGTCATCAAAAACTTCTTTTTCTCTTCATGTCCAGGTTTTTTTTCCACAGTTAAAGATGCATAGGAGTGGGCTCTCACAGGGAAATTCAAGACCGTAAAGGTGTTTACCCAATAATAGGTTTCGTCGATCACCAGGATTAGCCTTCAGTGTTATGGCCAACTGGCCCTGTGTAATGCTTTGCATTTTCCATCCATTCCCCCATATGGTAAAGTCATTATCTTACTTTTCCCTCACCTGAAGTCTGTGCAAGAGACTAGGGTGTATTTTTAGTAGGCCTATGGACTTGCTGTATGCAAACTTGTACACCCATTGATAGTATTTTTACCAAGTCTGATGTCAGATAAATCTTACAAATTCCCCTTTCATTCTTGATCTGAATTATTTATTTAAAAACCAAAACTAAATTTCAAGTTTTTCATGTATTTATCATATTTGTCTGCATTCATTTACATTAATGCACAAAATTCTTCCTGTATGTAGGAACTGTAAGAGGCATTGATCCGCGTAACAGTCCATGTTTATTTTTAAGAATGCAAATTTTGTTAGTAAAATACAACTTTTGGGATTAAAGAATACAGTTTTTGAATTCCAGAGGTTGGCAGGTCTGTTATGACTGTTTTGTTTTGTTTTTGTAGAGTGCAGAGATTAGAAGACCCACCCTCCAACCAGACAAGGACACCACATCATCAGGGAGTCATAGGAAAGATGACAGGAGTGATGTTAAGAAGACTGGTGTAGGAGAAGGAGGAGGGGCTGTTAAGGATGATATGAAGAGACCAGCAGCAGCTGCGGATTATCTAGGCTTAGGAGGAGATGATATAGACGTTGACTCCATTGCACAGTAAGTCTGCTAGAGTTGCCATCTTACAGCTTATTTTCATATGCCCAAGTAAAATGGATATCACTCTTCAGATCTGTTTATAAATCATATTTTTCAAAAGCATAAGAGTCGAAATATGTTTGTTGATTACACATACAGTGTAGTCCATCTATGTTATAGAGGAGGATTTGTGAGGCAGCTTACTAATACCATCCCATTTTTAATGAAAATCCATGGAAGATGCTTTATGCATAACTGGGCTTCCTTCCTTTATTTGGTTCCTAACTGTGGCCTTCGGGCTTCGGCTTAAAGCTATGAAGTATAGCTTTCTCCCTTTAAATCAATACTTCTTTGTAAAAGTATATGAAATGGGTTTTATTCTCAATTTGTTTTCTCAAACCTTACTTTTTTGTGTTTTAGAAGGTTAGTGGGTATGATTATGAGAGTTGGTTGGGGATTTTGGAAAAAGCTTTGTGGTTGAATTTGAATGCTTTAACAAGGGTGTTTCTTTTTTTCTTTACTACAATATTTTGTCATTGCAGAAATCAGTGATAGCAATATGATATATCCTTGTGTCATTTTGAGATTTTGTTTTTCATAATAAAAAGGAAAAGAGATTGTACCAATATTCATGTTGTTTATCAATCAGGCCCAAAGAGATAACTCCAAGAGTGGAGAGACTTACTAAACGTGACTCCAGAGACGATCTGTTCACCAAACCAGTCAAGAGGGATGAAACGTGAGTCATATTGGTTTCTTTCATTCATAGTGTGTCATAATTTTCTAGCTACATCCTAATTATATTTAAAGTTTGTCATTTTCACTAATTAGTTTGTGTTAGTCTACTATGTTTTTTAAACTTGAGTTTTAGTAAAAAAAAAATTAAGTGAAATTTTCAGGATTTTGGGCCCTATCTAACAGTTGAAAGTCATAAATATGTGCATGATAAAAGTTCTTATCCAAATCACTCCTGAAACCCAATCAATTGATTGGTCTTACATAGGCATGTGATTCATTTACAAAGACTATCCCAAGTTGTGTTTGAACTTGCATTTTCATGTGACAGACCATGAGTATCCATTTTAGTTGGATGAAAATTGTTAGGCTTCAGAACCCTGCAGTGAGTGGTATAAATAGCGCAGGTTGAAATAGAAGATGAACAACTGAGCAATCGAACTGCATAGATTTTCTCTTTGTGTTCATTAACACCATACTTATATCTGTTTTTTGTTTTGTTAAGGTCACCTTTTCCATGGGACAATGAAAGCCCAAGAAGATCACGAAGGAGACACACAGATATGAGTTCCACTGGTGATCTTGGCAGCACCTTTGATTCTATGAACTACAGTAAGTAGCATTTTGTGTAAGGTTATTGTGATTATCAAAATGCATAGAATTTCTTTAATCAATTTAGTTTTAAGTCTGACATATAAGATTATAATACATTGCTTTTATTATATACGTTTTGCAACTCCAAACTGAAAAATGAAATGGATAAATCATATATCAAACTGAAGCTTATGAGCCATAGAATAAAATAATTGCTACTATTTGTTCACAGAGTGTCATGCAATATTGAGTGACTGACTGACATCTTGAGCTGTAACAGGTGCATGAGCATTTGTCTACATCAATAACCCACTACTTGTAATAGCCAAAATTAAACTGATTTGATCTTTGTGCAGCACAAATTGTACGACCATTCGTAAAAGGGTCTAAAAATCAGACTATTACTTAGGTGATCGCAATTACTTAAGTCGATTCGACATCTAACGGTCATTATTTTCTCACTAAAAACTATCTTCAAGCCCTGTCATTTGGAGGGAAGTTCTAAATTAGTATTGTCTTTCAAATGCCGTTGGAATTTCACCTTTCAATTTTTTTGGCCTGCAAATGGGGCATAGTACCTAAATTTAAACTTGATGTGAATGCAAGTGATTATATATGTCATGTGTGATGTTACAGGTGATGGCGATGATGATAACGACCCACTTGGTGAAAGCGATCCTCTTCGAGCCAGTCTGATTGCTCAGCAAATTAAACAGCTTGCTGCCATGGAGAAAGATGAATCAGCTCCAAAGCCTGCAGAGCGGGGGCCCCCTCTAGCACGCCCTAATACCACCTCCAAGCCCCCTAGCTCACATACTCCAACTCCACAAGCAAACCAGGTATGCTAGTTATACAAAGTGGCCCTTAAAGCCCATCTGTACTAGTTTGGCCAGGAGGGATTAGACCACCCAGCATGGTCACTGACAGGTGGCTATCTCATCAACTCAGCTCTCAATTAACTATCTCATCAACTCAGCTCTCAATTAACATAAGAAAAAGAGGATCATGGGCACCTCTTAGGCATTGTTTTCTATATAGAGGGATCAAGTAGCTACAAGTAGTACAGCAGGCTTTAAAACAGGAAATCAAAGTTCAATGATAAATTACTCAATTATCCCAAATTAAGTTTCTGTTGATGTATACTTCATTGAAAAGCCTAATTTCTCTACTTTCATATGACACCCAAAATAATTCAACTCATCAATCCTGCAGGACTGATTTCAGACCATCTGAAGTGGCCGTATCAGATATCAAATTGTCTAAAATAAGGGAATGGCCGTTTCATTTAGTTCATTGTGGTTTGTAAAGAAACGGATAAGGTTTGGGATGATTAATTTGCGGAAATACACATCATTTAAAAGCTCATATTCTAATCTTGGTTAGGATACCATAATCATGACAAAGGGATTGTGCATGACTAAGCAGGCACAAATTGGTATTTAAAAACATATTGACATATATTCAGCTGCCTCATCCACTTTCCGCAACGAAATCTTAATGTGCCTAATCAGTTGTAAATTATGCTACGTGCCTATGGTCTCAAAAGAAAATATGAGGTATTAAATGATGTGTAATTTTAACAATTATTAATTTGAAATTATTTCATATCTTATCAAAATCAAATGTAATAGCCATTCACTTATTTTAGACAATTCAGGCTGTCTGAGATTGATCATGTGTGACTTATTATTGAAGCCTTTGATGTCATGTAAAAAACAAGAAAATTAGCTTTCCTATCGTGTATACTTTACTTAAAATAATTTGGAATTTTAGGGTGATTAACTCTTGGCTTGGGCTTCCCCTTTTCAGGGATAGTTTCCTAATAAGTGACTTATTATCAATCTTTAAATGATTAAATATGTACATGTTGGTTAGAATAGATGTTCTATTTAGATGACTAATATGGGTCTGCATTGAATATACCTGTAATATTGCTTTTCATGTACTTATATTTTTTTAAATAAAATGTATTTATTACTTGAAAATGCACCATGAGCATCACTGCGTGACATATATGACCACTATCGGTATATAAGCGATCATTATTACAATTATGGAAAGGATTACCAGACGTGCTCATGTGTATAACATTAGCAACATGGTCACCATAAACCTGTTTAATATGAAATACAATTTCAATTTATTACAGCAACAGTAGTTTAATAGTGCTCAATTCTGTGTGATTCAGAATTTCTCTATGTAAACTGGAAATATTGCACATTTTCTGGGGCAATTTGACGTCAGATTACATCTGTAAAATAGAAAGTATGCTGTGTAGAAGAAATATGTTAAAGAATACATCCACTCAACTTCCACTATATTGTTTTCCGTTGCATTTATATAAATGAATTGTTTATGATTGAAACCTGTTTTCTCTTATTTCAGGTTGAGCTGAGTAGTGGAAAGTCCCTCCCTACCCCTATGCAGCGCCAGTCTTCTGTTACCTCTCTCTCTGGGGACCAAGCACCTGCAACTTCAGGTTAACACTCTTTCCTTTTTTGAATGCCTCTAAAACTTGATTGTGTGGTTGTGTTTCAATGAATGTTTTATGCTGTTGCATATAATAGTTGCAATCTCCTACAGTCACGCACACACTGACATGAACCATTGAGAAAAGGGTTAGGCTAAAATTGGTCAATAGCGTTGTTCATATCTTTTCTAAAATCACACTACCGGTAGATGTATTTTGATAAAATGAAATCGAAGTACCCCTAGTTGTCAAGTTGATCAAATTTGAAATACTAAAGTGCAGTTTTGTATCTAAAGGTTGTGAAAAGATATAGTAATAATAATAGCTTCATGTATATATCATGCTCATATCCATTGAAGACTTGATTTATATTGAAGACTTGATTTATGCTAATCTTTTAGGATTATTTTTATATTCTGGTAAACATGGATGTCGTGTCAATTAGGGAGACGAGAGCCAAGATGGCGGCAAGAGATGAGGCAACAACAGCAGCAACAAGGTCTTGATACTTCCAGCAACATCATTTCAACACCCACCACACAGCACTCACCGTCTGCACAACGTCCCTCCACCATCTCAACACCGCCAGTTGTGCCTGCAACACCTGTTTCTGCCAGCACACCATCAAGGAGTGGTGGCGTGGGTGGTTTTGATGCGATGGCACTGTTGAATGAAAATCAGAGTCAAATGGAAAGACAGAGGGAGAGTATGCTGGAATATGAGGCAACTCTAAAACAGCAACAGGTACAGTGAATAGCTATAATCATTATTGTGATCATACAACTCATGCTGTATGGACAATTGATCTATAGTCAGTTTCTTATCCCAATCATATTTAACATTTGACCTACATTGTACACTGTAAACCTAAGGCGCAACAGATTTATTCAGTGTGCGTTCAGAATGCTGCCGGAATGCTCACCACTTCCCTGACTGCTTAGAGAATGCACTGCATTGCAGCCAAGAGCTGGTCCAGTCTCGTCACAATATCAAACTCAAAGCAATCACATATACATGAATATCTATGCGCACTGGTCAGAAGGTGAAGCATTCAAAGCCATTGCAAAAAAAACTCAACATTGATGAATATTTTTCTGATAAAGCTGTCTCCAAAAAGAAATCTTTTAAATCGTAAACGACATGCAAAAAAGAAAAGGAAAAGATGACTTATATGTACCACTGTTTATAGTCGTGTGACTTTTTATGCTTGGCGATGAAAAAGTTATCTGGTGACCACTACTTTTCATGATTATGCTTATGATTATGTTTTTGGGCTGTCCGTCCGTGCATTTTTGTTAACCCCTGCATTCTAAGACCATTTTGGAATGACCCCATGCCGAGTCCATTTCATTGTTGCATTCTGGAATTTGCTAGACTGAAAAAAAAGTGCTGATCATGCACTGTTTTCAGAATGCTACGAGAATGGGTGAAACCCCTACTCATTTTTGAATGCTTGCAATTGGCATTCTGGCTGCATTCCGAACGCTCATTGATTAAATCTGTAGCGCCTAACCACAAACCTAAATACGATCCAATCATAACTCTAACCCTAACCGGCTATCTTCGATGAAGTAAAGCCTAATCCTACTGACTATACACAAGATTGATGAAAAAGTGTTGCCTCGTGATTATATATGTAATGATACCAGAAAGAAGCAACAGGCACTGGTCATATCATATGATTTTGATCACGGTTTGGTTAAAATAAAAGGTGACATCAGTACATTGAATGGAAAGTACTTGTGGAATAGCCCAAGAGATTCTTACAGAGATCTCTCAGCAGTACCTTTTAGCTTTTATCACCTCTACTGAATTGCTTCCTTTCAGCTCCAAATGGCAGCTGAGCGTGAAAAGCAGATGCGGCTGATACAAGAGCAACAACAGGAAGCAATGCTACAACAGCAGCAACAAGCCCTGCAACAGCAACAAGAAGCAATGAAGCAGCAACAGGCCATGATGCAACAACAGATACTACAGTCAACGCCTACATCCATTCCCGGGCTGGGCCTGGGCTATGGTCTTGGTGCCACGCCCGGTAACAGTACTGGTTTTGGTGGTGCTAACCTTGGAGGAATGTCTTCAGGCAGTCTATGGCTGGAGAACAAGGTTAAACTAAAGCCTATTTATACTTTGAATATTGCACCTTTCCTGCTGTGATAGGAACAGTGGTATTTGTGAGATTTACCTTTACAAAGCCAATAATTGGAAATTGTGTTTATCATGGTTTATTATGCAAAACACAGTAACAGTTTCAAGTTGTAGTGATACATGTACATGTATTTAGTATGTACAGTGGCATGGGGCTCAAATTAAGGCAACTTTGTGTGTCCTCATTTATTTAGTCAACACAAAGCAAACACAACATAATGACTGATATTTTAATGTTAGGCTTCCTAGGAGTAATTTCAATTTGTAAAGAAATAGTGACTTGCACCCAGTAGATATAGATCGCGTGCTCGATCTTGTAATTAAAAACAAGTCAGAAAAAGTCTTGTAACCAACAAGTTTTGAACCTGCCATCTACTGCTTGCTGGGCAGCAACTCTACCACCAGGCTATCACTGGTCCATGGCACAGTCACGATGAACTGGAAACAAATACCTCAGCTTTCCTAATTCTGACATTTTTATATCTTTCAGTCCACTATTAGGAAAATAGGCTAGCTTTGAATGGAGTAATTTTAATTTGTAAAGAAGTTTTGGCTTGCACCTTATTATTTTAATTACAAGATCGAGCACGCAATCTTTATTTACTGAGTGCAAACTGAATTTCTTTACCAAATAATGCATGATAGTGAAGTACAACATGTATAGGGACATTAATTGTGAGGAAATTATGCTATTGAATTATTTTCACTTTTTATCTCAAAAAATGCTTAACCACTCCGGACCTTACCATTTTGTCCAAAAAGTCGGGTTTTTCAAATATTTACAAGATTTGTCCCTATGCCCCTACAAAAGCACAACGAGGGTCATACTCCATCTCATGACATATAGGAACATTAATTGTGAGGATACTATGCTATTGAATTATTTTCACTTTTTATCTCAAAAAATGCATAGCCACTTCGGACCTTACTTTTTTGTCCAAAAAGTGGATTTTTTCAAATATTTACATGATTTGTCCCTATGCCCCTAAAAAAGCACAACGGGGGTCATACTCCATCTCATGACATATAGGAACATTAATTGTGAGGAAACTTAATTGTGAGGAAACTATGATATTGAATTATTTTCACTTTTTATCTCAAAAAATGCTTAACCACACCGGACCTTACCATTTTGTCCAAAAAGTCGGATTTTTCAAATATTTCCAAGATTTGTCCTTATACCCCTACGAAAACACAACGAGCGTCATACTCCATCTCATGACATATAGGGACATTAATTGTGAGGAAACTATGCTATTGAGTTATTTTCACTTTTTATCTCAAAAAATGCTTAACCACTCCGGACCTTACCATTTTGTCCAAAAAGTAGGGTTTTTCAAATATTTCCAAGATTTGTCCTTATACCCCTAGGAAAGCACAACGAGGGTCATACTCCATCTCATGACATATACATGTATATGTAGAATTATATTCAGTGCGCACATTAGCCAGACTTTTCCAAGAGTGTTGGGTTGTTCCTCTTTATTTTATTTTCAGTGGCTGAAGTTGTTGAAAATATTTTTAAACACAGCCATAAAAAGGTATTTGTACAAATGGATCTTGACATTTATCATGGTTTTTAGAAATTGTTAACATAAATGGTTCTTATACAGAAGGCTTGCGTTTGCACCATGTGAGAGAGGGGGAGGATTAAGGAGTCCTGAAAACGACTCTCAGTAATCTCTCTTTCTTGAGTGGTTCTTGCTAATTTGTGTCCAAACAATTATTCTCCTCTACCAGGTTCAGCAGCTGGAGGCAGAGAAATCCCAGCTTGGATCCTCCATCCAGTACATGGAGAAGCATCACAAACAAGAGCTGGAGACAGTGGAGGCTAACCACCAGAGCTTCATCAGTCTCCTGGAGGAGGGAGCCAGGAAGAGAGAGACCAGGATACACCAGGATGCCCAGGAGTCTGCCAAGCGCTATGAGGAGAGGCTGCAGTCGGTCATCGCAGAGAGGCCAAAGGTCGTGAGTGAGCACCAAGAGAGGATGGAGCAGGTGTACATGGAGCGCGGAAAGGAAATAGAGAAACTCAAACAGGTGGGGTCACTGTCCTTTGTATTATTAATCTCTGTGTTTTACTTGTAGGAATCAGATTGAAATGTACATGTATTTTCTAGATTTTAATCAGATTTGAAGGTTATTATCTCTGAAGTTATAAAGAGTGATTTTGTGGGACTTAGTTTTTTAAACCTGATTCCAGGATTTTAATGTGATTTTTAATTTAATCTATATTTCTAAATTAATCTAGATTTCTAGATTGCCAATATATGAACTATATAATTACAATCTTGGTATTTTTATGTAATATCTTTAAACAATTATTACCATTTAACTTTTACTCTTTGTTTAGTAGAAATTCTGACATTTACAATCATATTTAATACCAGGGGGAAATCTGATTATGGTATTGAATGTAGAAAATCACTATCTCACAATGGCCTGTATTCTAGAATAATTTACCAGAAAATATTAAAATTTCTCAATCCCAGAATATATTTAAATCCATACGTTTTAGCAATGTACGAGGCCTGTTCGCACACTAGCTATATGTACAACAAAATTATGCATGAATACAGAACCTGAGAACAGTCCAGTAAACTTTGGCAGATTTATGGATTTCCTTCCGAATTTTGATGGTTTTTCTTTTTTTGCCTCGGGTAGGTGAATTTGTGGGGAATGGTGAATTCAAGGGGTGAGTGACAACACACACTCAAAGGTAAAACAAATATTTCAAAGGTCCAGAATATGATCCATTTATAGACATACTTTATAACAAGTGCATTGTGGTCCCCTAGATACACAAGCAAGAGGTGGAAGACCTTCGACTGCAGAGCAGACGCGAGCTGGAAGAGGCTAGGAAAGCAATGCAGCATCACGTTGACTCCCTGAAGGATAGTACTAGTCATACACAGTCACTCAAGGATGTGGTGGAAAGGGTAGGACTGGTAGGCAATCAAATCAATTCATTACAGGTAAGAATGCGTCTTTAATGTCTTTCGTAATCGTTGATAATTTTTCACTTAAAACATTAAATATACCTTGTGTATGTACCTGGAAAAGACCTATCAATCCGGTGTGACTGTATCTTTATTTCACTTCATTAAAGCCCCACTGCACTACTTATAGCTACTTGCGCCCTCTATACAGTCAACAATGGGTAAGCGGTACCTGTTGATCCCCCATGATGCCCTTTTTATGCCTCCGTTACGATGTAGCTGGTGGCATTATGTTTTCGGGTTGTCCGTCCGTACGTACGTACGTACGTACGTCTGTACGTACGTCTGTACGTATGTCTGTACGTACGTACGTCCCGTTCTTGTGATCGCGTTATCTGAAGAACCGATCGATGGATTCCTGCCAAACTTTGGTCATGTATGTATCTTGCAGAGCCGATGAACTGATTAGATTTTGGGGTCACGAGGTCAAAGGTCAAAGGTCACAGGGCTCATTAGGTATGCAAAAACAGCTCGTGATCGCGTTATCTGAAGAACCGATTGATGGATTCCTGCCAAACTTTGGTCATGTATGTATCTTGCAGAGCCAATGAACTGATTAGATTTTGGGTCATGAGGTTAAAGGTCAAAGGTCACAGGGCTCATTATGTATGCATAAACAGCTTGTGATCGCGTTATCTCAAGAACCGATTGATGGATTGCTGCCAAACGTAGGTCATGTATGTTACTTGCAGAGCCGATGAACTGATTAGATTTAGTGGTCATGAGGTCAAAGGTCAAAGGCCACAGCACACATTATGTATGCAATAACAGCTTGTGATCGCGTTATCTCAAGAACCGATTGATGGATTCCTGCCAAAATTAGGTCATGTATGTTACTTGCAGAGCCAATGAACTGAGTAGATTCTTGGTTCATAAGGTCAAAGGTCAAAGATCATGGGCTCATTATGTATGCAAAAATAGCTTGTGAACGCATTCTCATTAGAACTGACAGATGGATTACTATTTAACTCAGGACATCTTGCAGAGCCAATGAACTGAGTAGATTTTAGGGTCATGAGGTCAAAGATCAAAGGGTCATATATGTATATGAGAAATTGCTTGTAATCACGATATTCTGAGAACCTGTCAATGGATTACAATTGAACTTGAATCCGAAAAATTTCTTCTGTTTTGGTTTGTAAAATTGCTCTATGACAGAGGCATCATTTTCGACTGCGCGCAGTCGAATTCCATCTAGTTCTTATGATAATTGTGAGCTGATTTGATGAGATAACCACCTGCCAGTGACCTTGCTGGGAGGTCTAATCCCTCCATGCCAAACTAGTGCAGAGGGGCTTTAAATCATATGATTCTGATAAGGAGATTCCCAGGTCTTTGCCAATCTCTAACTTGCCTTTACATTGATTGCCAAGTAGACATGCATTGTTATCATTCTCCAAAAGGTGTCTGTTCTAGAAGCTTTTTTTAAAGCTAAACATTTAGTCACCCTCTGTAATTATACACATGATATATATAACGTTTCATAGTTCATACAGTAGACCCTGAATATAAAGACTGCTCGATGGAGAAAAAGCGGTGGTCTTCATAGAGAGTTGGGCTTTTTGTATAGTGTCTATCAGAAAAGGTTTCAATGAGATCAATGTTCAAAGGAATCAAAAACTCCTTTTATAGCAGGTGATCTTTCTATTGAGGTGGTCAGCAGGTTTGACTCTGTGTTATTCAGAGAGAAAATCAATCACCTACAAGTAATGTTAGTTTGCAGATGGTAGATAATTCAAAATGGGAAAAAATTGTGAACTTTCTTTTATACCATGCTTCGTACATGTGAAATATTTATTTGATCTTTGATGAGTATATTTAACTGAATCCTACTCATCCTTCATGCAGGGGCGGGTTTCTGATCAGCATCAGTTCCAGCTTGACAACCGTCTCCAGGAGGTGAAGGAGAGAGAGGAGGAAACAAAGAGGGTCAAGAAAAGACTGGAGGAGCAGGAGACAACCATGAGCTTGGAACGAGAGCGGTTACAAGCCACAGTATCCAGACTGGAAGCCCACATTAAGGAACAGAACATACAGCAAGATGAGGTAATACACCAGTCTATTATCATGTCGCATTTAAGGGCTCGATCTGCATACCAAACTTGTTAAACGACACAACAGCACAACATGCTAGACAACAAGTTAAACAAATCTGTTAAATCCATACACAGTATTTGCTAAAAGGATGTATATAGTGTGGGGGTAATGTCGTATTTGATGATGAGAATGTTGTAATATAATTCATTTTAAAGCTAAGATTGGAGTCACAAAAATTATTGCAAAAACAAGGTACAAGTTTAATGTTTTTCATTTCTAAAAATCATTCTTTATTTTGGTTTTGTAAAATTTTTCAATTAGTCACGTCAATAACTATGATCAAATATGAAATATATGATATTTGCTGTTGTATAGGCCTATTTGAATGTTCAAGTCGTGAGCAAATGACCATGCTTTCATTTCTTTGTTTCTTATACACTCACAGGTTACCTTTTGTTTTATGAACAAAATTTAAAAATCTATGATATGCAGGAAACATCTTGTGCAAGCTTATGCATGGTACATGAGGTCTGTGGGTCGAGCCATTGAAGGGACAAATGTAGACTTGCATAGAACATTTTTATCTAACAACTTAGAAAACTATTGTTCCATTTTTATTATGAGCCCATGACTGTTGTTGAATTAGTCTTCCATGTATAACCTGATCTTTATAAGATTAGAAATGGATTACGTTGTATTATGCACATTTCCCCCACTTTTTAAAAGTTATTACATGTATCTCATTTCCAGTAGCATTGATATGGGGGCATGGCGGCGGGCTCGTGCCCCCACCCATGTTGACGAAAACAGGGGAAGACGATTATATGCTACAACTTGTGATTTAAGCTCTTAAACGCGCAAATACCTGTATAAAACAGGAGAGTCACGCACCAGTCATGGATTTTGTTCTGTGAAGGTATTAAAGGCATAGTGTAATAATGTTAAATCTGAGGTGCACGGCCCTACGTGTTATCAGTGTCTGTGATATGGTGTGATATTGAAGCCCTAAAAAAATTGCGCTTCAAAATGATCAAGAAGTGCCCCCAAAAAGTAAAAACCTTTGAGTAACCGGTTTTAGCATACTCGTTTACCCCAATAGACTGTAGTGTTATGAAAACCGTTTGACAAACGCAAAATTTAGTTTCGATTTTCAATCATAAATATTTTGATAATCAGACAGGCAATAGGCTTATTAAAGTCATGGGGTTCCTGCCTGACCTAAAGGTTTATAATTATCATTGCAGCATGAGCTAAATCAAGGATTTTTGTATAGGATCTAAGACAAAGTCACTGGATCCCTTTATGATTAAACATATACACAATTTACTAAACAGTTTGTAATGTACTGTTGTTCATGCAGGATAGATGGCGATTACGTCAGGAGCAGAATAAACTGACCAACCTTCAGAAGATGGTGGAGGAGGAAAAAAAAGTAATATCAGATCAGCTAGCTGCAGAACAAACATCTCTGCAACAAGCCAAGGTATAGAAGTGGAAGATGAAGGGTTTGCGTGATAAAAACTGTGATTTTTATCACCCCCATTTCTTTTAAAAATCAGTGACTCAATTCACTTTTATAGACGTGTGCCAAAGAATTCTTTTGGGGGAGGGGGCAAGGGTTATATCTTATTGCTTTTTTCTCCCTATATTTGCACAGTTTTGTGTTATACTATCATATATTTTGTTGTAAATAAAAGTTATTTTGGTTGGCCCATCAATTCTGTGCACATAATTCAATTGAAAGACTAGATTGAACCCATACCAATCACTATCAGTGATGCAAGTACATCCAGAGCCAATTGAGTTTTGTATCCTTTCTAGCTCAACTGAGCCAAAGGCTAGGAATTCTCACGATGATTTTTCCCTGTACCCTGGCAGAGGCTTGAAGCCCTCAGGATTCAGCAATGAAGTAACAGTAACAGCATAAATTATGTTCCAATCTATTTTTTTGTTTAAACAATCTTTTTAGAATGCTGTTTTGACTGAACAGCAAAGTATCATGGGGCAGTGCATGGAGGAGAGGAAAGCTCTTGCAACTGAGCGCGCTCAATTTGCTTCGTCAAGGAGAGAATGGGAAGCTAAGATGAAAGAAGAAATGACCAAAACATCTCAGGTATTATAATAATAATAATATATTACATTTATATTAAGCGTTTTATACAATGATTAAAAGCACTTAACAAAAAAACAGAGTAACGATTAATAACGATTACATAATAACAATTATTTGATAATAATAATTCATATTTATATAGAGCTTTATAAATTAACAAACATAATATAATTACATTACATTTACATAAACATTCTTTTAAGATTATAATCATCATCATTTATTAAAGTCAGTATTTTCCTCTTACGATGACACTCCCTCCACTTCTTTTTTTCTCAAGCATCTTCCTCATTTAGACTATAAATCTTACTGCTTTCTTTCTTCAACATATCTTTCCATGAGTTCTTCTGTCTTCCGTTCCCTCTGCCATCCACTTCCATATCCCATGCTCTTTTCACACGTTCTTTTCATAAATTTGATATGCCTTTCACATGTTCAAAATAAAAAGCTCTACTATTGTACCTTTTATTTCAGGTCAACTTTGAAACTGAGTTTTGTTGAAATGCTTCAAAATTTGTAATCAAAGTTTAAAACAAGATTTTTAAGATTTATGTGGAAGCAGAGCTTTTCCTCTAGTTTTTGTCTCGCCTGCGTAGCAAAAAGCGAGACATAGGCGCCGGTGACGGCGGCGGCGACGGCGACGGCGACGGCGACGGCGACGGCGTCAACATCAAAAACTTAACCTAAGGTTAAGTTTTTGAATTTTTGGTATAATTTTTAAAGTATAAGTTCTTAGTCAATGAAACTTTGACTATAGGGTAATCAAGTATCCCCAGTCATGTGAGTAGAATTTCAGATCACAAAGTCAAGGTCAAAGGTCATTTCAGGTCAACAGACTTGGACTATGTTGTAGCATCATCATCGAAAACTTAACCTAAGGTTAAGTTTTTTAATTTTTGATATAATTTTGAAAGTATAAGTTCTTAGTCAATGAAACTTGGACTATAGGGTTATCCAAGTCTCCCCAATCATGTGAGTAGAATTTCAGGTCACTAAGTTAAGGCCAAAGGCCATTCAAGGTCAACAAACTTAGACTTTGTTGTGGCATCAACATTAAGATTTTCAAAATGCTTCTTCTTCGTTATTTTTCAACCGATTTTGATTCTGATTGTTTCATATGATAGGGCTAGGAGGGGATTTAAAATTTCTACACAGAATCGTGAAATTCATTATCTATGCTAATTTATGCAAATTTATTCGAAATCACAAAAAAGGCTTCTTCTCCTTCATTTCTCGACCGATTTTGATTTGGTTTGCTTTATATCGTAGAGCTAACTTTGGTACACTAAACTTGTACACAGAATTTTGAAATTGTTCTCCATTAATTAATTATGGTAATTTATGCAAATTTATTCCAAAAATAACAAAAATTGCTTCTTTTCCCTCATTTCTTGACCGATTTTGCCTTATCTGAGAGAGATAAATTTGGAACAATAAACTTCTACGCAGAATTGTGAGATTTTGCTCCATTGATTATTTATGGTACTTTATGCAAATGAAATGAAATTATGTCCCTTCCAGGGCATCAAATTTCTATTTTTTGACCAGTTCAAAAGTGTACCACATAAAATTTACGATATTTGTTGTTGTGAGATGCGGATGAGCGCTACGTCATTGACGTTCTGGTTTATCATATTGAACTGCGTTATGCAGGCGAGACCGCCGAGAGCGTTTCCCTTGTTTAATGTCTGGCTGGGTATTTATCAAACTTGATAAGAATCATCCTTAGGCAAGGGAGATCTAAAGTTGTTTAAATGGTTTACCTACTCACAAGGGGGGGGGGGTGGGGGCCAGTGCCCCCCAAGTTCCTCAGTGGCAGTAATTCATACCTGCCAACCCTTACAAATAATCCAGAATATTCTGATTTTCTGGATTTTTCAAAAAAATTGTAAATATTTTTTTTTGCAATTTGTTTGCTAAAGCCAATTAAGCTTCATTCATCATGTGCCACAAAATGATAGCTTATGTATTACGTGCGTTATATGGCTGTATGATTGAGCAGCGAATTTTTGGTACAGATTTATCGCATATTTTATATTGCCAGTTACACTGCCGCTGCAAGTGCGATTTCTTATTTTCAAATGCATACCGTGCTAAAAATTCCTAATTCATATTTTCAAATGATGGCAGGTATGGTAATTGCACATTTTCTTCTTCTTCTTGCAAGCCCATGGCTAGATTCTATCTAAAGTTGTTCAAATTAGGTAAATGCCCCCAAGGGGATTTGGGTGCAGCATCTCCTAAAGTGCTCATATGGCAATAATTAGACATTTGTTTCTGTTTCTTTAAAATTGATGTATAGATAGAGACTTAACTTGATAGGAATTATTCCTCAGGCAGGGGGATATTAAATTGTTCTGAAGGGCTACTTCTAGGGGGAGGTGGCTTGGGAGTAGCACCCCCTACCCCAAAAGGCAGGATTTTAACCAAACTGGGGAGGGATCATCCTTAGGTGAGGCCGATCTATAGATGTTTGTTTGTTTGTTTGTTTTATTCATTTACCATGTGAAATAACTGTTTACAGATAATAGAATGCAGTGGGTTACATTGATATATAATACATAGTAGGAACAATGCATAAACAAAAATTATTTGAAGCGCAACGTCCTTAAGTAACATAGTTGATAATTATTGGGTAAAAATAGAACAAAATACAAAAATCATGCCCCTTATTGTATTTGAAAACCAAGCAAAAACAATGAAATATACCTCTTCTTGACATAACTAGCACTATACAAAATGTACCTCAAAAGTTAGCAATTATATTTTAAGAGAAATAATTCCTTCATTTTCTTTTTAAATAACATAATGGTTTTACAAGCTCGTATTTCAGGTGGCAAAACGTTCCAAATGTCAGGACCAACATATCTAATTGATCTTTGGGCTAAGGCGCTCCATGGTGTAAACAAATGGAATTCTGGTTGGGTAGTTGTGAATGTCTCTATTTAGAGTAAAGTCGTTACAAAATGATAAAGGCAGTTCTTTTTTATTAAGTCGGTACATGAACACTGCAATTTGCATAAGATGAATATCAGTAACTTTCAGAGTTCTCAATTTGAAAAATAATGGGTCAGTATGATCAAAGTACCCAGAGCCACAAGTAGGGTAATGACTACTGACCCACTTGGGTTGCCTCAGAGTGCTCCTGTGGCATTCATCAGGTGATCCGCTGCGTAGCTGAAGGATCACTTGTTGATTTCATCAGAATCTTTATTATTATTTCTTTCTAACCTTTCTGTGGTTGGACTGTCTTCTGAATGGTACATGCCAAAATCTTTGAAGTTTCTAGGATGATTCCTTATCTTTTGGAATAGCAAATCTCCTCTCTTGGATGTGATTGTCCTCTTGTTTTTCACGTGCACTGAAACAAACATTGCCATCACCATTCACATATGGATTTCACCCTCACACTCTCTCTTTGTTTTTGTTTTCTCTCTTTCTTTGTCTCTCTCTCCTATTTCTTTATGTCTTTGTCTCTCTTACCACTGCTATGCAGGAGCAAGCTACAAGGGAAGGGACACTAGAGAGTCTATCAGCAGAGCGCATCCAGCTATCCATGGGTAGAGAGTCCCTGCGCAAGGACCAGGGTAGCCTGGAGCAACGGAGGCTGGAGCTGGAGAAGGAGCAAGATGAGCTCCAGCAGGAGAAAGCGCGGCTCCAGCGGCTAGGTGACTCCCTGCAGGCACGCTCCAGGGAGCTCCAGGGGATGGTGGCTGATGCAGTCAGAGTGAGGGAGGAGGGGGAGGCTGCGCTGGTCAAGGCACGCAAGATAGAAGGACAGCAAACAGCTAGGAAACAGGTAAGATATTCTATTAAAGGCATCGTTTAACAATGTTAAATCTGAGATGCATGGCCCTACGTGCTATCAGTGTGTGTGTGATATGGTGTAATATTGAAGTCCTATAAAAATGCGCTTCAAAATGATCATGATGTGTCTCACAAAAGTAAAAATCTTTGAGTGACCGGTTTTACCATACTCATTTTCCCCACTGAGTAGACTGTAGTGTTATAAAAACCTGTTAGAAAAAAAAATGAAATTTAGATTTCCAATCATAAATATCTTGATAATCAGACAGGTGATCGGCTTGTAAAAGTCATGGGATACCTGACTGACCTAAAGGTTTATAATTATGATTGCAGCATGAGCTGAATCCAGGATTTTGTTTCAGAAAGTGAGGCAATGTTACTTTAAGAGTCATTTTAAACCATTGCCCGCAGAGACAATGTGGTTCCTAAATTCCACTTATGGGAATGAGAGAATTCATTAGTCCACAGGTTAAACAGAATTTGCTGTGGTTCTAGTGTTAGTGCATATGACTTGAAGTTGTGCATGTATTCTTATTAAATAAGATATACCAAGTGTGGGATACATTTCCATATATTTTTAAATACAGGTCAGGGAGTATCTGTATGTGTAGTGTAGTGCAGTGTGATGTTATGATTCTAATAAACATGTAAAAGTACAGTCCATGTACATGCATATCATTTCAACGATACAATACATACGGCAGGTTTGGTATTACATTAGGCGGTGTCAGACACACGTTCAATCAAAAGTAATGTGCAATTAACGTGTCTCATTAAATGCGCGCTAATATAATTGTGCGCACTTTATGATATGGCCATATGCCAGCCAATCATTAAGTGAAAAGTTGACCTTACACTGTCCTTCTGTCAACATTGGTGACAGACAGAAAAATCCAGCGAAAAATCATGTAAAAAATCCTTTCAAGAGAGAATTTTCTTTTTTCGCGGGATTATTTGAGGGTTTTTTCGCAGGACCATCCTTGATGACAGACAGCCAATTTTCTGGATAACTACAATCTAGATACTTGGCCTCTTTCTGAAATCGCCTACTGTCTCTTTGTTTTAGGCTCTTGAGCATCAACTTGAAGAGCTGAGAGCAACGGAAAGGAAGATTGCAGAGGACAGAGTGCAGATTGCTGAAAACCAAAGGTCACTGGAGAGGTCAGCTGGGTCATTGTTATGCAAACAGTGTGCTTCCTCCTTATCTTTGCAAAACATGCATTGTAAGTTGTTTTTTTAAATTTGTAACATAACTTTTTATATTTATTATTTTATAAAGATATGAACACATGCACATGTGTATGGATTCATAAATGCAAATATTGTAAAACTGACTTTGCACATACCGTACCACACTTCTTAAAGAAATGTTACTTTACATATACATAATGGCTTTTCTAACTGATTAACTATAAAGCTATTAAAGCGGAGTTACCATTTCTATTGCAGCCTTTAACCCTTACTGTACTGGGCTATTTCGAGCACTCTCTGACTGGGGGGGGGGGGGGGGGGGCCTGGGAGGGCCTGATCTCGGCCGTCTATGTCCGATGAACGCGAAAATTTGCATGTTTGTAGATATTTACGTAAGGAACAAGATGGTATAATTAGTTTTTTCCTAATATGCAAATTTTTGTCGTTATAGCCTAATTGATTATGCAAAATGCTAATTTTATGCATTTTACAGAAAACTCTACATATTTGTCCGTAGACTTGTGAAGAATCTTGAAAATGCATTGATCTACACTCAAACATTTAATTTTTTCACACGTTGTGGAATTTTGGCGGACTCTCAGTTTGGATTTCGAAAGAAACATTCTACTTCTCATGCTATACTACTTTTTATTAATAAAATTGCGTCTGCTCTTGACGACCACTGTCATACTGTAGGATTATTTTTGGATTTTTCCAAGGCATTTGACACGATTGATCATAACATTTTGTTTAAAAAACTTCAGCATTATGGTGTCAGGGGTAAGGCGTTGGAGTGGTACAAAAGTTACCTCAGTAGTCGTACACAGTTTGTTTCATTAAATGGGATTGCATCGAGTGTCAAGCCTGTCACGTGCGGTGTTCCTCAGGGATCTCTTTTAGGGCCTCTACCATTCATTACATATATAAATGATTTCAAATTTTCATCCCAACTATTGTTATTTATACTATACGCAGATGACTCAAGCATATTTTATTCTCATCAGAATCCTCAAATTCTTGTTGAAACTGTAAATTCGGAACTTGAGAATATTGCACAATGGATTTTTGCGAATAGACTGTCGCTGAACTTGGACAAAACTAATTTCATATTATTTAGCAATTCAATCTCCGATTTACCTGGAGATATCTATTTCAACAATGTTAAAATTAAGTACAATCGACCAAGTTTCTTCGCCTGTTTATCGATGATAAAATGTCCTGGAAAATACATACAAATTATTTGTGTTCATTACTATCAAGAAATGCAGGTGTGATATACAAACTGAAACCTATGTTCCCATCATATGTATTGCAAATGTTGTACTCCACTTTAATGTTGCCCTACTTGAACTATGGTATTCTTGCCTGGGGTAGTTCATTGAAACTTCAACTGGACAAAATCCTGGTTGTTCAAAAAAGAGCAATAAGAACAATTTGCAATGTACCTATTCGTACTCACTCGAGCCCTCTTTTCTTTAATACAAAAGTACTGAGAGTTCGGGATATTTTTAATTTACAATTAGGCTGCCTCATGTTTCAGCTGAATAACAACGAACTGCCCCAGGCACTATCTTATTTGTTTAAGAAAAGAAATCAAGTCCACGAATATTTTACCCGACAGGCGTTTTCCTATCACCTTCCTAGAACGAGAACAAGCTTTGCTCAAAACACCTTAATATATACAGGTCCTAAGTTCTGGAATTCTCTCGATTCTGTGATTAAAAGGTCTGTAAGTGTACATGTATTCAGAAGAAAATTGAAAAGTTATTATTTGAATACATATTGTCATTCCTGATTCCTGACTATTCTTGTCTCCAAACTGTATACTTTTGTTCATTACAATGAGTAACTAACGGTATGACCATACCAACTATGTTTATTATATACTCATATCGAGAACAAACTATATTTTAATATTGTTTCAATAAGCTGCAGATATATTCCCTTCCCTTTTCCTTGTCTTTTGTAGTTAATTGTGAGTATCGGTTCATGTATCCCTGTAATCCCCCTTTCCCTCTTTTAGCGTGTATTTGTATTTTTTAAACTTTACTTTAGTTAATTATGTCATTTTCAGGTTAAGGAGCCTATCCACAACAAGCTCTGCTTTTCCATAGGCTCCGCCACTTTATCTCTTAAGTTCAACTTAATGGACAATATTCTGAATAGTGTGTACCTGCATTGTATGTACATGTATAAATCTCAAATTCATGAGGTTTCATTATTTTTATGATATTTGCAAATGCATATGTTAATTTGCATAAATTATGAATACACATTCATGAATATCAAATCTGAAAATATACTATAGGGAACTAGAATCATTACAAAAATTAGACTCCACTTTTTGATTGTTGAAACTCATTATTCATATGAAACTTCTTTTCTGACATAAAATAGGTATTTGATGTAATTAATAATGATAATTTATACAAATTTGTTGCGATTTTCAACTTTTATTTTCTTATGTATTTTATTGTTTTTTATTTCTTATTATATCTATTGTTTTATTTCTAATGTATTCTTTTGTTCTGAAATACATCAAGTTACTTTGATATACATATAAAAGCAATTTGATATCAATTCATATCTTCACATTTCTGCTTGTACATGCGCATACTAATTGTTATGTAACACCTTACGGGTATATCCGATTTCGACGAAAATGGTATCAAAATGTGCGCAAGACTTGAGGGGAAAAAGTCATGAAACGACAATTCAAAATTCCGAGCGGTTGCAGCGTGATCTCCGAAAATGTCGAGGGGGGGGGGGTAATGTAAAACTGCATATTCATTTCAACCTTGCAAAAATGGTAAATAGCGATTCTTGGATTTTGAGGGGTACTGGAAAATATGAATACAAGTGGAATAATTTGTATGAATCTATCGCCAGGCTTCACCTTTAAATCCATTATTGTCACCACCACCACCATCATCTTATGCTCTTTCATACACAGTACCCAGGCATACACAAGCCCCTCCCACCAACCCTCTTCCCATGACGATGTCATCTGGTCCTGCTGGTGGGTTCATGACCTCTTCATACTTGCCAGGGGGTGACCTGATGCCTTCAGACATGGTGGATAGTCTCCTCACCCAGGCTGAACATGACAGGACTGTCAACGTCTGGAAACTGGCAGCCGAAAGGGTAAATATTCAGCATCCACTTAAAACAGGATAACCAATTAAATATAATGCACATTGTTGGTAAAAGTTCAAGGGATCATAGTCTAGATTAATATACCTTTGAATATAGATTCCAACTGCATTATGCATTTGAGAGAAATCACATTGTGCATGTTTAAATTTTTAGCAAGTTGGGCAGGAAATAAGAATAAATATAATATTTTGCAGAAGTTTAATATAAAGCAGTCAATTTTATATTCTATGAATTACAAATGGAGAAAAATTTCTTTTGAAATATACATTTGTGATAAATTGTTTTTCTTCTTCTTCCCCTTCTCATTTTTGTGTTACAGGACAAAGAGTTTCTAGAAGAAGAGACATCTTTCCTGGAGTCATTGAACAATTCCTACAGAGTGCCAGCAGTCATGTAGAATCAGCCTGACTGACTATGCAATCAAATTGATGAATCATCCTGAACCAGAAGCTGTTATTCATTTTTATGCCTCCGCCCACTGAAAGTTATGCCAGATGCATTAAATTTTCGGGTTGTCCATCCTCTGTTCTGCTTTCTTGTTATCGCGATATCTCAGGAATCGCTTGAGGTATGAACTTCAAACTTGGGGATACCGGGATAGTATGTATCACCATAGGAAGATGGCCAGGTCAGATTTTGGATTAAGTAGGTCAAAGATCATAGAGGTCAACTGATGAAATTACAGGTATTAGCCTCGTTATCACGATATCTCAAGAAACTATGGAGGTAGGAGGATCAAATTTGTTGATAAAATGTCTCACCATAGGAAGACGATTTGATTAGATTTGGGGTAAGTTTGTCAAAGGTCATAGAGGTCATATGGGTCAATTTATAAAAAATTACAGGTGTAAGCCTTGTTATTGTTATGTCTCAAGAACCACTAGACATACTGTATGAGCTTTAAACATGGATATAGTGTGTATCACTGTAGGAAGACCATCTAGTTAGATTGTGGGATAAGTTGGTCAAAGGCCATAAAGATCAATCAACATGCAAGTACAAACTGTACAGACTTTTTTTTCTCATTATGATATTTCAAGAATAATTAAAGCCATGAACTTCATTGAAATTAATAAGCAGAGGTGTATTGGAGATGCAGTCCCATTTGTCTTGCATACTCCAAGGATCCATGTGATATTCCTTTCCAGTACAGCCCCCTCCCCCTCCCCCTTTCCGTCTTTGCTCACCTTGAAGGAAGAAAACAATTTTGCCAATCAAAAAGCAATATATATTTCTATTTATTAAATGTATTTATACATGCAGCTACATGTACATGTAATTGTTTATGATATTGAATAAAATGATGAAGAAACAGAAACAGGAGTGTACATATTTCTTCTTTTCTTTTACTTGTTATCTTCAAATGGCTCTGGAGCCTATCCCAAAGACTTGTATATATAGATTACCAGTTGTGTATGCAGTTGCACTCAACACAGAGTTTGCGAGAAGTGTTGGAAATTAATGTTTATAGGGTGTGAGTCTCCTACACACAAGACCTCCTGTTAATAACGTTCTGTCCTAGGAAAGGAGCATTTTTCCCTTAACTGTATAGACCAGTTTTGGAAATGCCCCCCTCTCAAAAATGAAATGGAAGCTCTTATTACCAATCATGTGAAAGAATCTGTTTTGACTAATGCGTGATGATATAAATTTTGCCGGGAAACTGCCTAAAAACCGCCTACCGGTTGTCCAATTGATATATTTGGTAAATTATCATATATCGATCCGGCCTGGATAAATATTTGAGAATGCACTTCAACATTGAACATTTGGGATAATATTTTTACTTTTTTGTGAATTTTGCCACTACTGGTCTATACCTCTAACTTAAGCCTGCAATGAGAAGAAAGGGGAGGGGAAGAATTACACCACAGCGACAATCATATTTTTATCTGCTCAGCCTGGGAGTGACAAAAGTCGTATTGAGAGTTGGACAAAGAAATGATTGCGCAACACCGCCAACTTTAAATGTGACACATTTGTGAGTTGACAGATGCAACATTTGTTTGGTTTTGACTTCCCTTTTTTTTGTATTCCTGACAATGAAGAAATATTATCATGCATGTATTATGTTTTCAACTTGAACACACTATAATAATGATGAGATGTTGACAATATTATAAGAGTCCAGGGATGGGGGTCAAAGGTAATTTCGTTGGTCATCCCAAACACTGAACTTACACATAACTTTACCTCTAGCAATCGCCGCCCCCCCCCCCCTCCCCAAAACCCACAGCTCTGTCAACCCATGAATGAATCGATCAATTCTGATAATATCACAAAAAATGACAATACATCATATCATGTACATGTACTGTCATTGTAATAGATTTTCGTGATTTCTAATACCAGCACATTTTTATGCCTCCGCCACCGAAGGTGGTGCCGGAGGCATCATGTTTTCGGGTTGTCCGTCCGTACGTCCGTCCCGTTTGACCGTTATCACAATATCTCAAGAACCATTTAAGATTTAAACTTAAGACTCGGGAATAGTATTTATCACCATAGGAAGACGATCTGATTAGATTTTGGAGTACGTAGGTCAAAGGTCACAGGTCACAGAGGTCAACTTATGAAATTCCTTGTATTGAGTTTGTTAGCGCGATATCTCAAGAACCATTTGAGATTTAAACTTCAAACTTAAGGATAGTATGTATCACCATAGGAAGACGATCTGATTAGATTTTGGAGCACGTATGTCAAAGGTCAAGGGTCACAGAGGTCAACTTATGAAATTCCATACATTGAGATTGTTATCATGATATCTCAAGAACCACTGGAGATTTAAACTTCAAACTTAGTGATAGTGTGTATCACTATAGGAAAACAATCTGATTACATTTTGGAGCACGTAGGTCAAAGGTCAAGGGTCATAGAGGTCAACTTATGAAATTCCATACATTGAGATTGTTATCATGATATCTCAAGAACCACTGGAGATGTAAAAACTTCAAACTTAAGGATAGTATGTATCACCATAGGAAGACGATACAATACAATACAATACAATAAAGTCATTTATATAGCGCTCTTACGAACTAACTGTTGTTTCACATAATATCTCAAGAACCACTGGAGATTTAAACTTCAAACTTAATGATAGTGTGTATCACCATAGGAAGACAATAATGACTGAAGACTGATAAGATTTTGGAGCACGTAGGTCAAAGGTCAAGGGTCACAGAGGTCAACTTATGAAATTCCATACATTGAGATCGTTATCGCGATATCTCAAGAACCACTGGAGAATTTTCACTTCAAACTTAATGATAGTATGTATCACCATATCATATCTCAAGAACCACTGGAGATTTAAACTTCAAACTTAATGATAGTGTGTATCACCATAGGAAGACAATCTGATTAGATTTTGGAGCACGTAGGTCAAAGGTCAAGGGTCACAGAGGTCAACTTATGAAATTCCATACATTGAGATTGTTATCATGATATCTCAAGAACCACTGGAGATTTAAACTCCAAACTTGATGATAGTACATGTATGTATCACCATAGGAAGACAATCTGATTAGATTTTGGAGCACGTAGGTCACAGGTCAAGGGTCACAGAGGTCAACTTATGAAATTCCATACATTGAGATCGTTATCGCGATATCTCAAGAACCACTGGAGAATTTTCCTTCAAACTTAATGATAGTATGTATCACCATAGGAAGACGATCTGTTTAGATTTTGGAGCACGTAGGTCAAGGGTCACAGAGGTCAACTTGTGAAATTCCATGTCTTCAGCTCGTTATCGCGATATCTCAAGAACCATTTGAGATTTTAAACTTCAAACTTAAGGATAGTATATATATCACCATAGGAAAACGATCAGATTAGATTTTGGAGTACATGTATGTCAAAGGTCATAGAGGTCAACTTGAAAAATTCAGACTACATGTATAGGACTTGTCATGATATGTCAAGAACCACTTGAAATATGTTCCGTTACTTAACCCGTACTGGGCTATTTTGAGCACCTCCCTGACTGGGGGGGGGGGGGAGGGGCCGATTGCCTCGAAATTTGGCACGCGTCTTGAGAAATTGCGCAAAGGAAGAGACCTCACTATTATTTTGCTGAAAATTGCTTATTTTATCAATTATGCTAATTTATGCAATTGCATAAAGGAAGAGACCTCACTATAATTTTGCTGAAAATTACTTATTTTATCAATTATGCTAATTTATGCAAATCAAATTCATGAATAATGATTTTTATTAACAATTACATAAATAAAGCTTTTACAGAGTTGATTTTGTGGCAAAAAGTTTCTAAAAAGCCTATCGGGCATTATCACATAAAAAAATTGTCCATGTCTATTTCAATTCTTATGTATTTCATTGTTTTATGAACTTCTTTTGTATTCTATTGTTATTTATTCTTAATCTTATGTATTGTATTGTTTTAGGACTTCTGATACTTGAGGTTGTTACGTATCAATATTTTGCTTGAATAAATGATAACTAAACTCTAAAGAGTAAAATTATGCTGATTTATAGACCAAACTAGAAACTTCACTTTGCCATTCATTTTGTACACAAAATGACAAATTTCTCAATTTTCGGCTTGACCTTAGGTCACAATAGGTCAAGTAACTCTCTAGTTTAAATTGCTCTATGGCGGAGGCATCATTTTCGACTGCGCGCAGTCAAAATTCCATCTAGTTTACATTTAATTTCAAGCAATCATCTCATATATACACAGTTCAAATACTCTTGATCGCATGTACACGTATATAGAGATAAAATATAGAGGTAGCTTCAGAGATTGGGAGGGACAGAGGAATAGGAAAAGGTACGAGTCGATATTTAGGGAAAGAGACAGACAGAAAGACAGAGAGATACATGTACAAATAAATGTTTACACCTGTAATTTGATCTACCACTAGAACTGCAAGTCATCCACAGCAATCAGACAAGATCAATCTACCAATTATGGTGATAAGAATACCGTCATATCTTTCAAGTTTCAATACCAGCATATTATTGACATCGGAATTTCAATCAAATGTCTCCTGTAACACAAGTAAGTATAGCTACATAGTTTACATACCATTGGATTGAGTACACATGATCACAATATTGGTCAATTAAAGGAATGTTCTTTTTGTGCAATGATTAAATATATATATATACATAAACATTATTGTACATTAACCTTCTGATAGGCATATTGCTAGAAGTACTGATTGATTGAAAAGCAGAATATACAAATGTCATTTTCCTTTAACCCTTTCATGGCTTTGGTCTACAAATGGACCATTAACACATGTAACATAAAACTAAAAAGACACACACTTAATTCAAATTTACACCATAATCTTACAGAATATTGCTTATAAAAGTCTCCATGTATATATAATTATACACCTGTCATTATCATTCACTTGTTTTGTCTTTCTTAAAAGGCACCGGTACATATAATATATGTTGTACATGTATAGCAAACGGAAAAAATAAAGAAAAAAAGGCCTCTTTAAATAGGCATCATTTTTGGAATGATGAGTCACATTAGGAAACTACTTTGTTATTTCAACTGCTTCAATATAAGTATCAAAAAGTAGTCAAAAATCATGATGCTAAACCGAAATCCATTGTAGATAGATTATGTCACTATTTCACACTTTAAACCTTTCCACTCACCCAGGCACTTGTCAGTACAATTTAAGAAATGGTATAATGTTACAGTCAACAGTGGGTGTATGTAATACAAGCTATCCTCAACATACTATTACATGGATATTGGCCAATTGACTTATACGCACAGAGCATACTTGTACATTTACATGTAGCTCAAAACAGTAATACAATTAAAAAAAAGATAAACATAGAAATACAACAACAAAAAATTGATACAAAATGAGAATTCCCGAAATAAACATACATGTACATATCACACAGAAATCATTATCTCTTCACTTAATGCATATTCTTCTGTGCATATACCATACATTTGTATAACACAAACAAATCTCAAGCCACTTGAAACATTTGAAAAAATTGTGAAACCTGTCTGTAAAGACCACTCCAGTGAAACAAGAATAATGGTCTTCATAGGCAGGTGGTATCTTTCCACAGGTTCGTTTGACCATTAGCATACAAAGGTCAAGAAAAATCTGGCTTGAGTCTGTGGAAAATTCATGCTTTACCCCATAATATCCACTGGTTTAATAGTACATGTAAAAAAAAAAACACCTTTAAGGGAAACGAAAGAGTGATCTGTTTGACAAGTAGTCTTTCTACACAGGTGATTAGTACAGCAGGTTTGACTGTTGTACTAATTATACAAATGTTTAAAGCCAAAGATTTTTTAAATGAAAGATCACTTTTTTTCTTTATTTCAATTAAAAAATAATTTTTAATCATTTTATATGGTTGATACATAATATATAATGTCAAAATTAAAAACTCAGAAAACAAGTTAATCATTTGCAAAACGGCATATTAATGTAGAAAAAATACAAATTTCAGTGAATTACAGAACATAATGATTAATATGCAGCGCACATTTTTAGAATTATAGACATTTTGTTATAAATATACTCTATGCAATAATTACACACTGTACATGTTCATGTAGATCAAGTGATAAAATATTATTTAAAACCAAAATATACATTTTATTCTTTCAATAATATTATCTTTAGGAATGCCTTAGCAGAGGTAGCTTTCACTGAAAGATTTCATAGAATTAAAGGGCAAAAGGAGAAAAAGCCCTTGTTCTATCTATAATGGCATTAAGTTTAAAGGCACAAATGATCTGCATTACAGGCACATCTGTGAAAAGGTGGCAAAGAGCAGCATCTGCGTTGATACCTTAAGCTATCCCTATTAAACATTATGCTGCTATATACAGAACATTATTGTATGAGGGTGTACGGTCAGATTCAGACATGGAGAAAGACTGCGGATGTCTAAAACCTGAAGAAAAGGTTGGAAATTCATTGATCGGGGCACTTCTGGTCATGAATGCTGCTGCTTTATCTATTTCATGGAAGTTTGAATTTGTTTTACTATGCAAAGTTCTGTTAAAATGATGAATTTCTCTAATATCATTGAAGAACTAATTACGAATTCACAACATTATTCTGCCAATACGTATACTAACTTTGAGTTAATCATGTGTTCTCATGCTTGATTTCTGCATGCTCACAAACATAAATGATTGTCTTTATCAAGGAGGAAATGAAGTCGCATACTCTGCAAAAGACATTAATAATAGTGTTCTTACATACGTATTACTAGCATAAGTGCAATTTCCGCCAAATTGTACTTATCATGATTTGTGAAACAATTTGTTACAAACACCCTTTATCTGCTTATGTACATATTGTATACTCCTCAATTATTGCCACACTATCGATTGAACGGAAGCTGTGAAACTCACTGAATCAATAATTGAGCCAGAAAAAAAAAGAAACAGCGCCATCTAATCATCATTGATAAAGAACCCGAAAACAGTATAGCCAGGCAGAAATAATCTTTTCAGATTGGACAGCCTAAAAACCAAACAACACAACAACAACAAAGTATCAATGAATTCACTTATTAAAAGTTGAATGAATGGTACCCTGAAAGTTTGAGCCTGCTACATGAAGCTCTAAAGGTGATAGACCGTATTCTTGAAGACCAAGACCAAAGAAAGGTCAGACCTTTAATACTGCATTTTTGCCAATAATACTTATTCTCCTCCTGATATGGTTTTGTGCTACTGATAACCTGGGGCAGTATTCTGAGGACAATTTTATATAAAACAGCACTGAGTATTGACAAAATTTCTCAAGCAAAATTCTTGTAGGTTTATTGAGTTTTGTTTCAACATTTTGGCGGACTAATATTATAATTGCAAAGATGCTTGTAATGCAATGGGGTTCAAAAGCCTATATGTGTGAACCTCATTCAGCCATTTTAAAAGAAAATCCCAGTACAAGTGTGTTGCGCTTGAGGCTCCCAAAAATAACATATAAGCACTCTCTTGCCTAATGGACTGGTAGAGACTAGAGAGTGATTGTATTGGCTGAACAGGAGGGTGGTGAAATCTAATGACATTTCTCATTGTTATCCTATCACAACAAATGGGCGTGTCTTGATGAGACAAAATCTCACTAAAATGATTCTCAGAATAATGGTTCAATAAGATGATGGCTTGGTATTTATGATATACAGCAGTGTTACATAGGCATACACTGTACATTGCAAATCCCACTACCATAACATCATGTTGTCAATGTACATTTCAAATATCATTTTTGTATGTACATAAAGTACATGTATCTGATTGTATGTGGAATTAAATTCTGAATGATATCGCAAGACACAACTGCATAGTTTTCAAATGTAATACTGTACAATGATCATAGAATTTTTTTTTCTTTTTCTACCACATCAGGAAAGAAAATGGATTGTGGATAGATTGGGAATGATTTGTACACATCATACAAAGAGATTGAGTTAGGCAGGAGTCAAAAGAACAAACAAAATTGGAAATCTTTGATAGCATTTAAGTACCGGTAATTACAACAAAGGCATCATACTGCATCATACTGCCAAACCAAACAAGTTTTGGCCATCCACAGGTAAATTCATGTTTGATTTTTTGTAGGTCTGATGTCTGTCTAAACAGAATGGCTGAGGTATTAGATTATACAGTGACATTTTGATGGGGTCAACATGCCTTGTATGGGTCCAAACTTGACCTGCTCTCCATCTACAGTCAAGATACCCTCCTTGGTATTAAGTGGCTCAAGCCTGAAAGCCTTCACTACTCTTGCCTTGACAAAGTCCTGTTTAAGGTACTCCCCAGTCATGTATTTATCGAAGGTGTTTATCAGTTTCCAGCGTGTTGTTGTCTCGTCCATATACTGGACCATGATGATGCCCTCATCCATTGACCGACCAGGATGGCTCATGAAGTCATTGGATATGTGGGACACAATGGTTATGAGGACACAAACAAAATCTCCTTGAATGACTGTCCAGTTTGGAGGAACCGGATCGCTCAGCGAAGGCATCGCCAGATCATCTGCATGCACCTCACCCATTGCATTTGAGGTACCTTCCTCGGATGAACTTGCGTTTGCATTCTGGTTGGCACTGCTGCTCCTGGAGTCCCCCATCTTTGCCCCGATGTTGGTTTCTATCTGCTGGCTTTCCTGTATGCTGATGCCACTTGAGCTATCCCTTTTCTTGTCCTCTGCTCCCCAGAGGTGATGATACTTGGACTCGTCCTTGATGGGTAGAAATGACAGGCGTCCTGGATTCTTGCGGAGGAACATGATCCTCTGGACTGCCTGGGCCTGAAACCTTGTTGCCCCTAGGAAACGGAACCTCTCACTCTCTATGTCGATGTCAGCTAGGATGCCCCAGGCCACAGAAAGAAAGGAAAGTACCGTCTCATTTTGGGTCTGGATCTGTACCATGTCCTTGGGGTTGACTTTGCCCTTGACAATGGCTACGGCAGCATGGCAGGCCATGTTCTTTAATACTTGCTCCCTGAAAGAAATACAGCCATTTTGTATTATGTAATAATGAAATATTGGTAAATGTAAACAGAGATTTATCCTTTCTTTGATACAAAATACATGTCGATAATACATATTTCCCCTATATACCTCAAAAGGCACCTTGAAGAAATATATATTAACATTAGGATTCAAATTTAGAGGGACATGCAATCAGAGTTCTTGACATGAAAATGAATGTACATTAGGCATGGGACCAAATTATGTTCAATACAGCTAGATTCTGATAATCGACCCAAAAGGATCCAGATGCTGGGTCTTGATAACTACAACAGAGTCAGATGCAGAGTAATTCATTATATGTACATAAACAGTAGGACCAATTCCCTTGTCAAAATGAAAATATGAAATCAAATTGCCTTACCCTCTGTTTACCAACACTGCTGAACAAAGTGCGTTTCCAGAACCCCCTGGGAGGATTCCCAGAGGCATCTTAAACGCTTCTTCTCGGTCCCTTCTTTGTCCAAACCCATTGATGAACTGAAAGAAAGCAAATATACAAATAATTCAACACTAACATTATTTGGACACCCGGCACGTACGTTTTGACTCTTACACAGTATACAGAATTCATATCTGACTAAATAGCCAAGTAAATGATATTTTAATAATAATAATGATATTCTGTTCGTGTATAGCGCATATCACATTATGTGCTTCCAAAGAGCTTTTGGAAATGATTGCCCTAGCTTTAGCTCCGGCAGCCGTTATCAGTGCACTTCAAGGAATATTCCTACCAGGTACCCTATATTCACCTGGGTCGAGTGTGGCAAATGTAGATTGATGTCTTGCCAAAGGTCATTAGTGCTGCGGGACTCATAACTGCGGACCTTGTGATCCACAGTCTGGTGACATATCAACTTGACCATGACTCTTCTACAATTTTGTCCCATATGTATGTTTAAGATTTTTTCTTTTAGTAAACCCAATTATCTCGTCAAGTTCACAGCCCTCTAATAGTTTGGGCCAGACCAAATATCAAGAAAAATAACACTTGTGCTGTTAATGTTGATTTGTTTTTCTTTATTCTTGGTAATGAATGGCCAGCAAAGTATCAAATATATTGGATCTGCTCATCTCTGGGCTGATGAAGTTTTATATTACAGAGGACCTACAACAACATTGCCTCAATGGTGCATTCCATATAGGGATCAGAACAAACTCCCAGAGATAAAAAAAAAAAAATTAAAATGCTTAAATTTCATGCACAGGAAAATGAATAGTAGCTCATAAAACTTGTTAATTTGTTTTCAAAATATGATAGCTCTCTTTAATGGACCCATTTTTCTGATTTCTCTCCCTATTCAAATAAATTTGGTGCCATGGTGAATGTCCTCTTTAAAGTTAATTAATTTGTTAGATTTATCTTCTTTGGAAAACTATTGGTGATATGGATATTTCTTATTTGCATTTTGGGAGGAAAATGCAATGCACATCAGTCTGTATAATTAAAGGAAACCAAAACCTTCATACTAAGTTACTTTTATTGTAAAGTTTAAGATATTTGAAAATATCAGTGAAAATTTGAACAAAATCGGGCAAGGAATAAGGAAGTAAGAGCTTTTTGAAATGACTAGTCACTAGTGGGCGGTATTCAATTTGATGACATCATCTGTGGACAACTACTCTCCTTGCCTTTTGTACATCAAATTTCATGTTTTTCCTTCTTTCTTGTGATTGAGATAATGTACTCCCCTGAAAGCAAGATAAAGAATGCAAAATGATATTCTACTTCACATGTTATGAAGTCGGATCAAGAACACAAATAAATACGAAGAAACAAAAAAAACTGTGAAATTTTATGTACAAAAGGCATGGAGAGTTGTTCACAGATGATGTCATCAAATTGAATACCGCCTTCTAGTGACTAGTCATTTCAAAATGCTCTAACTTTCTTATTCCTTGCCCGATTTTGTTCAAATTTTCACTGATTTTATTCAAATCTTTTAAACTTTACAATAAAAGTAACTTAGTATGAAGGTTTTGGTTTCCTTTAATCCCAAAATCTTGCTGACTTGCAATTATGATTGTACATACATTGAGCGATTTCAAGTTGGGTGTTTAAGGCTGGTGTTAGTGTTTAATAAACACTAACACCAGCCTAAACACCGAAATGGAAATCAGCTGGTGTTAAGGCTTTGACCTCTGAATATCGTCAACTTCCGGTAGCTAGTGTTATCGATTTTGAAAAATTGTTGTCTGCTGAACCGACCTTGTGGCTGGTGTTAATATTTTACGTACAAATGTCCTATTCACTAACACTAGCCCCTAGGGATTAAGCAAATGTTGATTTCCAGTTCGGTGTTAGTGTTGTACCCGCACACAGTCAACTCACGAACGACGCCAATTTATTGTCTGACGATCAAATAAAAATATGTGAAACAGGTAATTCACATATTCTTTTGTGTAAAATTAGTTATTTTATAAGACCAGAGAAAAAAGTGTAAATTTATTCTGTACTTTTCATGATATCTTTAGTTTTTATGTACTATTTTTAAGTCATCGTCGTGAAATCAAGACGTCACGGCTGGTGTTAAGCTATCGATTTTGATATCGGTATCGGGCTCTTAATTTCATCAGCAAATTTTCCGCTAGATTTAAGAGCTCTTGACTGCTCTAAACACTAACACTAACACAAACACTAACACCCAACTTGAAATCACTCCATGTCCAAGGTTCAAAATTGATATCAGTTATAAAGAAAATATGGTTATCGGGACAGTGATAACTACACTAATTTTAATGTCTTTAATCTTTTGGCAAGATTATAACCAAGTGCACGTGCCATCATGTTCATGGACATCTTATAAATCTTATAAACTGTAATACTTTTGTACCTAATCAATATAAAACATTACATAAGTGTCTGAATACAATAATTTCTTATCGTCTGACTGAATTTAATCCAGATTCAGAAGTTTTCTTATGGTTACAGTCCTGCCTGGTAATACATTTGCAATGACAGTTTGGCATGGATGCTTGGCTTATGAAATTCAATATTCATGGGCATGGACAAAGAAAATGAACATGTTACTCCCATCTCCTATTCAGCGATTTCATCTAATATTTTCTTTGGTTAACAAGGACCCTATGCTATCAAAAGACGCAAGTTTCCCACAAAGTTGGTGGTGGGTGTCACCATTTTAGGCCGTTACCATTTTAGGCTGTTACCCCATTTGTGTATATTCCTAATATTTCTTCATAATACCATTAAAATATATGGAGAAAAATTAGGATTTCACTCAAATACCATGTTTGTACAATATAGAAACAAACATTGTCATGTAAATGTATTTCAAGCTGCCTGCTTGATTGCAACCCAAATCTCAGTCTTAATCATGTAAGAAAATGGCTGTTGCTATGGAAAGTTGGAAATGGTAAGACAAATTGTTGATGTCTGTGAGGAAAAACCTGTTACTACCGGTAATCAATACACAATATGAAACTATATTTTTTAAGCTAGGATTTCCAGCTGTCATATTCTGCTTTTGCCATTTACATTTACCGGTAGTTGGGGTGGGTGTGACCACTTGGGCTGTCAACATGGTCACACCAAGAAATACTGGAATTTTGGAAAATGCTATATATTTGTAATTCAACAACATGGAAGCAAATGGTGATCATTTAATTTCAATTCCAAGCAACCCTGTTGATTGCAATCAAAAACTGAGTCATATGAGGTCAGAGTCATGAAAAAGGCAATTGCTATTAGAACAGTATTTTTAAATGTTGATATTTGTGGAAAAAGACAACTATTTCTGTAATATCAATACAAAACCCTAATAAAGCAACCAAGTACATGAATCTTTAACCATCAAATTGGTATCAATTAAGATCAAGAAAATAGTTAGGTAACAGACATGCCTGGAAGGACAGTTGCTATGACAACCCATAACAAACATATCAAAGTATACATGCTTCGCATACGATTGTCATCTACTGAGTACTCTTATTAGCTAATGTTTTGCAGACAGTCGTTTTATATTTTTTGTACTTATTAGTTACAAGGACTGTGTTTTTGCGGCCACCTCTGTATAAAGGCCAACTGTCTATAGAGGTCATCTACAGTGTCTCCCTCTAAAAAGAAACATGTGAGGGAGAACCTGTCTAGAAAGGCCTTCAGTCTACAGTGGTCACCTACAGTTAGAGAAAGAAACATGTGTGGGAGAACCTGTCTAGAAAGGCCTTCAGTCTACAGTGGTCACCTACAGTGTCTCCTTCTAGAAAGAAACATGTGTGGGAGAACCTGTCTAGAAAGCCCTTCAGTCTACAGTGGTCACCTACAGTGTCTCCCTCTAAAAAGAAACATGTGAGGGAGAACCTGTCTAGAAAGCCCTTCAGTCTACAGTGGTCACTTTTCCTGTTTCCCCAGAAAGGCCTTAATCGACAGGTTTGACTGTAATAATACAGTCTGGGTGTTTGGTACCGACCTGACGGTGTATGAGTCTAGCACCAACATGATTACTAGGGCAATGCTTCATCAAGATATTGAAATGCCAGAAAGTGATATTTACTTGTAGTATTAATAACAAATAATATAAAAACACAATTTATAATGGTCTTGGTATTTATTAGTACATTTGTAGCTTCCTGAATTATTACTAATATAAAAACACAATTTATAATAGTCTTGGTATCTATTAGTAGCTTCCTGAATTATTATAACCAAGGTATGAATTATTTCAAGCCATACTCACACCAAAATAGTTTTTTTGCAGTGGAAGCATGACGGTAAAGGATGGAAAGATAGAAAGAGAATATGATGGAAGGATGAAAACAGAGACAAACATAAGGAAAGAGGAAGAACAGAAAAAACAAAGAAATACTGTGTACATAGGAAATGACAAAAAACATGAAAGAAGTAGTTACAAAATATTGCATGGCTTTGAGTGTTATACAAGAATATATTGCTCGAGCTATGACAATATTGAACAAGTCCGAGACAAGTCCAATATTGTCATAGTGAGAGATATTATTATCTATATCAGACTGACAAGCAAAATAACAAAATGTGCCTTACATCAGTAAATATGGCTTTGTTTTTGTGTGATATCGATAGTTGAAGTTCCCGGATGACTGAGCAATAGGAAAACAATATTGGTCAGTCATCCGGGTATTGCGCTAAAGATATTGAATACACTAATTTATTGTACCGCTTGGAAGCCTTATTCAATAAAATTAAATTAAATTTCGTCCAATAGTGACATGGAAATTCATTGAGGGAGTTTGCATATTGCGTTTTACATTAAAATCATGTATAAAAAGACATCAAAAGCATGACATTGAAATAAGAAATGATTACATTCAAAATCGGTGCTAATTGGAAAAACACAACATGACATCGACACAATGCCGTCGGTCCTCTGGTTGCTTAGCAGTCTGGTAAAATAACCACCACTACTACCAAGAGAAGGTAGTAGAACGATTAAAATGAAGAATTACATATACATATGGAAAGATAACAAAAAGTAATAGAAATAACAAAGAAACACAAAGGAAATAAAAGAAGGGATGAAATAAGTATAGAAACTAAGAGTTACATAAGGAAAGATAAAAAGAAAAGATAGAATAAAAATAAAGAATTATGTATGGAATGCTAGAAGAAAAATGAAAGGAGGGGGATATACTGACAAAACCATAGAAGATAGAATACACTATTCTTTAAAGAAATGCAGATAACTCTACATACAACACTCAGTTACAGGTCATTACGGTAAACAGACTATCCCTTTAATATGGAATCCAGCCATCTGACATATTATTTCTCACCTCATAAAAAAGGCCATCACCTGAGACAATGATGACCCCATTGTACTCCTTCAGGTCAAGGTTCATAGCTATTTCAGTACCATGTCCTCTTCTCTCTGTCATGAAGAAACAAAAACACGGTCAGTTTACAGGCACCATTAAACATTTTTTGACACGGTGCAAAATTAGTAAAATAGCTATTTGTTTTAGAATTTCAGAGGAAAAACATCCTTATCAGTTTCGCTGAAAATGCTCAAGGTTTAGTATTACAAAAAGTGGGGAAATACTTAAACATGTACAGACAGTCAGGGGAAGTCCACCCTAATATTAATTTGGTTTTAATAGATCAAAAAGATGAGAGAAACGGGTCAGTGAAAGTTTGAATCAAAAACCAATAACAAAAACAAAATTATAGGTGCGATCAATCAAACATGAATCTGCAACTCTGTGACATACCTTGCAAGGTCCCCTCTCATTTGCCCTGTTCTAGAAAACTTCAAAAACATAAATATTTTCCCTTAAGCAAATTTTCAATCATACATTTGCTCTAATTATAATTATTGCAAATATATATGTTTATATAAAACCCCTGTATGAAACATATCTATTCCATCAAAAATAACTAAGAATATGAAAGTTTATGAAATTTTCTGTACAGTGCAAATTGTAGAGGAGCTCGCATACTCAGTGCTGTCAATTTGTGTTTCACTGGTGAAAAATTCAAAAATCCATAAATTTCATATTTGTAATCGCATATTGCTCAAAATTTCACTACATGTTTCTCTGATTTTTCAGCTTTTATCAAAACCAACTTCAAATCATAATCTGACACTTTTTATACTTTTGATAGAGCAGTGTACAAAAAAAAATTTTGCTTCAAAGAGCTCCTTTTGGATTTTGATAAATACATTGAATTTCCACTAGGCTAATTTCCACACAGTGATTCCTATGTTTAATTTATTTGTTTTATTTAAAAATTTTAATTCGAGACCTCTTTTGAAACTTCCAGAACTATAGTGCTCTACATTGTATTCCTTTGTCATTGAGTCAGGAATAAATGATTATTGTACTCACCTGTTATGATTTCTTTAAATGTGATTCCGGCCTCCTCAAATATAGGCTTGGCTTGTTCCTTAAAGAGTTGAACTGCTTTCTCTTTTCCACTGAATGGATTGATGCATACCAAGTAGTGCGGTGGTGGTGGTATAAGGGACTCCGTCAAGTCTGCATAGGATAAACATATTCAAGGACCCAATTGATCAGCTTTTCTTATCTAAACATTGACTACAAATTTTCAATATGTTGCCAACTGAATAATCTTCATGCTCATTTTCCTTTAAAAGAAAGATGTCATGGTCTAGTGGATACGTCACCTGACTGTGGATCACGTGGTTTGCGTTTGAAACTCTGCCGCGGCACCGATGTCCTTTGATCTACATTTGCCACTCTTCACCTTTACAGGAATTAAATGAATACCTGGTAGGAGAGAATTCTTTAGCGCCTTACTATGGCGGCCCAGCTATACCGGGGTAATAATATGATACATGTACTTTGTAATTAAGCACAGTAGAGTATACGGTAGTCATATAGTAGCTGCATTAAATAAATGGACTTACATGTACTATTCTAATAGTGTCAAACACCTATTACAGAGTAAAAGAAATGGACACAATATGCACAGAAATGTTTCCTCTTACTGCTATATGAATGCATCTGTAAAACATTAATTGGCCCCTGAGAGTCTCAGTCTGAGTAAAAAGTTATCAAGCCCACCTCCACCCCCTCCCACAAAAAAATAATTTTGAAAATACTCTCAAATGTGTAAAATCTCCATATTTACCTCTTATCTATTATCAGATCACTTTATCTGCCCTGTGTGCTGATATAAAAGATAAGTTTGACAATATTTACCAATATACTGTAGCAAATTAAAACTAACACAGAAGTCTAAATTAGCCATTCAATCAAAATGTCAGCCGTTCAAAATTTGTTCCAAAAAAACTTGAAAACCTATCTAGTAGTGTCTGAATTTTTTATTAATACGTCATGTATTTCACAATATGATGTATTTTTATTTAACATTGTTTAATTATGATTAATTATGTTTAATCATTTTCGTTCTGTGAAACTTCTCATGTACTTTCATATGTTTAATGTATTTACCTTGTTAGGCGCCTTGAGCCTTGGGGTGGATATGTGCGCATAATGAATTTTGTCATTCATTTTTTTAAAATTATAAACCCTTGGCAACTGTTGATTTCAAAACAAAAATTAATAGAGTTAATGTCTTTCCTCTCCACTTTTAAAATATTGATTCTTGCCATATAATAAAATGTAAATGTTCAACTTGGACACATACAATATATGTAACACTAACAGAGACATAAAGAATGACATAAAGTATTCTATTTTAAGGACACAAAGTGCTCAAGCACCACTAAATATATGTACATTTCTCTCCCTGTGTGTACATGTGATTGCAATACTAGATGTTCTCAGAAGAAAAGAAAACAGATCCCAAGTTTACAATTGACATGTTTCAGTCCTAAAATAAACATCACTTTCCTGATCTTCAGGAAAGTTTGTCAAACTTTACAGGCAAATTGTGAGTGAAACGATACAATTATCATGATTCAATCTTGATTCTGTAATTTCCATTGTTCCAACTGACTGTTCTTAAAACTGTTGTGGTTTTCCAATCAAGTGCTGTACTTGAGAGAATGAATCACTAGTAATTTTAGAATGGAAGTCTAGGTACATGTACATTGTAGTGGCAGTCACTGAGATTCTGTATATCACAGATATCTGGTGCATTCTACATATCGTCCCTGTTTTCACAAAGTGACGGTAGTGAGGAAAATCGTCACTCAAAGTGATGCAATTTTTTTTCACTACCGTCACTTCGTGAAAACAGCGACGATATTACTGTTTTTTTATGGGTAACTGCTCATCTATTCTATTCCTCCTGTTTACACTTTGGGCTCAAGTTTTCACCTCACTATGCCCATTCTCAAAACAAGGTTCAAGGTTTCTTTTTTTTCTCCACATAGTCTAATATAACATAATCAAATGAATATGCAATAAATACAAATTCAATAACATCATATTAACCAAAGATACGACAAGTGATTATACAATTATTCAAATAAATCATTTAAGATTGGCACAGTGGTAAAACATAGTGGAGTAGAGGAGTCTATTAATAAAGCATGGCTTGTATTTTATAGACCCCTTGAGAATAAAAAAAAATATAAGTGCTCTGTAATATAATTAACAAATATACTGTATGTATAAAAACGCTTCAGGAATCCTACACCCTCTCCCCCTCCCCCCCCCCCCCCCTCCCCACCACCACTACAAAACAACATTCAGTTTCATAGTAGGGTCTACAGTAATAAGCTGTTCTGTACAGAAAATTCACATGAAGCCTAATACTAGAAATTTTTATTTAGAACTACATGTACATATATTTCTTGACATTTTGTTTATACCATGAAAACTAGCATACTTGAAGGAGGGGCAAGGGGGGGGGGGGTAATTTGCCCCTCCTGGGAGATTTCTGACAAAGAAAAAAAACTCACATAATAAACTAGTAGTTAATGGGAAGTATTTTGTGGTTCGATAATTCAAGTTGCTCTTGCCTCTTGGAACAAGCAACTTTGCAAAACAGTGATAGCTTACTATGCCAAATCATGAACATTTAGAATACACTGTAGGTGATAATCTATACTCTCGATTTTGAGCTTTACAGAAGCAGTCATGAATTATGAATAAAAGCTCATAAGAGGCCAACAAACTTTGTAGTGACTAGTGCTGAAAGTTGTTTGACTGATCATTCATTCATGACCATGATGACCCTGATGACCCTGATGTGTTGCAGATGGTTTCTGGACTGAGTCATAACCCCTAAGGTTAGTCCCATGATGCAAAACACAGGAGCAGTGAGTGCTTTAGCTCTGGTATGTAGAAAAAGAGCTCTGGTAAAATAAACCTAATAGAATACCTCAATGTCACTTTGAGAAAATCAGTCATACAATGTCAAATCCTAAAAGAAATCCCATGAACAGAAAATCTTTCTGTTACACTAATGCAAAGCAATATTGTTTAACAATTGTTATTATTATCATCATCATTTTAATAACAGCCTTTCTGTGTAGTTCATAACGAAACTTATCAGTGATTCCATTGTATAAATATTTACATTCAATTTGACACATTTTGACGATTGGCATCAACTGTATAATAAACAGTTGTTATTCAACCTACCAGTATGTATTGCCAGTCATGTTCAAAAAGCTCTTTATTGAACTGAATTGAGTGTTAACTTGAACATGTACAGCATTTACTGGTCTGTTCTAGCTTGTAAAATTGAAAATTACAGAGCGAGCATACACTTACGATTGTTGAAGACAAAGGGAAACTTTTATAAGATCATATTCACATTGTGAACATTAAAGTCTATGACAAATCTCTATACACTGTAGGATCAATTTCATGCAATATGTTTCATACGACAAGCATGCATGTACATGTACACTATATGTATTTTCCACATATATCTCAATCCAAAAATGAAGAATCTCTCGATTATGATGCTTTCTGGTATAACTACCAGTACCGTAGTCAAAGTTACATTTATTGATTTTCATTAGAGATTTTTATTTATTGATTAAATATGGGATGAATGTCATATTGTCGGACTTGCCTCCCGGCGTATTGGTTGGGTTGTGTCCTGATTTTAACAAAGTCTTTTTAATTCACTCAGTAGCCTGCACTTAACGAGCAAACCAATTCAAAATATAGCATATGACTCTGCTATATCATTGATGCAAATATCTTGTAGGTACAGTATAGGTACAGTGTCTGTCTAATGGCCATCCAAGGCCCAAGGGAACAGATAAAGGGATCACTGGATAAACTGGTGGCCTTTCTAGACAGGTTCTACAACATACATGTACATTTCTCTCTCCAGGGAGACAAAATGCATGGACACTATAAAAAGAGTGGCCTTTCTAAAACGGTGGCCACTGCTGCAGGTATTTGACTGAAAAAACTCCTTGGGACCAGGGAAATACAGTTTTAACCTTGTTTATTTTCAAAATAAAAAACAAAAATAGTAATTAATGGGACCAGTAACATTACTAACACTTGTTTCATTATGATATTGATTATATGTAGCAGTGTTCTTTAATTGTAGCTTGTTTTAGGGACCCTCGGAACACATACCTGGAAGGCACACATGTACATTTGTATACCCAGACCTTTGAACAGATAGTATAGACTTAATTAGAAGCACCATCAGTATTATCTAATCAATTAAGAGCTCAAATAGAGGACCACACCCATCAATGGGTCTGTCAGCACAGTATTTTTGAAACAGACAGTGGACTACATGTCAATGCTGCACGTGACAGAACACTGTACAAGGCAAGGTACAAATAGGTACCGGTAACAGCTATGTTGACACTGTCCTGAAAATATATCTTAATTGACCGTGGTAATGACCTTATTAATAGCGGAATCTGTTAATTATTAAAACTTACATGTATATGCAAGAGGTTAATGTGTAACAATGTAATTGTAGGGCCTCTTATTTGGAGAGGGACCATACATGTATTTTGATAGGTAAAAATAAATAAAGAAAAGAGGGGAAAACATGAGTGATATTTTTAAATTTTTATTTGTCCGGACAGGTTGGTTATCTTTAAAAAATCTGAAAAATAATTGGTATGATTTTGAAAAAAAAATGATTCAATATATTGAGAATATAATTAATAACAAGTATTCATTGATATTCTCGGGCGGGGGAGCGTCTTTCAAAGTGAAGGGGCACAAACAGAAAGGGTACTTTCAGGGTATACCTGTATGTTATCATCAGGCCCCATTTCATGCACTCTCAGGATTGTTTGGTGACAACGTCGCTACCGGTATATTACGCTTGGCTGATGGCATTGATTTAGTGTGTGCGTGCTTCATTTTCCGACAGTAATCACAGTTGTTTATCACAATTTTCAAGCAATTTTAAGATTGGATCATTACAATAAACATTTTGTAAGAGCAAGTAAAAGCATAATACTATCAACTTTCTTTGGTTGTTTTTGTTGGCAAGTGCAAACACTTGTCCCAAATATTAACGGACGGGACTACAATATATATATATAACACGATTATAATTGGAAAAGGGGCAAAATAGGGGCATTGTCCTCCGTAGACCGAAAGCTTCAGTCTCTCTAATCGTCGGTTGTTCCACTGAGACTACATGTACGTCTGGCTCCACTAGACCTCCGATTATGGGGAATGTCAACAAATGTCAGTTTTATTAAAGAAATGACCCATATCAGACGGTTATTTCTGTCTATGTCCTCCGATGCCTTAGATTGCTGTGGTAGCAATTATGTCAGCATTGTCAGGCTACCTATATATGCACAGACTCTAGTTCGACACTTTACCACAATTCCTAAAGCCTTGAGCAGAGCCTAGATCTGTAAGTTTCCGGTTGTATCAAACATACAGAGCCTATTGTGGTCTCATTGTACAGACACTGTTTAATGCACAACAACTGACAAACTTTCACATGATAAAAAAGATACACAATAGAGTAAGAATTATGATAATACAAGTAAACAATATGAAATTTATGTGGAATGATCAAAGACACCCTTCCTCAGTTCCAACCTTTTAATTTTTTGTGCAATTAGTCATTTAAAATCTTACCCCCAATGGCATGTATACACACACTGAATACATGTAGATTAACATGGGAAAACAAACCCTTTAAAGGGGAAGTCCACCCTGATATAAAGTTGGTTTTTAGAAGCAGACAAATGAGAGCATGCAGGTCAGTGATACAACTGTAGTTTGAGCAAGAAAGCAATTACAAATCAAACACAAATTGCCAACTCTGTGAAGTATCTTGCAAGCTCCCCTACCATTTACCCTGTTATAAAAAACTTTCTAAAATTTAGAAAATGTTCAATCATACATATTCACCCTAAATATAATATTTGCAATTATGTTTTTACACATCCCCTGTATGAAACAAATCTATGCAGTCATCAGTAACTGAGAAAATTAAAGTATATGAAATTTTCTGTACAGTGTACGGAGCAAATTTAACAGAGCTGGCAACATACATGTACTGTACATCACAATGTTGCCAATTGTATTTTACAGATGACAACTTCAAAAATTCATGAATCAGTTTCCTATTTTTATTGGGTATATAGCTCAAACTGTCACCAAGTTTTCTCTTATTTGTCTGCTTTTATTAAAACCAAGGCAATAGCAGTGTGGACTTCCCCTTTTTGTTTGGATGCAAAATATAACATTTTGAGTCGATTGCACCTGTATGTAGGTAATTGATGAAAAACATAGATTGTTTCATACATATATGTTTTTGCAATGAATACAGATATTGCTCTAACTTTAGCTAATTTGTTTCTCTCATTTTTCTGCTTTTATTAAAACCAAGATAGACCTAATATACTATCTTGCTTTTAATCAAAGTCAAAGCAGAAACTTGAGAGATCAAGGTGGACTTCCTTTCCCTAGCTATCTCTTTGAAATGATATGAAATGGGGTTCATACGAAATTTAATTACTGCATGGCACTCCATCAGTCCATGGACAAACATTAGAGACTCCTCATACTCATAGTGATACTCCTAATTTTTAATCAATTTTAGTTGGATGGAACCCCCCCCCCCCCCGACCCCTAGGAGGTGGTACATATAGAAGTCAGGTCCACATCTTTTTAATATACATATCATAACCATATCAATTTCACTGTGAAGATAAAAACTCACCATCTACACTGGAAAACTCAACTCCCTGAAGAAGAGCCAGAATAATCAAACGCCATTTCTCCACCAATGAAGCATTCTCCTTTTGTGTTTCAAACTCATCTGTCACAAAATTTAGCTCTACTCTGCGTCTCACGCCACCAGCATTGGGATTTTTGTTATACTTGTATGCAAAAATCTGCAAGCATGCACTCTTCTCGCTTAATTTCAATTTATGATTGAGTTCCTTTTTTCTGGGCACACCGTCCCCGCTATCCGTCGACGACTGCTGGCCGACACCTCCCCCGATGCTTCGGCATCCCACAATGTCAGTGAATGCTATGCTTTCTCCTTTCAATTTGGCTCCATTTACGCTCCGATATGTAAGCTTTTCGCGACATATTGAGACATCAACATCAAAAGAATGTTTCCCAATTTTCAGATGGAATGTAGCCTGCGTAAGAATATCCTCAACAGCTGAAAATTGGGGAAGTGCATCTGTACTCGACATGGTGCTGGTGCTACTACACACGTTTTACGGTACTGCAGCTCCAAAGCTTTCACTAGCACTACATTAGCCATGCAGAGGATGCCGATTCGCGCAAAACAAGGCAGTGGCGGATCGATCCAGGGGGGGGGGGGGGGGGGGGGGGGGGCAAGTTTTCAAATTTTCGAGGGCAAAAAAAATAAAAACTGAGCGTCATCAGGGTCTTTTAAAATTGTTGTCAAAATCGCCGTGTTCCATGCAAGTTTGGGCTTAAAATGTGTGATGTGGGTCCATCCATATGCATGTGCTTCTTTGGTATTAAATCCTCTTAATAAAAGTTAAATTATGCCCCGTGCTTCAGCGCTTCATTGATTAAAATGATGCAATGTATCTAGGCTTTCACAGAATCTTGTTTCAATCCACAAAATATAACCTTTAATTGTTTTAAACAGCATACTAATTTTTTGTCTCATGATATCTAAGTTCTCTCTGCTCAATATTAGCCGTCTTGTCCACTGCGCCATTTCACACGCGTAAAGAGCATATTAATTTAAAGGTGTTTATCTCGAATAGCGTATATGAAACCTCAATGGTTGATTGATTGATTGATTTTTATTCGACAAGCTTCCAACCACTGGCGTACCTATAGGGGGGGCAGGGGGCCAGAGTGCCCCCCCCCCCTGACGGGCTCCAGGGGAAAAAAAGAAAAGGGGGAAAGAAAAGAAAAGAAAGGGAAAGGAAAGAAAAAGAAAAAAGGAAAAGGAAAGAAAAAAGGAAAGAAAGAGAAAAAAGGAAAAAAAGGAAAGAAAAAAGGAAGAAGAAGAGAAAAGGAAGAAAAAGGGAAAAGAAAAGGAAAGGAATAAAAATGGGGGAAAAAAATAAAGAACATGGCCGTAAGCACCAGGGGGGGGGGCAGTTGACCTCAGATATTTTGAAATCGTACAGTTTTTTTCCTGAAAATGTAGTGTAGGCCTATACCAAATCCTTCAATTCTACTTTTGAACATGCAAAAGTACCCTCATGACCAGTTCGGTCGCTCGAACTCCCTTCACTCCTTTTGCTTTTGAGATTCTTCGAAAACTTTTAACGCATCTTTCCCCCTTCCCCATCAGAAAAATATTCCGCATACGGTCCTGAAAAATTAAAACAAATGAAAATAGGAAAATATAAGTGATATAACAAATTTGAAACTCTTCGCTGGCGCGAACTGCTTGCTAGCCTATTTTGTATTAAATATTTTCACTTCCTCGTCCCCCTGAAAAAAGAAAAGGATTAGTATTGCCTAGAATACAATTGTGCCTGCCCCGACGGGCCCCGACCTGCAACCATGGCAACAATAACACACAATAATTATGTACCAAATGTTACTAAAAGAGACTAATTCATTTTTCTCGCTCGCTACACTCGCTCGCGAATAAAATGAATAGACATTGCTTTGGAAACAATTCACCTTGACCTGCAACAATATCATTAAAAATGGAAGAGTTTTTTCGCCCTCTCGCCAAAAAGGAATTGAATCGCGTTAAACGCGATTGCGTCCATCCTGACCTGCACCAATAAAAACAAGTTTATTTATTAATTTCTATTAAAACAGAATTTATTTTTTTTGCTTGCTCGCTATGCTCGCTCACCAAAATGGAATTGACACCGCTAACGTGCCCGCCCCAACCTGCAACAACCAGTTAATAATTATGTATCAAACGTTATTCAAAGAAGTTTTGGTGTGCTCGTGCTCGCCAAAACGGAATTAACATCACCTTAGACATGATTGTGTAAGCCCTGCCCTGCAACAAAAAAATCTGAAATTTATGAACCAATTATCATTACAAAAATTTTGCTCGCTCGCCAAAATAGAAATAACACCGCTTTTAATAATCACGTCCCTGACATTGAACAATTAAACCAAGTTTATATACTATATTTTCCCTATAAAGAGAAGTGATTTTTTTTTGCTCGCTCGCTACGCTCGCTCGCCAAAATAGAATTAACACCGCTTTTAATAATCACGTCCCTGACATGGAACAATGAACCCAAGTTTTATGTACCATATTTTCCCTATAAAAGAAAAGTGATTTTTTTTTTTCGCTCGCTACGCTCGCTAGCTCGTGGAATTATGTGCCCACCACTAACCTGCTACAATATCATTAAAAAGAGAAATGTAGGGGTTGCCTGCCCGCCAAAATGGGATTGACATTGCCTTAAACACGATTGTGCCCGCCCCCTACCTGCAACAATGAAACAAATTTTATATAGCAATTCATTGAGAGTTAGATGTATTTTCGCTCGCTAGCTAAAATGGGTATAAAATCACCCTAAACACAATATTGTTCCCGCGCCCTGCATGGGACAATTTATTGAACCAAGTTTAAGTGGCAATTATTAAAAAAGAAGTGATTTTTTTCTTGCTCGCTACACTAGTTTGCAAAAAAATGAAATTAACGTCGCTAACAAGTGAATGTTCCCACCCCACCTTGCAACAATACCAGTTTATATACCAAACGTTACTTAAAGATTTTTTTTTGCTCGCTCGCTCGCTCGCCAGAAGTGAAAATTAGCATCGCCTTTTTTGTTTGTTTCGGTCGCTTCCCCCCCCCCCCCCTGACGGAGTACCCCAGGTACGCCACTGCTTCCAACATACAACAATAAACAATAATAACATATCAAAAATAAGTCAGCTTGAACAGGATAACCCACGAAAGCTCGAGAGCTTATTTCCAGTGGGGTCCCTTACAGACATGTATAAAATTAATAAGTTAAAATAGTAATATTTACAGACAGATAAGAAAATTAAAAGAACTACTTATTAAAGATAATAATAATAATAACAACATTAAACTGATGATAGAAAAGATATTAAGTACAAGAAGAAAAAAGAAGAAGGAGAAGAAGAAAAAGAGGAGAAGGAAGAAGAGGAAAATAATGATGAATTTGTAGAATTTCTATAACGTACGAAAACATAAGTATATACAACATGAAAAAGTATGAACCGACAGAAGAATAAAAATTTCAATCATATAACATGTCATTCACTTCTCTTCTCTGACTGTCAAGTATTAGGTATTCCTTTAATTTCCTCTTTAAATGATCATAGTTTCCTATTTCTTTTACACCATTGGGAAGGGAATTCCAATGTTTTATGGCATTGTAATAAAACGAATTTCCAATACTACCTACTCATTCTGTTGAATCGTCTATTTCTTGTATTATAATCATGTACGTCAGTAACAAGATCGAAGTTGGATCGAATATAATGATTCGACCTAGTATGATATATTTTATGCACAAAGTCATGATGCAATACGAGTTGTTTTGATCTTTGGTCGACTTCAAGAAAACCAGCTTTAGAAAGTTCGCTGTAGCCAACATGAGTTCTTGGACCAGAACAGTTGATAAATCTCACCATTTTGTTCTGTATAATCTTCAACTTCTTTTGATCTGACTTGTTTATGTTACTATACAATGCAGGGTTAGCATAGTCAAATAAACATTGAATAAGAGCAAAACAGAGTGTACGTCTTGCTTTTAAATCCATACAACTTTGATATCTGTACAAAAATTTCAGACGAGAATTTGCTTTTTTTACAACTGATTCTACTAAAGATGAAAATGAAATTGCGCTAGCCAACTCAATGCCTAAATACTTCACAGACTCTTTTCTCTTGATTGCTTGATTATTGTGTGTCACTTTGAATTCAAATGACTTTTTAGAACTACTTTTAGAACAAAATAAAATGCTTTCTGTTTTTCCCAAGTGTAAAGAAAGCTTATTATCAGTCATCCAATCGACACACGTAGACAGCTGTTCACTGAGCTTACTAAACCTCAATGCCAAAAAGAGCATAATTTATAATGATTTATAATAATTTATTATGATGAGAAATATGGCCATTTGAGAGCAGACTTTCATTTAGGAAAAAGAAAATATCCCAAATCAGTAAACGTTATCCATTTTGTATCACTCAATGAACGGAAGCGACAAAAGTCAGTATAGATTTGTGTTTGTACTACGCATTTCCTAGAGTTTGAGTTGATATTAACACCCTTTTTTCAACTGCCTTATATTTGATTTCAATAAATGACCCATTTTTTTTGGCCCAAATTCATACTTCAGCCCAAACTTGGTACAAAAGGGTTTTTACAATACCTTTTTAAAAGCCTGCTGTTCAGTCATCCTTGGTAGCACAATAATTATGAAAAATGTTTTATTAGACAGGGTTTCAGTTCCTCTTTACGATGGAATATGACGCAAGGTCACACAGGCTATAACTATTCAATTAGAAGCTACCAAAGTTGAGTACACTTTTTGTATACGCACTGTATACAGTGAAGCGAGAGAGCTTTACAAAAAGTAATTTCGATATAACAACATAATTATGAATCATATTCGGGCACCTCTTTGCCTAATTATGTGAGTATTCTGGCACTTCCGACTGCCTTAAATAATACTACATGTATTTCTTAATGTCGCGAGCGGGCAAAGTGAGCGAACTAAAAGCTATACTTGGTCGTTTTTAGAATGATACTACTTATTCATAAAAAGACATAAAGCATTTTTGGAAATTATGTTTTCAAGCAATTTATATTTGATACTAAAATCATCTTAAGTTCAATCATTTTTGCAGCACCCCTGATGCGTATCAGGACAATAACCCCCTGCAAAATTACCCCCGGAACACTATACCCCCGGAAAATTACAATCGTGAACAATACCCCCCCCCCCCTCCCCGTGGACAATTACCCCCATCCCTGAAAATAACCCCCAATTAAAGACAATTACCCACCCCATGACTTCTAAGGACAACCAACACCGAAGACAATAATTTATGCCCCCTAAAAAGTTTTTAGTTTTTTATTAAAAGGGAAGACCACCCTGATAATAAGTTGGTTTTAATATAAGAAGTTTTTTTTTTTTTTTTTTTTTTTTTTTGGGGGGGGGGGGGGAATGTCTTCCGTGGTTTTTTGTCCGGGGGGGGGGGGTAATTTTCCGGGCAGAAATTGTCCCGCTGGTAGTTGCCAACTAAATCAACCACTAAACCACTGTTGTTTGTGTCCCCGGGAAGTGATCCAACTTTTTTTCGTCTTAAATCAGCCTTACTTACAAAACAGGATTTTTATTTTCCAGTTTTGTTGATGATATCAACTCTCATTTAGCTTACCAGCGAGATCCGCGCGAAAAATTGGTTGATGATCTCCCGGGGGGGGGGGGGTTACTCTCATATTGAGACATAAGGTGTGTCGCTCTAATAAATCACTATTTCACACAAAAATCCCTAAACATGGGTCTTATTTTTAACAAAAATATCCCTAAACATATTAGGTCCTCTTTTCAAAATTTCAAAAATGTTCGTGTGTTTGCATTGCCAATCAGATACAGAGAACTGGAAAAAATGATCGACGCCCCTTGATCAAATTCCTAATTTAGAGCGCATATTTTGTGCTTTTTTGTCTGAAATCTAATTAATGCGCAATTTAAGAAATTGGGCCCAATTAAGTATATTATACGAAATGTAAAACATTCAAGACTTTTTTTTTTGGGGGGGACGTGGCCCCTGCCCCCTAATTGACCCCCATGGTTATCACACTGTTTTTCCATCTTTTTACTTCATCTCTCCGCGCCACTGATCGTAACAATACACTATCTGCTATATTTTCTTTTTCCAAATTACTATTTCAACTAATGAAAACAATTGTTAATAATATGCGTAAATAACTTTACGTAGAAAGGACTTTAACCCCTACAAAGGGATACCTCAAAGGGAAAATAAACATAATTTTGAACATTTCCATATACCAATACACAGTGATTAACATTAAAATGGATGATTGCAGGCACGTACGCAGGGGGTGGGGTGGGGTCAAACCCCCCCCCCCCCCCTCTCATTTTTTTTGTGTGTGTGTTCTTGAGGTAAATCCCTCCTTTTTTTCCTTTTTTTATTGAAAAAGAAAGAAAGAAAAAAACTATGCTAATGGGTGACCTAAAAAAGGTGACCTTACCCCCCCCCCCCCCCCCCCCCCCCCCAACGGAACGAAATGTCGATCGGTCAAATTTTCAAATTTCGGGACAAAAAAAAAGGGCTCTTAAGAAAAAGATAGTGGTTATACAGACTTTGTTTTTGTTATTTTACAATGCCATTGATTTCATCAATTTGCTTTCTCTTATTCTTCTTCTGCCTCTTCTTCTTCCACTTCTTTTTCGTATTTCTCTTCTTCCTCTTTCTTCCCTTCTTCACCTTCTCCTACTTATCATTATTATATTATTCTCTTTACTCTAAATTATTTGTATTTTTCTTTTCTTCTCAAATTCACTCTCCTTGTACGTCTCTAGAATCTCATACTATACTACTCCGTTTACGCCTCCTATATTACCTTTAAAATCCGACCTACTATATTGTGTTACTCAGTACGGGAGCCTATTCACATACAAGCTATGCTTTTTATTTAGGCTCCCCACATTTGACATTGTTCTACCCAGCCTGTTATATATACATATTTAGAAATTTCGTACTTACTCTCCGTACATTATATTTGATTTGAAATCTTTAATTTTGTTTTCTTGTGTGAAATCTACTCTTATAATAATATACGCCTGTATAAAAAAATTTAAAAAATTAAAAAAGGAATATATACAGTTTTTCTATGTAAAATGTGGAATAAATAAAACTTCAAACTTCAAGAAAAGAAGCTTATGTCAAAGTGAAAAGGGGCAATTATCTCAGGTGAAAAGGGGCACTTCTGAGAACGGAAGTGCCAATTATTACACAGGAAAAGGGAGCATGTGTCAAAATAAAAGGGGTATTCATCAGACGTTAAAAGGGGCAGTTATAACATTTGATTAGGGGCAATATTATTAGAGGTGAAGAGGCATTTACATGAGGTTTTTAAGTTGTACTTCATGGACCTGAAAAGGGGCACTTATGAAGAGGGGAGGGGCTTTTATTAGAAAGGAAAAGGGGGAACGTGTTAAAATGAAAAGGGCACTTATAGTGAAAAGAGGCACTCATCAGCCATGAAATAGGGCACTTATTAGAAAGGGAAGAGGCACTAACACGAAATGAAAAGGGGCACTTGTACGAAGTAAAAGGGGGCATTTTCCGTATGTAATAAGGGGCAATTTTGGGGTACTTGAAAATGGGGGGGGGCACTGTGAGGGCCGTCACAATGGAGAGATTGGATGGTTGCATGGGGAGGGGCACATTTCCTTTTCATACTTGATATGTACAAATATGCCAAATTGTGTTTATCAATGGGGGGCACATTTCTTTTCATCTTCTCTATCAACTATACCACATTGGGTTTTGTCAGGGCCGGGCCCCACCACTTCATAGATCCGTCAGGGACAAAAATAATTTTTAATAAGACAAATGTGACCTCGTCTCCTATATGCTTCTTTCCTAAATTCAAATGGATGGAATAAACTGTGACATATATCACAATGACAACAAAATTCCTATAATCAAATTTAAACTGACGACTATATTGACCTACTTATAGCTCAAAAATGTAATTGGATCAGATTGACACACACACACTCAACACAGAACAGCTTCATCACTTGCTTTCATGAAATAGCATTTTAATCAAATTTCTCACGTAAATGTAAACATCACATTTTAGCAATCACAAAGACAAATAATGTCATTCAATACAAAATATAATACTGCATACTTCATAGTACATGCACATCATAATATAATTTTTCAAATAATCAATTTGGTCTAAAAATCTGATTCCAGCACCACCATCGGTGGATGGAGGCAATAGTCACATATACATCAATAGCAAACATTTTGCAGCAAATATGATAAATCATCAATTATTAGTATGAAAAGGGTGATTACTTCACAAAAAATATCTATAATACCTTAGAGAACTAAACACTAGGATATATCACAAGAAAATTATCATCCACAGTACAATTATCCATTTGAGAGAAAAGTGTTACAATATTCAAATAAAATGTTAAAGCTTTGATTTCAGAATTCTTCTCTTTACTCACCACTATCTACCTTTTTAGGCTAACTATTGTTTATTCAACCAATTTTAACTACAGGGTAGTATACTTTTTCTCATATCTCTCATCTTAAGAACGAAATTATATTTGGGGCACAAGACAAAATGCACGTGAATACACCAGTTTACGGTTACATCAGTGCGCATGCACAGACATGGGCGCCATTTTAATTGGCGAGTAAACAAAGCCAATGACCTAGAGGTCATTTGGTTTTTGCGTAAATTAAGAATGCGCCCATGCAAATTATGATGTGAGCGCACAGGCAGTGATGTTATCATAATTTGCATGGGTGCAATCTTAATTATGCACAAACCACTGACCTCTAGAGGTCATTGGATTTGTTTACTCCTCAATTAAAATGGCGCACACAACCGTAAACTGGTGTATTTCTGCAAGCAATAATTTGTGTGACATGACAAAACACAAGAGGTCCTGGCTTGTTTTGGAATAGAATTTGTCATAAAAAAACAAACATACTCCTTCACAAGGAACAATGAGAAATGTAACATGTACAATTTTCATTGTCATTATTTGTATTGATTGTCATATGGCCAGGCGCGTACGCAGGGGGGGGGGGGTTTGGGGGGTTAAACCCCCCCCTTTGGAAATTTTTTGTGTGTAAACCCCCTAAAAAAAACCTAAAACCCCCCCCTTTTGGATTTTTTGTTTTTTTTTTGTTTTTTTTGTTTTTTTTAATTATTAAAAAAAAAAAAAAAAAAAAAAATTATTCCCATGGCCGACCTAAAAAAGGTGACCTTACCCCCCCCCCAACGGAGCAAAATGTCAAATTTCCAAATTTTGAGACCAAAAAAAAAAAAAAAAAAAGTGTCCTCTTACCCCCCCCCCCCCCCCCCCCCCCCCCCCCCCCCCCCCCCCCCCCCCCCCCCCCCCCGCTTATTCAGCGGTCGGCTGAGCCGTTGCGATTTTTTTGGGACCAAAAAAAAAAAAAAATGTGTCCTCTTACCCCCCCCCCCGCTTATTCAGCGGCTGGCTGAGTCGTTGCGAAATTTTCGGACCGATTTATAAATGTTAAAACCCCCCCCTTGAAAAAATCCTGCGTACGCGCCTGCATATGGCAGTATGCTCCGGTGATCATCATAGAGTTTAGCAGATAACTGAAGAAAAAAACAGCAATTTTGGGCAAATTAAAATGCTCACAGACTTTTTAGGGGTTTAGTTAAGACTCATGAAAGTTTTACTCTGCAAAAATACTAGAATCACAACTAAATTTGTGAAACTTTCTTGCCATGAAGATCACTGTCATTTACAATTACAGTTTCGTGCAGTGAAAGTTTCTGGTGTTATAGTATTTGAGGTAGTCGTCATATATCAATTAAACAAAACAACCATACAATTTGAAACTCCCTGAAGGTACAGAAGACCAAAGGATTAGTTCTTCTGGACTTTCTGATGACGTTTTAGAAGTTTCACAAGATGGAAGCAACAGGCTTAACAGACATGATGTGGACCAATCACACACAATTTGTTTTACTCAATATGACAGGAGTTTCATGATGTTGGAATACTACTGCATGATGTAAGTATTTCATTTGTAATGAGATATTGCATGTACAAATGCACCTTAATGAAAGTTAAAGTCAATTTAGTGAGTTCATACACTCTTTCATTAGAAATAAAATTTTCCCCATTAGCTCCCTATCCCCTAACCATTTAGAAGTCTCTTATGGTTTCTTTTCATTCTACTTTCTCTAGCAACACACAATTGTCCGTGATTGGTCCTCTATAATTTCTCATCAAGTGAAGCATTTTTGTGTCAGATGAACGATAAGAATAGTACTCTCTGGATTGTATGCAACCTGATGTAGAGGTACATGTTGTTTAGCTTCGTTGATCCACGTGAAGTATTAAAGAAGGCTCTTCAGTGACTCCAGCCTCATTTCCGCGTCGTTTGGGGAGGTCATCCAGTCGCCACCGTCGACCACGATGGTATGACCGGTGATATAGGAGGCAGCAGGAGAGGCAACAAAGACTGCACAGTCAGCGATGTCCACTTTGGTTCCGAGGCGACGCAGGGGAATACGTTTGGGAATCTCAGTAATCAAAGGACCAGCTGCAAGGGACAAGAAAGAAATGAGAGAGATTACTGGTTTCTCTTTTAATGTGAAATACGACAGCTTCATACTGATTTTTAAAACTTTTTAAAACTTTTTTTCTTTTATTGAATATCAAGAGTTATTGCAAACATCATATTACTTAGAACAGAATACATGTAAGCATTTATCCTTCTTCAGGAATTAGGATATATGTTTCATAATCTCCTGTATAAACAAATGGAGAGTAGCTGCTCACAAGTGAAAAATCATTGTGTGGCAATTTTGATCAGTGATCTCCAACACTTCAAACATTCACACCATTCTAATTCTCTATCAAAAATTGTACAGTGCGTCCCAGAAAAAACGAAACAAGATTTATTGATGTTTTATTATAACTTAATCACAATTATAATTGATATATGACACAATTTGGAAAGCTTAGATCTTCCTCTTTCATTTGAATTTCAAAGAGAACATCACATTTCTAGAAAGTTGAGTTTCTGCCCTTTCATATGACACCTTAGTTAGGAAAAATAATAATAATAATCTGTTTTTTTATATAGCGATCCAACGATGTGCCTAAGCGCTTTACAAATATATTATTACCCCGGTCATCGGATTCAGGCTTACCCGCACACAATGTGTGCACATTTCCCACTCCCTGGGAAGCATTCCAGCCAGTCGCCATTTTACAAGCACACACTTGCTCGTCCAACCACAAATGAGCTAGGAATAACAAAGTTCTGTTTGTTTGAAGTAGTGCTTGCATTTCCATAATTTCATTTAACGAATTCGTTTTCACTGGCTGCCTGCTGTAGCAACCAACGGAATTAACAAAAGACTTAACTCCGTTTCGTTGACAATCAGCCATAGACGAAAGACTCCATGCATGGCTGATTGTCAACGAAACGGAGTTAAGTCTTTTGTCAATTCTGCTTATTGCTACGGCAGGCAGTCAGTGAAAACGAATTCGTTTGATAAAATTATGGAAATGCAAGCACTACTTTAAACAAACAGAACTTTGTCATTCCTTGCTCATTTTTCCTGGTTGAGGTGTCATATGAAAGGGCAGAAACTCAACTTTCTAGAAATGTGATTTTCTCTTTGAAATTCAGATATTGTCCGCCAAATGACTTTTTGGTTACCTCTCTTCAAATTCGTTTTAATCACTCATGCGTGAAATATGCATCATATGAGATGCATCATATGAGTTGCATCAAATGAAAGAGGAGGATCTAAGCTTTCCAAATATGTGTCATTTATTAATTATAAATGTGATTAAGTTATAATAAAACATCGATCAATCTCGGTTTCGTTTTTTCTGGGACGCACTGTATAGCAGTATGAACATCGTATAGCTATATGATAGGTTATCAAATATTTGTATAGTTACTTTTAGTTGTATAAAGAACATCATGTAACGAAACATGGTAAAATAAGGAACATTTGAGCATCATTTCAAACAAAAACTCAGGAAGAATCAGGGTTCTGCTCTAGTCTGAATGTTGTATCAAATAAATTGGCATAGCTTATTTTATTTATTTATTTATTTATTTCTAATCTTTTGACAGGGTAGCCCATTCACCAACAAGTAGTAGTCTTCCATGGGGCCCTGGATAAACATGAACATATTTACATCGTTTATAATGTTTATACAGAACAGTTAAAATAATAATACTTGTTTGCAAAATAAGCATATATCAACAACCTAGTTCAACAGTAATGTCAATAGGAAAATATTGATTAAGTCGCAATTATGTGAATAAGTCATCTTAATATTACAGAACATGCACGTATTGTGATTGGCCATCTATCATGAACTCTTTAAAGCTAGTTTCATTATACACCTGTACAATGTTGCTGTCCAGTCTACCCTCCTGACACACCTGACTGTCTTTCATGTTTCTTACCTAACTTCCGCATCCCTTCGGTTTCATCAATTGGACCGGGTGCAATGCCAACCACTCTAATCCCAAGTGCTCCCCATTCTACAGCCAGAGACCGTGTCATTGAATCTAGAAGTAGACATATATTCATCTTTACATGAGAATGTCGCATTGTATGTTGTTTTCAATATATCTAAAGTAAACAGTAATGACATGAATTTGTAAATGTATCAAACAAATCAACCCCTCAACAACAAAATTCTGCATTTAGGGAAGGGTTGGTATAATACCATTTGATTGAAAATCTTTACAATACACAGTATAGGAAGAAGGAACCAACAGTTCTCCACAACTTGTGCCTATTTCTTTTGCATTAATGCATGTCATTTTGATGATTGATAAATTTACTTTCAAAAGAAAATGTGTATCTCAATCTTTTATAACTCTTGTGTTTAGGAATTGCAAAAGCATTCAGTTTGAAAAGTCACCTCCAAAAACAGTTCTGAAAACTAAAATCAACATTACTATGCCTTAATTGTTAAAGTTGAAAAGGGCCTTAATGTCCTTTACTCTAATTTCAGGAAAACTTTACTGGTCTAACTTTGCCTAATTTTAAGCCTATTTTATTTTGACTGTGACTTTAAGACTTACAATATGATCAATTGTTATGCTTAAATATTCACATGGCAATTAAGATTTACTAAACTACTTCTAGGAACCTCGGTTACATGTTACATTTTTTAAACTTAATTGCTGCTCATTAAATTTATTCAAAAAAAGCAATTTTGGCATCAGAGTATAAGAGAAATGGGCTCACCAATAGCTGCTTTGGCAGCGGAAGCATGGCACTGGAAGACAGTGCCTCTATATGGCAAGGTAGCTGTTATATTGATGATGGTACCACCATTATCCTAGAGAAAGGGAGAGACAGACAGAAAAAGGAGAGTTGAGTCTGGAGAATATTTCATTTACATTTACAGCGTAATAGCGATGATAAAAAATAGAGAGAGGTGGTAGAAATGGAGTACAGAGAAACAAAAGAAGAGAGTGTAGAGAGTGATCATGATGTAAATGGAAAGAGGAGCAAACAAAAAAGCATGGATGAGAGAAACAGAATTAGCTTTATATCTTTGTTTCATCCCTCTGATTTACATTTCAGTTTTTCTCAACACCAAACTATGAGAGTTCCAAAGTTCATTAATTAAAATCATTAAAAACATAACACTAAGACATTTAACCCTATGTTAACTGGGGGGGGGGGGGGTGTCAATTTGACCCCCCCCCCCCCCTGTAGAAATTTTGTGACTACTCCGAAACCGCGGCAGATATAAAATTTTCCTTTCATGACTTTTTTCTTTTGAGTCTTATGCATCTTTTAAAACAATTTTTTTGAAAATTGGACGTATAGTTACAAAGTCACATGACCTTTTGTCTTTGCATGTCGGCCCGAAAATTGCTCATTTTCGTGATTTGTGTACAAAACAAATGGAAACATCAATTTTCCTAAAAAGAGATAAAACTGGTTATTTAGTCTTGTTTAAAGTTTAGGTGTTTGTCTTGGGGTTAAAATAGTGGAATTGTAGTTATAAATGAAATAAAACAACAAAAACAATAAAATACATAAGTTAAAAAAACAATGAAATACATAAGAAATTATTAAACAAGAGAAAACATAAGGAATAACCTGGCTCTTCCAATTGTTTGTGTTGTGTTATTATTCCATATGGTCTAACAAGTATATGTAGTGAAAAAGAATGCTTAAATATGAATAACGTATGATTTATGGGCAAAAATGTGAATGTTATGACCTTATTTGCATAAATTACCATGAATATGCAAATGAGTGAATTTTTCAAAAAGTTGAAATTAACATTCTACACACTTCACTTGACATGTATGCAAATTTTCGCGGCGATCAGCAGTGAAACAGCCGAGATCTTAGGGGGGTCAAATTGACCTCCCCCCCCCCCCCCCCCCCCCCAGTAAAAACCTGGTCTGAAATAGCCCAGTTAAAATAGGGTTAAAAAGAGGTTGCAACAACCTTCCTATGATCATGAACTCATGTTATACATGTACATCAGGGCAGGCTGCACAAAACCGTCATAAGTACAAGTTCACCGACATTCCATGAAGAATGAATCAATAAATTCAACATGCGTTTAGATGGGATGTCGCTGAACTTGTACTTAAGACGTAGCCTAGAACTTCACTGTAAGTGTAGATCATACCCTCATATATTCATCAAAGACTGCCTTGGAGGTGTTGAATGTTCCGATAGTATCGATATCAAGGACAGTCTTGAAAGCGTTGAAAGACATAGAAGCAGCTGGGCAGACAAAGTTACCAGCAGCACCTGACATACCAAAGATCAAAAGTCATCAATACAAAATAAACTAGATGGAATTCGACTGCGTGCAGTCGAAAATGATGCCTCCGTCATAGAGCAATTTTACAAACCGAAACGGAAGAAATTTTTCAAATTCAAGTTCAATTGTAATCCATTAACATGTTCTCAGAATATCGTGATTACAAGCAATTTCTCATATACATATATGACCCTTTGATCTTTGACCTCATGACCCTAAAATCTACTCAGTTCATTGGCTCTGCAAGATTTCCTGCATGAGTTAAATAGTAATCCATCTGTCAGTTCTAATGAGAATGCGTCCACAAGCTATTTTTGCATACATAATGAGCCCATGACCTTTGATCTTATGAACCATTCATTGGCTCTGCAAGATACATAAATGATCTAAGTTTGGCAGGAATCCATCAATCTGTTCTAATGATAATACGATCACAAGCTATTTTTGCATACATAATGAGCCGCATGACCTTGACCTTTACCTCATGACCCCAAAATCTAATCAATTCATCAGCTCTGCAAGTAACATACATGACCTAAGTTTGGCAGGAATCCATCAATCGGTTCTTGAGATAAGGCGATCACGAGCTGTTTTTGCATACACAATGTGCGCTGTGACCTTTGACCTCGTGACCCCGAAATCTAATCAGTTCATTGGCTTTGCAAGATACATACATGACCAAAGTTTGGCAGGAATCCATCAATCGGTTCTTCAGATAACTAGATCACAAGCTGTTTTTGCATACATAATGAGCCCTGTGACCTTTGACCTTTGACCTTTGACCTCGTGACCCCAAAATCTAATCAGTTCATCAGCTCTGCAAGATACATACATGACCAAAGTTTGGCAGGAATCCATCAATCGGTTGTTCAGATAACTAGATCACAAGCTGTTTTTGCATACATAATGAGCCCTGTGACCTTTGACCTTTGACCTCGTGACCCCAAAATCTAATCAGTTCATCAGCTCTGCAAGATACATACATGACCAAAGTTTGGCAGGAATCCATCAATTGGTTGTTCAGATAACGCGATCACAAGCTGTTTTTGCATACATAATGAGCCCTGTGACCTTTGACCTTTGACCTACGTGCTCCAAAATCTAATCAGATTGTTTTCCTATAGTGATACACATTATCACTAAGTTTGAAGTTTAAATCTCCAGTGGTTCTTGAGATATCATGATAACAATCTCAATGTATGGAATTTCATAAGTTGACCTCTGTGACCCTTGACCTTTGACATACGTGCTCCAAAATCTAATCAGATTGTTTTCCTATAGTGATACACACTATCACTAAGTTTGAAGTTTAAATCTCCAGTGGTTCTTGAGATATCATGATAACAATCTCAATGTATGGAATTTCATAAGTTGACCTCTGTGACCCTTGACCTTTGACATACGTGCTCCAAAATCTAATCAGATCGTCTTCCTATGGTGATACATACTATCCTTAAGTTTGAAGTTTTAATCTCAAATGGTTCTTGAGATATCGCGCTAACAAACTCAATACAAGGAATTTCATAAGTTGACCTCTGTGACCTGTGACCTTTGACCTACGTACTCCAAAATCTAATCAGATCGTCTTCCTATGGTGATAAATACTATTCCCGAGTCTTAAGTTTAAATCTTAAATGGTTCTTGAGATATTGTGATAACGGTCAAACGGGACGGACGTACGGACGGTACGACGTACGGACGGACGGACGTACGGACGGACAACCCGAAAACATGATGCCTCCGGCACCACCTTCTGTGGCGGAGGCATAACAATGACCTGTTTTGTAGAGATAGTGGGCTCATGATACAATACTCAAATGATATCAGGGTAATATTTTCCTGTGCATGAATAATCAAACAATTGTAATGCAATGTAAATGAATTTGATTCACGCTGAGACATATTAGTTGAAAGTTCATTCAAAATTCTTGAAAGAGTGACACATATGCCTGCCTCGGATGACAAGACTATTGAACATCAGCAACTTCCTGAAGACAAACTGTGAACACTAAGTATGAGATTACTCTGGCTAGCATTTATAGATTAAAATTGGTTGAAAAGGGCCTTCACTTACCATTAATTAAGACATTAATCTTGCCAAACTCTCGCATAGCCTGCTGTACTCCTGCCACCACTTCATTGGGCTGAGAAATATAAATCATCAAATCAAATGGTGGTAGTTATTTTACCTGACTGCTAAGAAAGCATAAATGCTTGTAAGTAAGCAACCAGACGGCTGACGGCTTTATAGGTCCTCTCTGAGGGACCTGGTAATGAGGATTAATGCCTTACCAAAGGGCACTAGCGCATCGCCTTGGTTTCGAACAGGGGTCACTGGATTAAGAGACCACTGCTCTACCAACCGAGCTATCGCGCCTCCTCGTATTCATGATCATATGATGTAAGATTTAGTGAAAAGAAGATCTATGATGTCCTCACAAATGATCGGTAACTATATCTTATTTCCATAGGTGCACTCACTGTATCTACATCATCACTGACACCTTCAGTAACAATTCACATTCTCCATATTTCCTCCTCATTTGCCTATCCTCAATCGAACATCACTGCATCAACATCACCACTGCCATGGTAACAAGCAGTAACAATCTACTCATACACTGCACCATTCTTGTGATTACTAATATTATTACCATTACACTGTATCATCACCATCATCATCATCCATGGGCTGTACAACCGAGCACATACTACAATTTGTAAATATGATAATATGTGGTAATAGAATGAACAACATCATCATCGTCGTCATCATCATCGTCATCATCATCGTCATCACCATCACCATCACCATCATTATTATTATTATGAAAAGTATTAGAAGTCTGTTTTAAGAATCATACCTTTCTCACATCCATCTGAATGGGCAGACATTTTTGTCCGGTTGCTCGGCTCAGTTCTTCCGCTGCCTATAAAACAATTGCAAAATTATTTGTACCCCATAGACAGAATGTATTCTTTCAGTGTTGAAAGGGCTACGCATTTTAACACAACATAATCATTTATAAGATGATTTTCTACACTAATTTCAGATGTTCTATCTCACTGCTGCTTTTCTTTTGTTTATATTGCAGACCAATGCTTTCATGTGATTTCATTTCTTTTACAAGTGTGCCATGAGCATATGAATTTCATCACTTGGCTCTATATTTCCTGTTCAATATTTCTTAAAATCACAAAATCATGAATGCATAATTATGCTGATTTTGATGAATATTGTAAACAATCCTCTTGTTAACAGAAACACATGTACCTTTTGTAACAAAACTCCTTTGATTTTTAAATTGTGACCTTTGCTTAACACCTACAATATTTGAAAAGCTTATCATTAAGTAAAGAGGGTCATATTTATGTATGTAGATAAGATCTCTTGTTCTAACCTGTTGCACACGTTCTATGTTACGGCTGGCTATCACAGTTGAACACTGGTGTCTGTAACAAAAGAAAATTACTAATGTTAATTGATGAACAGTAACACAACCTTCTGTGTTGTGTTTTATTGAAAGCATTCAGTTTCATCTATGTAAATAAGACCTATAGGTAGAACAAAATAATAATATAAACTAAAATCAGTGGTGGATCTAAGGGGGGGGGGGGCATCAGACTTGTACCCCCTGTCAGAGGATACTAGATCTACCACTGGAAGGGGATAAGACTGTTGTTGTTTAGGTTTATCATTCAGGAGTGAATATATTTACGCCTCATCGTTAGGATTTTTTTCCTTTCAAATTAGATTTACTTCTTAAATATATAGATTGAAATATATTAAATATATACCTTCTCTGTAGCCTTCCTCGCACACATTTTCTCTACATTTCTTATATGCATTCATAAATTAATGTGCAGTTAATTTTTTATATGCATGTATCCATATTTCATTGTTGCATTTTACTGCATGTTTCATTGAATTGAAAATAAACTTGAAAGTTGTGTCCTTTTACCTCATCAGTACTTCAGCAATTGTAAAGCATATTCCTGATCCCCCACCTGTAATAAAAGCAACTTGGCCTCTGAAATGAAAAGGTATTTTGGTTGAGTCTACATTTCAATACAATAAGAGCAGCAATAACGGAATCCCTTCATTATCACGTTGCATACCGGTATAACAAAAAAACTAACTTAAAAATTATTTATAATAAATGTAGATCACAGCAAAAAAAGAAGCAAAAAGCAAAACAAAAAACACACACACACACACAAAGAATATTAATTACTTTTATAAGTCGTACTGGTTAATTAACCAATAAAAAAAAATTGGTAGACTAAGTACACATCTACAGTACTAGACGTAGATTATAGAGGAATATAGTGCAGAGTGTAGGCCACTATATTTTAGCCTAGCTATAAGAAAATCCCAAAATAACTAAACAGGACGTAGTCTGGACCAAAAGAAAGATCAGTTGATGAGTTGGGTTTCAGGTTCAGAAAAGTTAATAAATAGTCCAAGTATTCAGGTATATTGTGACAATTTGTGTATTTATTGTTAGACGATAATAATAATTGAGATCTGACCCCAGACTGAGTAGGACCAAATTGAGTGGCCCAAATCGGAACGGATTTAGCTTCACTAAGTTAGATGCGAAATCTGGCTATTGGTCAGTGCATCTGAGTGAAGATTCACAAGAGCTGACCACATTCCGTACTCCGTTCGGGAGGTATTGTTTTCTTCGTCTTCCATTTGGGCTTTCCACAAGCCAAGATCTATTCCAACAGCGAATGGATGACATAATAGGGCAGACCCAAGGATGTGTTTGCATAGCAGACGATATAGTCATCATGGGCAGGACGGAAGAAGAGCACGACCAAAACCTCACGAAGCTGCTTGAGGTGGCCTCAAAGGAGGGACTCGTTTTCAACAGCAGCAAATGTGTAGTGAAAGCGAGCTCGATCAACTTTTTCGGGACGATTTACTCAGATGAAGGAATCAGTCCCGATCCTTGCAAGGTGGAAGATATCCACACAATGCCTACCCCACAGGATAAGGAGGACCTTCAGAGGTTTCTAGGCATGATGAACTTCCTGTCACCCTACATCCCGAACTACGCAGACCAAGTCGCTATTTTGCGTGATCTCATGAAGAAAGATGTCCCATTCATGTGGCAAGAGGATCACCAGGAGGCATACTGCCAGCTGAAGAAAGCTATCCAGCAAGACAGCTTGCTGAAGTACTATGATCCAGGGCTACCTGTCACCCTTGAAGTAGACGCGACATCCAAAGGATTGGGAGCATGCCTCTCACAGCATGGAAGGCCTGTGGCATATGCTTCGAAAAGTCTCTCTCCCTGCCAAGCCCAGTACTCAAATATTGAGAGGGAGACACTGGCACTTGTCTTCAGGATTACCCGATTTCACACTTACCTCTTTGGGAGAGATTTCAAGATACTGACTGACCACAAACCGCTTGTGACGATATGCAGCAAGCCACTCACAAGTGCCCCGCCCAGGCTACAAAGGCTCTTAGTGAAGATTCAAGGATACAACTTCACAATTGAACACAGACCAGGAACAGAGATGATTATTCCTGACACGCTCAGTAGACTGCCAAATCCGACGAAGGCAGAAGACATTCCGCTGGATGTCCACGTAGAAAGCATACTACTGGACGAGGTTGAGGACCCATTGGGTATCGATCTGCTCCATTTCGGGAGCCTCAAGCAAGAAGCACTACAGAAGGAGACTACCAGGGATCCTATTCTACAGCAAGTGAAAGAATTCACTCATGCTGGATGGCCTGCAACTATTCAGGAACTTCCAAACGATTTGCGCCCATTCTGGCCATTTCATGATGAACTAGGCATGTCTGGAGGTGTCCTCTTCAAAGGCAGGCAGGTGATCATTCCCCAATCTATGAGACAAGATATCCTTCATCAACTGCACAAAGGCCATCCAGGCATCGAGAAGATGAGACTCCTAGCGCGCCGTCGGTTTACTGGCCAAACATAAATCGCCAGATTGACGAAAGTGTCAAACTGTGTAACCAATGCCAGGAAAGGATGCCTTCCTCATGAAATCCCTATCACACCTTGGACTAAAGTAGGCATGGACCTGTTTGAGTTGAATATGGTTCAGTATCTTCTTATAGTTGATTATCACTCGAAATTCCCAGTCGTACATCGGTTGACTTCCACAACGAGTGCAAGTGTGGCGAATGCTGTAACTGGCATATTTGGCCTTCCGGGATCTCCTACAGAGATTATGTCAGACAATGGCCCACAATTCATCGGTGCCGCTTTTCAGCAAATGTGCAAGGACTGGGGAATTACGCATCAGACCTCCTCACCAAGGTACCCCCAATCAAACGGACAAATAGAGCGTACGGTCCGAACAGTGAAAGAGATCATACGGAAAACACAGACAACTGGAGAAAGTACAGCAGCAGCTCTACTAAACCTACGATGTACTCCAGTGGATGCCCATCTTCCATCCCCAGCCGAAATGATGTTCAGCCGCTAAGTCCGAACACTACTTCCTGCTAACCTTGATTCGAATACAACATATCAAGGACAAAAGAACCAGGAACGTTTAGAGCAGCGCAGGGGATGCATGAAGATGGACTACGATGCGGTTGGAAGCCAGCAAGAGCTCCAGCCACTCAGAGTAGGACAGAAAGTCCGCTTCCTGGACAAAGAATCCCACACTTGGATTCCAGCTGAGGTGACAAACTTATGTAATGATCTGCAAGCCAGGTCGTACATAGTCACAACCCCAAATGGCACGCGACTCAGAAGGAATAGGGTACACTTGAGAGATGTCCCACAGATGCCTCGTCTGGCAGAGCCAACTAAAGATGCGCGCCTAGCTAACACACCTACCCCAATGAACAAAAGAATTGCAGACGGACTTGACCATGACCAGCACTAGACCACCAGACAGGATCCGAGACAGACCCTTACAGAACACGTTCTGGACGCATTAGTAATAAACCTGTCCGTTATCGTTAAACACTACCAAAAACAATTTGAAAGAAGAATTAAAACACAAAAAGTGACAGACTATATAGATTGAACAAAGGTTCCAGTTTATAGTTGGAATCTCACATAAAGACAAAGACACTTCATCTATATTGGATAATAACCGAGATTTAATTTTTTTAAAAACTAATTCATAGCAACAACAACAACAAAAAAAGAAGAAGAGAGAAATAGCATACAATAAATAGAATGGCATGCAATGATGCTAATGTAAAGAAATGTGCCCAAGGGTATATTTATGTTGGATAATCAAGCAACATAACTTTCTTGAATACAGTGTTTTGTGTTGAGTTTTTATAAATGTTTTAAGAATATGAGAACAAAGTTGAATATATGTTCTAAAGTCTCCATAGAGTTGTTCAGTAGCTCTGCCCAGCAAAGTTTTTTGCTTACAAACTAGTATTACAGTATTTTGGTTGTAAATATATGTAAGTACAATTTACTTCTAAATGGACAAGTTTGGATAAGCGAATAAGAAGTTGGAAATGTTAATAAAGAAAAAAAAAAAAAAACTGTATAGGCATGTGTTTGCTGATGTATATATAACCACATAGTTTTATTTCTATCATCTGGTTTTAGGTATTCCACGTATTAATTTTTCAAAAAAAGGACTACTCTATATGGAACTAAAGTAAGGTTGCGAATTTGGGTTCTTGCGTGAATCATAAACATATTTCCTAATTGTTACTTGGCAATTAGTTGGGCATATGTTAAAGTATTTTTAAGGTGTTGATATTTGCAAAATGTTTGATTGCATCATTGCAGGTGTTTGGAGTTTCAAGAGTTTTTATGATTAACTGTTATAACTTTTCTTGGTATGTTGTATATCAACTTGGAACTACATTAACATGAGATATGATATGTAAATACCACGCCGAGCTATGCGGAAGGATACATAAATAAATGGTCTTACAATATCTGGCTACTAATCAGTAACTACATCGTCTGCCAGATCTATCATTTCACCGAGTCATATAACATATTACAACAACGGTCACGGTCTCGTGAAAGAGGCGGCGCTAGTATATGCTCAGAGATCAGCCGACTTGAAAATACTGCACTGCACTGGCTGCATGCCGTCTTCGGCCTTGCGCATGCCATTGCCGATATGCGATAAGCTTCGTTTACATTTTAGTAAAGCATCATAAAGTACTTTTATACAACGTATATAATTATACTGAATTATAAATCACCCACATGAATGTACAGACGTTAGTAGTTGATACAAACGTACTTTAGTAGACTTGGATTGAAGACATAGTTGTAAGCTTTCATACACTTATCGACGACCATGGAGGCTGCCATCTTGGACTTGATATAATAGAGGCTCTTCAGCTTGATCTTTGATCTTTTCCGTCAAACTCGAAGCTTCTTCTTCGTATCGGGGTCACTACACGAGCGCCGTCCAGTAAAAGCGACTCGAAAATGTCTGTAGATACATTTCTTTGGAGCAACGTTTTTCATCCGTTTATTAGGAAATGAAAAGTTTCGCGTAACCGGCGCGTAACCCTGCACCCAAAAAATCATCACAGAAAAAATGGCTCTAACTATACACAAATACGGTAGCATATATTGGCACCAAGATTAACGGCGATATGAATATTCATTATTCCCTACGTCACAGACGTGCGGCGTGCGTACTCTGTCTATGGATCTGTCTTATACACAGGTACATGTACTGTACTAGTACAAGAGTACGTTCGCAAGCATTACTACATACATTGCTCCGGAATGAAGAGAATCATTATAAAGGACGAATTACTCAGTGAAGCCAAGTACAGTACAAGCAGGGAATTGAAATAGCAAACGTTCCTCGGAGCGGCTATACACTCCCTAATCTAGCTAGTTTTGTAATGATAGTTTATTTAGGATAATGGACATTTAGTAGGCCTATTGTTTAGTTGTTAAATGACATCACTCAGTGTGATTTGATTCGAGAAATATCTCATTAATAAAACAGTATAAAGGCTGTATGAGTCTCGAACGAACCATATCGCCACTAATCTTGGTGCCAACACCGTTAATCTATGCTCCAAATTTAGTAATACATTTTGTGTGCCCTATAATGACCCGGGGTTGGATTATTTAGGAGAATGGAAGATTGATATTGTTAAGATGTTTCATAACATCACTCAGTGTGATTTGATTCGAGAAATATCTCATTAATAAAACAGTATAAAGGCTGTATGAGTCTCGAACGAACCATATCGCCACTAATCTTGGTGCCAACACCGTTAAACTATGCTCCAAATTTAGTAATACATTTTGTGTGCCCTATAATGACCCGGGGTTGGATTGTGTAGGAGAACGGATGATTGATATTGTAAAGTTGTTCCATAACATCACTCAGTTTGATTTGATTCGAGATATATCTCATTAATAAAACAGTATAAAGGCTGTATGAGTCTCGGACGAACCATCGCCACTAATCTTGGTGCCAACACCGTTAATCTATGCTCCAAATTTAGTAATACATTTTGTGTGCCCTATAATGACCCAGGGTTGGATTATTTAGGAGAACAGAAGATTGATATTGTTAAGTTGTTTCATAACATCGCTCAGTTTGATTTGATTCGAGATATATTTCATTAATAAAACAGTATAAAGGCTCTATGAGTCTCCAAGAACGATCGCCACTAATCTTGGTGCAACACCGTTAATCTATGCTCCAAATTTAGTAATACATTTTGTGTGCCCTATAATGAACCGGGGTTGGATTATTTAGGAGAACAGAAGATTGATATTGTAAGTTGTTTCATAACATCGCTCAGTTTGATTTGATTCGAGATATATCTCATTAATAAAACAGTATAAAGGCTGTATGAGTCTCGAACGAACCATCGCCACTAATCTTCGTGCCAACACCGTTAAACCATGCTCCAAATTTAGTAATACATTTTGTGTGCCCTATAATGACCCGGGTTGGATTATTTAGGAGAACAGAAGATTGATATTGTTAAGTTGTTTCATAACATCACTCAGTTTGATTTGATTAGAGATATATCTCATTAATAAAACAGTATAAAGGCTGTATGAGTCTCGGACGAACCATCGCCACTAATCTTGGTGCCAACACCGTTAATATCTATGCTCCAAATTTAGTAATACATTTTGTGTGCCCTATAATGACCCGGGGTTGGATTATTTAGGAGAACAGAAGATTGATATTGTTAAGTTGTTTCATAACATCTCTCAGTTTGATTTGATTCGAGATATATTTCATTAATAAAACAGTATAAAGGCTCTATGAGTCTCGAACGAACAATCGCCACTAATCTTGGTGCCAACACCGTTAATCTATGCTCCAAATTTAGTAATACATTTTGTGTGCCCTATAATGAACTGGGGTTGGATTATTTAGGAGAACAGAAGATTGATATTGTAAGTTGTTTCATAACATCGCTCAGTTTGATTTGATTCGAGATATATTTCATTAATAAAACAGTATAAAGGCTGTATGAGTCTCGAACGAACCATCGCCACTAATCTTCGTGCCAACACCGTTAAATCATGCTCCAAATTTAGTAATACATTTTGTGTGCCCTATAATGACCCGGGTTGGATTATTTAGGAGAACAGAAGATTGATATTGTTAAGTTGTTTCATAACACCACTCAGTTTGATTTGATTCGAGATATATCTCATTAATAAAACAGTATAAAGGCTGTATGAGTCTCGGACGAACCATCGCCACTAATCTTGGTGCCAACACCGTTAATCTATGCTCCAAATTCAGTAATACATTTTGTGTTCCCTATAATGACCCGGGGTTGGATTATTTAGGAGAACAGAAGATTGATATTGTAAGTTGTTTCATAACATCGCTCAGTTTGATTTGATACGAGATATATTTCATTAATAAAACAGTATAAAGGCTGTATGAGTCTCGAACGAACCATCGCCACTAATCTTCGTGCCAACACCGTTAAATCATGCTCCAAATTTAGTAATACATTTTGTGTGCCCTATAATGACCCGGGTTGGATTATTTAGGAGAACAGAAGATTGATATTGTTAAGTTGTTTCATAACACCACTCAGTTTGATTTGATTCGAGATATATCTCATTAATAAAACAGTATAAAGGCTGTATGAGTCTCGGACGAACCATCGCCACTAATCTTGGTGCCAACACCGTTAATCTATGCTCCAAATTCAGTAATACATTTTGTGTGCCCTATAATGACCCGGGGTTGGATTATTTAGGAGAACAGAAGATTGATATTGTTAAGTTGTTTCATAACATCTCTCAGTTTGATTTGATTCGAGATATATTTCATTAATAAAACAGTATAAAGGCTCTATGAGTCTCGAACGAACCATCGCCACTAATCTTGGTGCCAACACCGTTAAACCATGCTCCAAATTTAGTATAACATTTTGTGTGCCCTATAAAGACCCGGGTTTGGATTATTTAGGAGAACGGATGATTGATATTGTAAAGTTGTTCCATAACATCACTCAGTTCGATTTAATTAGAGATATACCTCATTAATAAATATATATATATAAAAGCTATAGTCTCAAACTAACTTACCTGTACACCATTAAACTTGGTGCCAACACCATTAAACCATGCTCCAAATTTAGTAATACGTTTTGTGTGTCTGCAAAGACCCGGGGTTGGATTATTTAGGAGAACGGAAGATTCCTATATTGTTAAGTTGCTCTATAACACAGGCGCGGTTCCAGGGGGGCAGCGCCCCCCCCCCCCCCGCAAAAATAAAGAGAGAGAGAGAGAGAGAGAAAAGGAAAAGAAGGACAGGGAAAGAGGAGAGAAAGGGAAAGAAAGAAGAGGAAGAAGACAAGAAAAGGGGGAAGAAGGAGATTGGGGGGACCGAAATGGCCTTGCCTTCCAGGCTGTTGCCTCCCCGCCCCCCCCCCTCCCCAATCAAAAAAAATATGAGCGAAGGACGGAAAGGGAAGGGAAGAAAGGAAAGAGGAGATAAAGGGAAGGGAAATAAAAGAGGAAGAAGAAAAGAAAAGAAGGAGGATATCAGTTTTCCTGCCAATAACTTGTGGTTCGAGGGGGGGGGGGGGTTATTTCTAATTCCATAACGGTGACTTACAAATGTTGCTAAAATGACATCATTTTCCGAGATTGTTCCTCACTTTTTATTAAATTATACTTTTTTATGCGTTTGTTGGAAAATGACATATTCCGAAATTTACAGTCAGGCAAGAAAAATATGCTTATTGAGATGCCTACATGTCGGGGCCCGCGGAACGGTCGGGATCGGGAGCCTCGAGCTCCCTCGCCCTCCCCCTCTTTTTTGAAAAAGTATATTAAAGAGAGCAAGAAATAAAGAATAGTGAACTGCCAGTGTCACAGAAAAATGAGGTATCAAAATATGCTCATCTGACCGTGATTAAATGCCTAAACCCCCCGAACTTTCGGGGTCTCTACCCTCTGGATTCCACCTAGGGCCCAAAGGTCGGCCCTTAAATGCTCATCTGACGGTAATTTAATGCCTAAAACCCCTGGAATTCTTGGGGCTTCGCCCCCTTTACCCCAAGCCAAATAGTGTCCTGCAAATGTCACAAAATAATAAGGTATCAAACATTGCTAACCTGACCGTAATAAAACGCCTGAAACCCCTGAGCCTCCGGGGCTCTGCCCCTGAACCAAACCAAGGGCCCTAAGGCGGGCCCCTGAATGCTTATCTGACGGTAATTAAACACCTAAAACCCCTGAGCTTCCGAGGGCTCTGCCCCTAGACCCAACCAAGGGCCTTAAGGCGGGCCCCTTGATACTCATTTAATTTAATGCCTAAAACCCTTGATCTTCCGGGGGCCTCGCCCCCTGAACTCCACGACAATTGGTGATCTGCCAGTGTCACAATAAGTCCCCCCCCCCCCCCCCAAAGAAAAAAGAGAGAAAAGGGAAGAGGTCATAGGAAGAAAAAGGAGCAGACAAAGAACAATTTTGAAATTCAGACAAGGATTAAGAGTCCAGAACGGTACACAAATCGTCTTCTTTCTTTAATGATTTAATGAAACGTCAAAGCTTCCGCGCTTCGCGTATGAGGGAGGGGAAACTCGCCCCTCCCTGCATCCCCCCCCCCCCCAGGGAACGCGCTCTGTAAGTGATTCGCACGCATCGCGTGCTCCGACCCCCCTAAAATAAAATCCTAGCTACGCGCTTGCCTGACCGTAATTAAACGCCTAAAACCCTGAGCTTCCGGGGCTCCGCCCCCTGGACCCCACGCAATTAGTGACCCTGCCAGTGTCACAAATAAGGTATAAAAATATGCTCATTTGACCGTAATTTAATGCCTTAAACCCCTGAGCCTGGCGGATCCAGGGGGCCTGGGCGCCCTCCCCTGGGAAAAAAGAAGGAAAAAAAAGAAGGGAAACAAAAGAAGGAAAAAAAAAGGAGAAAAAAAGAAGGGAAAAAAAGAAGGAAAAAAAGGGGAAAAAAAAAGGAGGACAAAAAAGAAAGAGAAAGAGAAAAGGTAAAGAAGGGAAAGAGGAGAGAAAGGGAAAGAAAGAAGAGGAAGAAGAAAGAAAGG